GTTGGCACGGACTCTTCTTGTTGTTGGTTAGCTTGCATTCTGGGAGTGACATCGTTTGGTATCTCAGTTGTATGTAACAAGGTTGTGTAGCGCTGCTGTTGTATAGGAAGATCAGGATGAATTTGCGATCCGCAGAGTCGTCTGTGCCTGCGCGAGGAAATTCACACCAAGAATCACGTTGTCAATTGATCTTTTCATGATAAGTAATGATAGATCAAAAGACCTACCCCCGAAGGTAACTTCTCTTTCTAATACGTGTGAAATATGCTGTGTCGTACAATCAGCCAATAATATAACCATACTTATGGGTGTGATGGTCCGAAAAAACTTTCAGCGATGATACTCCCAGATGCGCCTGTGTCAATAGTGGCCATTACTGCCGTTGTTTCAATGGTAACCGCCGCCAATATCATATGTTGGTTGTATGATAAACTGGTTATTGGAGAACTTGTGCTGCCTGGGAGACTGTCTGTCCTTTTGTTAGGACAGTTTCTTGTTGGTTTCCCTGCTTAATTTACAATTTCGTTTGCAGCATTCCTTGGTTCTGACTCGCGTACCACAAACCCAGCAGAATAGTACCTGCGGCCTTCTGCACGTATATGCAAAGTGTCCTGGTTCACTGCACCTTTTGCATGCGAGATGGACGTTAATCCTTTCTGGTTGCTGTGGTGTACCATTTTCACGAGGTCCCTTTAAGTTCCGTGTGACCACCGTTCTTTGTGGATCAACTGTTGGAGGTTTTCGAATTCTTCAGCCAGTTGAAGCAGTTCTGATTAGTGTGGAAAATTCGCGTCGTTTAATGTGTAGTTGGTAATCTGGTAGACTATTTATGTATATGCATATATGCGTGTATATGCTTTGGGTAACACGTCTAGCGGAATCTGGTATACTTCTGCCAACTCCTCAAGTCTTTCAACAGAATCCATAGTGTTAGACTGGCCATCGAAGTGTACTGCCCATTTACGAACCTGATCCATGATTTTGGCAATACTTTCAAAGTCTTTCACCTGTGGACTGGTGTTACCATCTTCTCCATTAGGTGTCTCGATCTGTGCTGTATTCGATTTGAGGAAGATTTACGCTCGTGTCTTGGTTCGTTTCGTTTGTATTTGGCATGTCGGCTTTCATTTGCTTGTAATAGTGTTGAATGCTATCTGTAGCTGCTGATTACAAGACTATAACTTCCAGTGATAGTGTCTCTGGACCCTTTTTGATCAACGGTCCCTGCTCGGGCGCCACTTGTAACAGTGTTGGTGACTCGTCATCCATTGTTTCATCAGCTTTAGACAGATGGCAGTCCAGATGACTGGTTGAGTTACCCTATACCAGCTATAGCCAAGCAGGAGGCAACACACCCATTGTCACTTAACCCAGACCTCTTCGTCCATTCACATGGTGATCGTCAGCAATGGCCAGGCGAATCGTCATGTATCCAGACCAACTAGTCCGAGCTCCCACTGTTGTCCCTAACAAATTCCTACCACAGTGCTGGTGATTTGCCATTCAGTTTTTCATAAGCAATGACCAGATGAAAAATCCGATTGGCTGGTTAAGTTACTCTTCGTCAGTGAAGGGCAAACGAAAGATAACTCAACCAATGTCACCTCGCTCATCCAACCTCAACTGTCCGCCTGATGAACGTCAGCAAAGGCCAGATGAACCATCATATGTCCAGGTCACTTGGACCGAGCTCTCACTGTTGTCTCTGGCACACTCAACTTACCTGCAATGGTGCGAAATCAGAAATGCAACGAAAACCAGAATTTGGCTTCCTTTTATACAAAATTACTCCCATTGCAGGCGACAACGCAACATTTTGAAGTACACAAAGTGCTGTCTTCCACCATAGTTCTACCATTGAGAATTCTTAGATTTCTCATCTACTGAGACCGTGATGGTTTGCCCACCATTCTTGTCCTTTTCAGTTCTGAGAACCCTCCACGATCAAGTGCATATGCCACCATTTTGTACCTCCAAATGGACGGGTGAATGAACGTGATGTACATATGTGTTTTGGGCACTTCTCTGCCATTCACCATTGCAGCATATTAATGAAAACCATTCGTCTTTGTTAACGATGGTAATGAAGCCATAAACACTGTTGTGCTTACGAAGTTTATCGATTTCTTTTAGGAAGTTCGATTTCATTAGCCCCATTTGCTCACAGGTGAGACTTTCTTCCAGATATTTCTCATGAGAAATAGTTACTTTGCATGCACCGGCAACGTCTCTGTAAGATAGAGACGCATTTGGCTGCTGTTTCATCAAGCTAGCCGTTTGTTAGACAGCTTTTGGCTTCTTAGACTGTGGGCGTTGAGATTTTTCACAAGATGTGTTATTAGACCTGCATCTTTTGCTAGTGCTGGATCTGTCTGTTTACCGCCACTGAAGATTTGCAGCGAGAATATCGCTCTCTTTCTTTCTGCTTTGCTGTCTCCAAATCCAAGCCATCTCTGATCATAGCCTTGATACGACTTTTCTGAGCCCTGGTGAAGTATTCCACCTTCCGCCTGATCTCTTTGTTGCCGTCACCTAAATGACTCTGGGTGTTAGCATTTAATGCACCGCCTTTGCAGTCACCTGTGTACATAGGAACATGGGTGTCAATTACCGGTGAGGTACTCCCACTGCTTGATACCATTGGTCTCTGAGCAGATGGGTTCAGACTGTCCGGATCTTGAATCTTTAGTGTGGATTCAAGTCTCTGTTCCAGATTTCCTCCAATATTTGTTGGCGAACGAAGTAGAAGTTTTCTCTCCCCAGCCCGACAATCAGCCTGAGAAATTATAGCGCTTACCCTATTTAGTTTAGCTGATAAGCTGGAACTTAATGGGCGAACTTTACCGTCACCTACTCACTGAGACTTTAGGATATTGTTAAGCCATTTAGACCTTGCCAGCTTACAAAAGTATAAATCTACTATCTGCTGACTAGCTACTACAAATTACTGACCACAAAAATATAAATTTACTTACTACCAGCTAACTAATAACACAGGCATAGACTACAAGACAACACATTCTACCTCAACCTACTGGAAGATCTTGGTTACACTTCTTGCTTCAATCTCAATCAGTAGCATATCACTGTTTGGAATATTAATCAAAGTAGGTGAAGTTGTATCTAAGCCTCTACACTATGACAAGGTGCCTACTACGTAGAAGTTCTCGCACTGTAACGATATTTTTTGTTACAGCCTTTGTTCGACGATCTTCACGAAATTTGACGTGGACATAACGACGACTACTTTGAACTCATTGACCCAGTGTTTTACAGTCGCTGGATGATATTTCATCAACAAACATCGAATTAAGTTGAACGATACAATCTTTTCCGGTTAATCCACATTGAAAATCATCAAAAAATCAACGCACAAAAATTTTATACAATTCCATTTTTTCGCGGAGACACAATTTAGAATCAATGTACGCAACATAAAAGGCTGAAACTGTGTAATGTAATGACGCAACATCACGTAATGCAACACGTTAGTTGTTTGTCGCTGCCTTTGCTATTTAGATAATTGTATCTATGGAGCTCCGTCATTATGTCCAGATGGCAATCACGGGATGAGAAATACTTATAACACCCTAGGCAAATAAACCCACTTGTCTAACGATTAGAATAAGATGTCCGAAAATTAATGGAAAAAACCAAACGATTTACTTAGCCTAACAAGAGATGATATATCTACAGTCGTGGCGTGTATAACGGGTTACTGGCTATGTGACGCTCCTACGTTGGTACTTCCCTAATATAATAACTGCAAAAATTGTGGAAACAGAAGAAGAAATAGTAGAACACGCCTTCTACACCTATCCAGTTCTATTCAGAAGTTAACCGAACTTTTAGGCAATTATATCTTTAGTTCTCTATCAAAAGTGTCCATCGCTAAGATTAAACATAGTATGTTCTTCATCAGATTCTGGTTGTAACAGAAAAAGCAATACTGAGCAACATTGAGCTGAAAATCCGTAATTTTTTCTTTAATAGTAGCAAAAGTGTACCTGCAACTTACGAAAAAAACATATGAAGTAACAACAATGCTCTTGAAATCTTCCAAATTAGAAGTTACTTGCAAAAAAATGCAAAATCAGTCTATTATGAATGTTTACTGGAAATATGTTGCAAAATTCCAGTCAACCATTGAAATCATATGAGCAGAAATAATAATATATTGATATATATTCAAACAATTAGATAAAAACTTTGCTCTTCTATTATTCATTTATTTTATTTATTTACATTAATTAAATTTTTAGGTTAATATTTATATATCATATTGTACACAGCACATCAAAAAACTTATGTCAAAAAAAGCATTTCACATATATTTAAAGTGATACCAATTTGTTTCAATGTTAATGCTCAACTCAGAAAGAATATATTACGGCTAATATTTATACATTTAACCTTGCGTTCATATTATGACACTTATTTCAATCAGTATGAAGCAATCAGTATGAAGTCGTATTGTGTGTACACAATGTATACAGAAATGTGTGAGATAATAGCGTTTTATTAATAAATAATATTTTATTGTAATTATGTTTTAATAATTTAATTACAATGCATCAAATTTGATTTATAACTCTATATATTTAAAAAAATTTGTTATATTGCTATAATGTAATAATTGACAAGTGTGATCATGATTTTATAAATATTCAAATGAAAATCGAAACTACAAAAAAGCAGGGTACTTAAATTTGTATAATAAATATCAGAGATTTTGTCAATATTAGAACACATGCGGTACTTTGAGGTATTTCTGGATATTTATGATATACTAACCTATTGTTCACAGATAATGTGAGAGTATATAATATATATTCAGTATCAAAATTCTGTAAAAATCGTTGTCATATCTGATTAATATTCTTTGATATGTACGTGTGTATAAAGATTTTTTATATATAAAACTATGCCATAGAATAATCAAAATATTTATACCAGTTTATGTAATATTTTTCATATAAAAGAAAAATGTTCCTTATTTGACAATTTTTTTAATTACAATTTATATGTTATGCAGAAAATTTCAGAATTGCAGTTATGGCTGAAGAGATTTCATAAATTCTTCGATTATTGCCAACCAATTGTCGCAAGCATGCTGCTGGTGTAAGTGGGCTTTTAGTTTACGCATAAAATTTTCCACTTTTTCTAAAAAATTTTTGATGTGTGCATAAAATTTTATAGTTAAGGATAAAAGGAGTAAAGCGTAATTGTTTTAAAACTATATTTGAAATTTCATGATTAAAAACGGACATAAACATGACTTCAATCCAATTCGTTATACAACCATTGCCTAGCACCGATGAACAATTTATTGACAGGTTTGTAAAAATGTCCTAAAACATTAAAATAATTTTATGAAGGTATACGCAATGGAATTTGTAAGCATATGATAAATGTTCATGTCGTTATTAACATATACCACGCATATGTATTTATGTTCCTACATATTAAATATTTATATAATTTGCAATATGTATTTAATACGAACGGGAGCATGTCTCATATGTATTTTAATATCTCATTTTCCATAATTACATAACTATATAATAGTGTTTAAGTATGGCCTAATTTGATAAATAAAACAATTGTCTATATTTAAAGTTTACTTATTTAATTCTAATATACCGACTATCATCAGAGATAGTTATCCTTCCTGAGGATGCCTATCAATAATGATCCAGTTAGTCCATACTTTATACCAACACTATGAAATTGTTTGGTCATAAATATATTTAACTTTTTGTACATAATTTTATCCCTTTTGAGCTATAAAAAATTCGTCAGTATTCTAGTTCAGAAGTAAATCTATATGTGTGTATATCAAAAAATGAAAAGTTGTAATAGTATTTCTTAAATTTTGTCTATAGGCTTCGTGAAGTATCAGATAAGGTTAATAAATATGGATTTGGAACTCATAGGATATTTGAACAACTCAAAATTCCAGTAAAGGAAATAGTAATTGGGCCAAGTCATTTAGGAGTTCTTTTAGAGGATGGAAAAGCTTTCCGAGTTTTATTTAATATAAATTCGGATCGTCTTGATTTAAGTAAATCAGATAATTTAAAAAGGTAGGATTTAGGTAAAATTTCAAATATAATATAATAATTAATTTTGCTAATAGTACCGGAAATACCAACACAAATACATCAAATAATACGAAAGCTGCTCCAGGTTCATCTTCACGACAATTAGCAAGATCTCGTGCTCGATTATTGCGAACTACAGGTAGGTCGGGCACAGCAAACCAAAACTCTGGATCTCGAAGTACAGGAGTTATAATAGGTGGATCTTCTAATCGCCCACTTGTTACAGTTCCAGCAACTTATGTTCCAGAAGAATTAATATCGCAAGCTGAAGTAGTACTTCAAGGTAAAAGTCGAAACCTCATTATCAGAGAACTTCAGGTGTGTATTAACAATACCCAAAATTTTTATAATATTCATTTAAATTTATAATCGTTATTTAAATTCAGCGGACAAATTTAGATGTTAATCTAGCTGTAAATAACCTGCTCTCCCGGGATGATGAAGATGGTGAGGATACTGAAGAAGGAGGAGAAAATTACGTTCCAGAAGACTTAATTTCACTGCTGGATAATGGTTTTCATGGTGATAATAACAGTGTAATAATTGATCCATCCGATGGTTTATTCTCTGAAGAAATTTTTAGTAACTACTCAAGCATTCGAAAGTTCGTTTATTATTATTTTTTTTAATTCTTATGTTAGATGTTAGCTACTGATGTTTCTATTGTTTTAGTTTGCTATTTGATCGTATACGTAGCGAAAGAAACCATGCTAATACTGGAAATGCAGATAACAATCAAATTAGAACATCTTCAACTAATAGTACTGTTTCTACAGCAAATAGCTTAACAGGTCAAATTTCATCTGGCAATCCTGATAGAGAAGCCTTTAGCCGATGGAGAGATCGTCAATACTATGGTCCTCGTCGCTGGTGTAATAAAGATGAATTTGCTTGGGAAAAAGATTTAGGTATTATTTATTTTATTTTCAATCTTAAAACATAAAATCAAAACAGATTATGAACATGTTTTTAAGATGCTAAAAAAAAAGAACCATTAATGACATCACCGGTATGGATATCAGAGGAGCTTCAACCATGGCCTGACAAAGGGAATACACTTCGATTTAAAAAAATAGCTGCTTTATATTCTGAATTAATTGCTATTTCAGAGAATGGAGAATTGCATCAATGGAAATGGACAGAAATAGAACCATTTAAAATAGAGGTAAACATAACTTAATATTTTCTTGTAAAAAATAAATCGTTAATTCAATTTATAAACAAACAAAAATGATCCACATCTTTACCAAAAAAAAAAAAAACAAAAAATTATATTCCTAATGATTTATTTAAACCACTAAGTGGTACTATTTAGGTACTTAACCTCATTTAAGCTATAGTGGTTCGCATAAGTTTAGGAAATATAAACAAACGACTAATAATCCGCAAATTTAAGACCAAGTTATGTACACTGCTATTATGTTGTGTTTTAATGGGTTAAATGGTTTCTTAATCAAAATATGTGTTCCATCTTATGTTATTGAATTTTGTATATCGAATAGCTAATTTTAATTACATTAACTAAACATTATTACTTATTATATCTGGTCAGTAATTTTGTAATCGTTTTTATTGATTTGTCTATAATCGTATCTTGCTTTCAATCATATTCTTTATCTCAGAACATTTTCAAAATGATGAAATCAAGAATTTCTTAGGAAATACTATACTACTTGTTTTGTCAGTCAACTTTAATTTGTCGGAATATTATATTTCTTATTCCTTTTTGAATATTCTGTCAGGGCTGTCCAGACCAGATGCGATCGCGGGCCTGTACAAATCACTATACAGAGTAGAGGGCCGCATAAACAAATACATACGTTCATAGTTGTTTTCGACAAAAATAAAAATACAATTATAATGTTAAATTTAGTTTTATTAATTTAACAATTTAAATTCATTTATTTGGTACACCATAAAAATAAAATAATAAGTTTTACCAGTACACTAAAAGTAGATTAGTAGATTAAAAACATGCCGCGTGCCGCATAAACATTATCAAAACAATCCTAGGACGTTAATTTGTTGTGTAATCCTTTTGAGGATGGTGAGTCTAGAATGTGGACACATCCACTTCAGTAACCAAAACTTCTACAGTTATATTCATCTTTATCGATACAGAATCTGTTAATTGCTTAGTTGCATTTTTTTTGTTAAATAATAGCATGGACCGTACTCTATTTTTAATAAAACGTTCGGTGAAATAAATGAATGTTTTACTTAGTTTAATATTTAATTAAACCAACAATTTTTCTCCTTTATTTAGGTTGAAAATGTTTATCACCCAAAAACTTTACATTTAAATATAACTGAAAAAATTGAGTTAATATCGGCAAACTTTATCCGATGTTCAGTAGTTACTGAAAGCAATCGCGTAGCTACTTGGATGGATGAACAACTTGGATATTTGGGTGCAAAGCTAGAACATGCTTCAATTGCATTCACAGAATTTATTATGGATCCAATAGTATCAATTAATGTATGTTCTTTATATACAGCTGTTCGAACAGAAAATAATAACATTTATTGGTGGGGAGTACTTCCATTTGATCAGCGACGACATTTGTGGGATAAAGTGCGGACAAAGGCTAAAAAACCATTTAAAACAGTTGCAACTGATATATTGATTGGCTCACAAGTTATAATGAAAAAATGTCCAATATATCAAACTGGATCAATTGGATTTACGTGTAGTAATGGAGTACCTAAAGTTGGACAATTACTGAACTCTGTGTGGGACTTCGCCGATGTGTGTAGATTTAAAATATTAAATATAAATACATCATTTTCGTCTGAGAAAAGTTCAAGTAGTACCACCAATAATTCTAATTTAGAAAAGGAAACTTCAAAATCAACTTTGCTTGCCTCTAGCATTCAAACAACTACCAACAGTAAAGGAAATTCATCAAATACTAATAAAGAAACGACAGACCGGATAGACATGCCACCACCACCCTCACCAGCATCTAGTACATGTAGTGATACCGGCAGCGTAACATCTCATAAACGACCCAAGAGAATGACAGCAAAAGAAGATAATGAAAATAAAAAAGATGAAGAGTTATGGCAACTTAAAGACGTTGTATTTGTTGAAGACAAAATTGGACCAATTGGAAAAGTTTTGAAAGTTGACGGTGATTTTGTAGCTGTTCGGTTTCCCATTACTTCTCAATCAAGTTCTACTACTTCAGGCAATGTGAGCGAAGGGAAAGATGATGATTGGCAGCAGTGTCGCCTATTAAGGAGAGAAGATGTTCAAGTTTATAAAGCTGCGATAACATCTCGTGGACCTGATTGGCTACAAAAATTACCTAAAAAGATTAATATAAATCACGGAAATGATCCGATAAATTTTCAGTTACTTGCTATAGCTGTCGATACGAGAGGAATACATGTTGTAAAAAAAATGTCTTCAAAATTATATTACAGTCTTTACAACCTTCACAGTAGTAAACAAGAACAAAATTGTCAATTTCCAACCGATAGTACTTCATTCCTCGGATCGTCTTTAAATAATATTAGTATGATTTGTAACAATGATGGTAGTGGAAATGCAAGTACAATAGTTCTACGAGACGGTAACTGCGCAATTTATCCACTTGCTAAAGATTGCTTGGGGTCTATAAAAGATCCTCACTGGCTTGATCTTTCCCCTGTTAAAAATGTATCCATGTCGACAATCGCATTACCCACAATAAGTAATAATTTAAAGTCTAAAGTATGTATGGCAGCTCTGCTTTTTGAAAATCAGAAAATTATGCCTCATATTTTACGATGCGATATTAAAAACTCATTAGCTATGCTAAATAGATTGGAAAAAGATTGTTCTGATTTTCAAAGTTTAATAGACGAACGATGTGATGGATCTAGAAATATATTCCATGCATGTACAATAATGTGTTCACCTACTTCAAACAAAGATCCAGAAGAAAAAAAAGTAATAGGAACAACACGTAATACATCTGCAGGAAATTCAACAAACAATACAGTACCTGGAGGAATAGATAGCCCGAATTCTTCATCAGCTATAGGATTATCTACAAACTTATCTACAAGTCGTGAAGGGCGTACAATAAGTCTCCGAGAAATGATGAATCGTCTTGTCAATAATGAATCTGATCATTCTAGTGCACATAATGCATCTACAAATAGTAACATAGAAAGTTATTTCTATATACCTCCATGGTCAATTGATGCCAATGTTAGCAACAACGCTGGTATAAATGATGTGATCATGAGTAATGCTGAAGAAGACATTTCAAAAATAATATCAACTCCATCTACTAGCTTTAATATAGGCAATAAAATTTCTTCACCAAATTATACTTATGATCCTGTTCAAAGGCGAGAACACGCAATTTTAATTCTACAACACATGTGTGCTAATGCTTCCTTACGACCGTATCTACAACAAATGTTAAGTGCAAGAGATGCTCAAGGGCAAACACCATTTATGTTGGCTGTATATTGCCGAGCCTATGAAGCAGGATTAATTCTCTTGAATACAATTCTTAGTATTGTTGAAAAAGATCAGACAGCAAAAGATGCTATGATATTTCCAGCTGGTTCACCACCAGATCAATCACCTTTGCATGTAATCTGTTATAATGACACGTGTTCTTTTACATGGACAGGAGCTGATCATATTAATCAAAATATATTTGAGTGCAAAACTTGTGGTCTGACAGGTTCATTATGTTGTTGTACAGAGTGTGCACGTGTGTGTCATAAAGGACATGATTGCAAATTGAAACGCACATCGCCGACAGCATATTGCGATTGCTGGGAAAAATGTAAATGCAAAGCTTTAATTGCTGGAAACCAAAATAAACGTTTTGCGCTTCTATGTAAACTTGTACATTGTACGGATTTAGTAACAAAATTTAATTCTAAAGGTGAATCTATATTACTTTTCCTTATTCAGACTGTTGGTAGACAGTCTTTAGAGCAAAGACAATATCGTGCAACTCGTGTACGCAGTGTGCCTAACAACAGTGGTAATAGCGTACCTGCAGCACGAAAAGCTGCGTCCATTGATATAGATGCGGACATGCCAGAACATGACTTGGAACCACCAAAATTTGCTCGAAAAGCTTTGGAAAGATTACTTGTAGATTGGTATGCTGTACGTGCAATGATTATGACAGGGGCAGAAGACTTAGAAACCACACCTGGGCCAACTTATTCAGGTGATGCAACGAAGAAGGAAAATTATAAATATGTTCAAAAACAACACGGGACAACGTTATTAGACAAATTTACGCACAATTTATTTGTAAAAAGTTCAAGTGATCACCTCGAAGCACTTTTAATGACTTTAGTGCATGAAATGCAGAATGTTGCTATTCCCGGAAGAATATCGGAAGCGGAAGAAGTGGCTCGTCGGTTTGTTCGGTCTGTGGGGCGTGTTTTTGTTATATTTAATCTTGAAAAATCTCCTAGTCCTGAACGGCGTAAATCGTATATTAATTCCATTAAACATATACAAAGCTGCATTAAAGTTTTTCAAACTTTACATAAAATATCAATTCAAGAACTTTGTGAAGTTTCGGAAGCATTAATAGCTCCTGTCCGACTTGGAGTTGTACGTCCAACTGGCAACTTTCATACTTCTCAAACAAGCATAGATGTAAGTACCATCCAATCGATTATATAATCAGTTTTTTTTAAATTACCTAATGTACTTTTGTATTTTAGAATTCTGATGAATTATTTAGTGTAGAACCTCTAGCACCTACTTCAGCTAATGAAGTGATTGTAGAGCCTGTAACTGGTCACGAATCTTCTAGAGACGAAGCTTCAGGATTTAACATACAATCAAACTACAGTATAGATGGAATTGAAGGTATAAATATTTATTAAAATATAAATTCATATAAAATTTTTATAAAGTATTTATAAAGAATTTAGTAATAATTTATGATTATTAAGGGTTACGAGAGATATCTGAGAACGAAGAGATACCCACGAGAGACAATAACACACACAGTCAAGATGAGGATGTATTAGAAACCACACGTAATGATGAAGGTGTTCAGGATGATGAAAGCGATAACGATTTTACCTTTAATGATGCTGAAACTGAGTCCGATTCTGATGATAATCAAAGCAATCAAGACGCACAACGAAGTGTACAAACTGGGGCAACAGTTGGATCAGAAACAGGTGATTTATGATGTATTAAAATTATTGTTAGTTAAAAAAAAACAAACAAGTGATATGTCAGTAGACCTATATATGTACGTTTATAATGCAGTAGGTAGTCGTTATTTTACAATTGGTTATAATCATTCGTCATTTTTGAAAGCTATGTTAGGTGAATATCAATTTATTTATAATCTTTATCTTTGTTAGAACTTAAATTTCAGAAGCTTTGGTCTGACAATAATCTACTATATTTTATTTTGGTATTTTAATTCAATTGCACGTTGAAATAATTATCTTTTAAGTGATTAACTGATTAACCTTAATTTTTTTAGTTTACATTCAATAAGATAAAATAATTATTGGATAAAAATTATAATTATTTACATATGTTTTAATTTTTAGATATAGGTGTACTGTTTCTTGAAGATGAATCTGGCGATTCTTCTCCTGAAGATGCTTCAGAAGAGGGAGAAACAGATGAACATTCTGATGAATTTAATTTCGCTGATCATCAATTAGAGCGACGCAATACTAATTCAAGCGTTCGAAATGATTTAGCACCACAATCAATGCAGTGGGCTATTCGGGGTCGTGATGTGGTTCGGTCTTCTGTTCGAGTTCCAGCTGGATCCAGTTTAGTGTTTATCGATCCACTGGCTTTAAGGCGATCAACGATGCCTGCTACCTCCACTGTAACAACGACACCTTCAGAACAATTTACAATGGCTTCGACAGCTAGTAATTTAGCTAGAGCATTTGGTATTATTATTCGACAAATTGCAGAACTTTTAAGTTATTTATCGTACCATGTTATAAATGAAATTGAGTTGTCTTTAAAAGTTAAATACGAAGACATAGTTGAATTACAGGTAAAAAATATATATATATTTTATTATTTGCTGTTAACTGTCTTATATATTGTAGGATTCTATTGAATCTCGGCTTCAAGTCACTTGGGATTGGATGCTATCTGTTTTAGATAGTACAGAAGCTCAGCTAAAGTTCGGGTCATATTTATCGGAATATGCTGATCCAAGTCATCCTTCGCATCCACTTAATCTAAGTACTCAAGGTAGTTCCAATCAACCAACCACTACACCTGTTGGAGTAAACGTATTAGGTATTTGATAGACGAAATACTCATAGATAGGTCACATTTATTTAAGACTCATTAAAATAGGATATAATTAAAATACATTTAACTTATACATTATTAATCTCATGTTTAAATGAAAAATTTACTTTTATCATTACATAATAACAAAAAATATTTATTTGATAAACATTTTAGTCATATCAGACAGATCTAGATTTTTAGTTTTTCTGTACCATAACTAATCTAATAATACATAATCATATTTTTTATAATTTATGTAATTAGGACCATCAGCACGACGAGATTTCTTCTCTTATTGCCTTTCACTTATGCGTTCACATACTTCAGAGCATCGGGACTCTCTTCCTGTGTTAGATGTAACAGCACTAAGGCATATTGCTTATGTTGTAGATGCTTTTATATTTTATATGCGAAGTGATGTACATTTGTATGAAAAAAATGATGCTGTGTCTAATAATACTAACAGTTATACATCGCTCACATCCGAAATTGATGATACAGATGATGAACTTCCTAATATAAAAATGTACGATCAATTTGCGGAATCAAATGGATCATCTGCCATACTTGTAACTGAAAATAATATGCGACGTCCTTCATTCTTTATTAGATCTGATTCTACGTTAAGTCTCGGTTGTCTACCACCTGAAACTTTGGATAAACCTGTAGAAGCGGCTTTACCTCTAGCTGATAAACCTCATCTACTACAACCTAATTCAAAACGTACTGATTTATTTTATAATATTCCTGTTAAAGATACAATCAGTAAAGATACTCAAAATGTATCCGACGCCATTGTTAATAAACCATCGCCGAGACTTGGATTTTCCAAACATATTAATCATTCTAAACAATTTGAAGTCAAAGATAAAGATAACTCTGAAAAAAGCACACCAAATGTTTATGTTCAACTGAAAAAGAAACAACTTTCTGAAGACACAAAACCACATGCAGAAGGTAAGTAATCTGTTGTTATATATGGACTTTTTTGAAGGTTCGTAGGTTTTAGTTATACATATTGATTAAAACTTACATGAACAAATTAAAGTATTTGTAATGCTTGCGGATCTTGAGTATTGTTATTATATTTCATGTAAAAAGAAGTATACATTTGCCATTTAATCGAACATGATTGAACGTGTTCAGACTATTATATAGGCATGTCTTTGTAAACGCGGTTAATATTATAAATTTTCGAAATAGTAATAATAGTTTTAGTAATTTCAATGCATTGCACACGCCTCTTGAATACGATTTACATGTTCAGTTACCACAATTCGGGAATGTCTTAATAAATTTATATAATTGCTTTATAAAAAAAAAAAAATTTGTCTAAATGTAGCAGTTTTGATATACTTTTTACACGTAAAAACAGCTATATATAAAATAACTGTATTTTAAAAGAATTAGCTATATAAATTATTTAATAAATTGTCTAATTTTTTTTCTACTCAGTGTGACTCTTAATATTATTCCAATAAAATTAAATTACTTTGATATAATGTATTATAAAAACTTTAATCCTTCCTTAAATTCCTTTTAGAATTTTTATATTAATATATTATATGATGCAAATCAATTAGTTTATATAACATAAAAAATTAATTTGATTTCAGAAATTTCGAATAGTATTGATAAAATTTTACAATTGGATATGAACATGAGTGAAAATGAACACATTACAAAATGCAACGAAGTATTAATGGTGGCTAGACCAGATGTTATAGTTTCCCCAAGCAAGTCTCATCGGGATAAAGATAAAAATATTAGTGCTACTTCTACTTCTGCTACTCGCAGTGTAATAGTTAGAGCTGGTACTTCAAAAAAAACTGAGGAAACCATGGATTGTACGAAATGGTCTGAAGTTGATGATATTAAAAGCGGTCGAACAAACACACCCATGTTTTCATTCCCTGCTAGAGGATTACACTTCTGTAAAAATTCTATGTCTGAGTTTCCATCATGGAATTTATTACTTAATCGATGGAAAGAAGTTCTTGATTTATTTGGTAGAGTGTTTATGGATGATGTGGGTATGGAAAATGGTTCTATATTACCAGAGTTACGTGGCTTCCCAGTCAAGGAGGTTCGTTTTCGTCGTCACATGGAAAAATTAAGAAATGGTCAACAGAGGGATTTAATATTATGTAAACTGGAACGAAATCGTGATAATTTAATTCTTCAAACATTTAAAGAATTGAATACTCAGTTTGGTAATCAAAACCGCCGCATAAATCCGCCTCTTACTTTTAATCGTGTTAAAGTAACTTTTAAAGATGAACCTGGTGAAGGTTCAGGTGTGGCCCGCAGTTTTTATACGTCTATATCAGAAGCTTTATTATCTATTGAAAAATTGCCTAATTTAGAATCAGTGCAAGTAGGAAACAGTAATAAGTATAATGTTCCGTTCTCAAGTATACTACGAAAGCATGGACCAAATCATGGATCAAATCGTGATCCACCTGCTGTGCAAAGGCGCAATGCTACTGGAAGTAAAATTTTGTGGCGAACTGCAAGGGAACGCAGAATGTTAAATTTTGAAGCTAGGCCATACATACCGTCAACTAGCAACAATGGTAAATAAGCTAAAGTATATAGATTTATAAGTTATAAACAATTTCATTTTTTAGATAACTTAACTGAAAACTTAAATGATCATTTATCGGTTCATTTACAACAACTTGGTGATCGACTTTATCCAAGGGTAAATAAATAATTAATTATTAAAATTAATAATGAATTAATTAATAATTTTTTATTAGATATATTCAATAAATCCTGGCAATGCATCTAAAATCACTGGCATGATTTTGGAGATGCCGACTCCTCAACTTCTCTCAATATTGTCTTCAGAAGAAACTTTGCGCCAAAAAGTTACGGAAGCTCTTGATATCATTACTTATAAACAGAAAGCGGAAATAAACAATTCATCCACACATTCAAAAAAAGTAGTACCAGTTGTTTTATTAGATCAGGGACCGTTGGATGATAATGAACCATTATTCTATTCACCTGGTAAATGTGGGTTTTACACACCAAGGCAAGGACTTGCTTCATTTGAACGCATAAACGCGTTTAGAAATATTGGAAGGTATTCACAAATTAGTATAATTAAATCCATTTTATTAACAATTATCTTATTATAGATTAATCGGTCTGTGTCTTCAACAAAATGAATTATTACCATTATTTTTACAGAGACATGTCCTTAAATATATTCTTGGTCGTAAAATAAAATTCCATGATTTAGCGTTTTTCGATCCTGTCATTTATGAGTCTTTTAGACAATTATTAAATAATGCTCATTCTAATGATGGTGAAGAAGTTATTAACCGAATGGAAATATTTTTTGTGTAAGTCGAAAATAAAACAAAATTTGATTTTTATAATTTGTAAAATTATAATCATTAACATATTGTTATTGATTTAATTTTATTATCTACAATCGACATTTTTAATTCAAATTATATCTGTGATAATTAATATAGATATCTGTGAAAGCATAAAAAGCACTACAGTCTAATTTTTAACATTTAAAACGAAATAATAATTAATTAAAACATTAAAATTAAAGTTTCCCATTTTTATACAAAACTGCAAATTTATATAGGTTATGAGCTCTTATATAATTATTTATTTTTTTTTTTTTATATAATAATTATTATAATTAATTAATAATTATTTATAAGAACTCTAATTTATAGATTGTTTTAATATTTTGTGTTTTTTACTTTTATAGCATTGATCTAATGAAGGAAGAAGGTGGTGAAAGTATAGAATTAGTCGCAGGTGGACGAGAAATTCAAGTTACGTCTAACAACATATTTGATTATGTTCGAAGATATACGGAATATAGATTGATTAAATCACAAGAAAAGGCTCTTGAGGTAAGTAACTATATGTAAAAATTAAATTTCTCCAAATTTAAGGTTTTTTTTATTCCAAAGTTAAAACCGTTTTTATAGGATTTAATAAATTACTTAAATTGTAATTACTCGTAACGTTTGAGTATACCAGTATAACGAAAGTATTAATAAATAAAATATATGAAAGTTTATATTTCAAGAAAGTTTATATCTCAAGAATAATTAAAATTTAGGAAACATGTCTGTTGTACAAAATGTTTTATATCTTAAGAACCACTCGGTATTCATTTTGTTTTAGCAGTGAAACTCAACCATATTTTACGGACCATTTCTTTTAAAATACATGTACTAAAAATATTTTTTTTTTATTTAAAAAATTTTATTTTTATTTTATAAAATGTATATTTAATTTTAAGATAAATTATTTCCAGATATTTTTTATCTAGGACTTTGTTGTATGACAGTGTATGCTCATATTATGTTACACTGAATATTTTGAAAACATATACCAACTTTAATCACTTTTAGTCTTAAATGATGCATACAACAAGCTCTTTCATCTCAGTGCCGCATAATAGATTTTTTTTTTTCAGTTTATTTTATTCTTCAAGCAAAGTAATATTATTTTAATAACTGAAACATAAGATTTCAAAAACTATAATATTTATAACCGCTTATTTTATTTTAGTAACTGACCTACAAGATACTAAAATAAAACCATGTCTCTTTCCATCCTACATTTTTTTTGTTTTTAAAAACAATGGCTTATATCAATAGCTTTTCAATATTAAAAATGTTTTGATATAATGGATACTATTATTACATTGAAATGATAAATTCTTAGCAATGGCATACGTGTCCATCATTTGGCTTTAATAGGTATATGCAGAAACCATGTTATCTATACGAGATACCTATGTTATGCACCTATAATATAATTATGTATATAATAGTTTTAAATATCGACTTACGTTAGAAGTCACCTTAAAATGAAAAAAAAAATTTTTTCTCACTAATAGTTAAAAACCTAGTATTCTATCGTAACCATCAACTTTATTAAAAAATACAATTATTGATAAATTGACATTCACTGTTGTTTTGTAACAGATTGCACTTTTATAGAATATGGTTGTTTTCATATTAATTATTAACAGAGCTTAAAATTTAAAATTTCGATGCCGCTTGTAGACACATGATTACTACACAGCCATTTCACACAAAGAGGAAGTCGCAAAAATAGTAGGGACTTATGTAATAATGACTAAAAACTAGAAACTGAACGTAAAAATGTTTACATACCGAGTAATGCAAGAATCTCATGGAACAATAATAATGTACCTAGTCAAAAATTGCGGAATTGCTATTCAAATCAATCAACAGATTTAATAAGGTCTGACAAGTAAATGTTCTGGTCTGGTCTTTTAATTAAAAGCGCAGCAAGGCAACGATAAATTTTAAATACTGTTAAATGTAATATATTTATTTCTTGACAGTGGTTAACACAATACTTTAGTATTAAGCTTCAGTACTAATCATAAGCTGAAATAAGTTGATAATTTTATTTGAAAGAAGTTAATCTGTTCACAAGTTATGAAATTCACAATATCTCATAATTTCGTCACTTCTTATTTATACAATCTTTAAATAATGATAGATTTGAAATTATATAAATTTACGATTACATTTTTTTAAATATGTTTGCAAATTTTAAGTAAAATAAATGTGCTTATAGGCTCTTAAAGAAGGAGTGTATGACGTTCTACCAGATAATTGTATGGGTAGTCTTACATCAGAAGACTTTCGATTACTTCTCAATGGAGTAGGTGATATAAACGTTTCTACCCTTATATCATATACCACATTCAACGACGAATCGAGTCAAGGATCCGACAAGTTAATCAAATTTAAGCGGTGGTTTTGGGGCATTGTAGAAAAAATGAATACATTGGAGCGGCAAGATCTAGTAAATAATTAAATATATATATAAATTGATGGAATAAAATAATTTTTTTATTTTTTAAGGTGTACTTCTGGACGGGATCACCAGCTTTACCAGCATCTGAAGAAGGATTCCAACCACTTCCTTCTGTAACAATTAGACCAGTAGATGACTCTCATTTGCCTACAGCAAACACATGTATATCAAGGTTATATATTCCTTTATATTCTAACAAATCAATTTTACGTAGCAAATTGCTATTGGCCATTAAATCGAAAAATTTTGGATTCGTTTAAACGTAAAAATATATTTAAATTACTTTTTTAATGTTATTATGTAGAAACATATTTAGTACCAGATTCAAAATGAAAGTTTGACATTCCTGAAAGGTATATTTGAAATTGCAATAAAACAATATTTTTAAATTTAATACGTTATTTGACAATAGATTAAATTTTGAAAAGAATGGTAGCCAATTCAAATTCTCCATAATGTATTGTTATGAATTTATTAAATTCGAAAAGCTTTTTGAATAAAACATTAAATAACATACATTTTATTATTTAACTTTTTTTTATAAAAAATTTATAAGTTGAAATATAATAATGAATATTAATCTTGCTATGTTTTAATACTCTAAAAAGGTCTCTGTGTTTTTTTTTAAATATTATTATTTAAATACATTATGTAGTACACTATATCTAATTTTTATTAGCTTCCATTTAAATGAACAACTGTAACAAGTTACCAAATATCTTCCTTCCGGTAGGAAAATATGCCTTCCGAATTAGTCATACGCCTGTAAAAGATGAATATCAAAACATATTTGATTCCTTTGTGTTTTGCAAATAAAATTATATGTCGCAATTACTGCATTGAAATTTTATTTGCATTATTCTAAATAGATATAATAAATTAAAATAATTATAAATAAATGCATATTAAGCATTTTCTTATATGGAATATCGCATATTCAGGTGCAATAAATTTGTTTAAATAATTGAAATTTTGAATGAAATAATTCACTTCGAACTAGTTCGAAATTCAGTCGAATCCAATCTTTGAATTTTATTGACAAGATAAGTTGCAACAATAGCTTGTATTCCAAAGGAAAATCTTGTCTAAAACTCATTGTAAGGTAATTTTAAGTATTTAACACGGACACATATATACATTATATTTTACTACAACAGTACATATTTACCGCATACAATAAGCAACAACATTATATGACAATTATAAACATAATTATTACATGGCGATTTTTATAATCTAACCTGTTAAGATTATCACCGATTCTGAAAATCAAACCGGCGAACGTAATGAACAACCGACAATACTGAGTTATGCGAACAACTCTCCTGAAACTGTATCCCAAAATGATCGACTACATTTATTACTGAATTTGCGAACGCAAAAAAAAAACTACTACGTATACGACAAAATGTTCAAAATTATAAAAGTGTGTCACACAATCTTGGTATACAAAAATAGAAATACAAAAACAAAACAAATGCGAAATACAAAAAATAACCAACCAAAAAAGGAAACGCAATAACTTATAAAATATGTAAAATCAAAATGTATATCGACCCAAGCAGGTATCGACTCTAATTCATAGAAGAAATTCGTAGAAGAGCAATTAATTCTAACTCCTGTAAATAAGTGAACAATAATGTCTTAGACTTAATCTTACCTGAATCGACTCTAATGTTCAAATATATAAGTATAAGTAAGTCTATAAGTAATTAATAATGTACATTAGAAGTAATATTAACTGGGTATAAAATTTGTATTCTCTATACTTTTAGTTAAAATAATATTTATAAAAAAAACCTACAAAAATAATTAATGGTAAAAGATATAGATAGTATAAGTATATCCATAAAAACTATACAAGGATATTTAAAGAAATCTTGAAAAAGAAATATATATAGGAATCTTCTCTAGCTTTACTGCTCATATTAATGAGATTTTAGAAAAATATATGAATGACTCAATTCGACATATTCAGCTATATCAAGTAAATCAAGTATATAAATGAAGACAATAGTACCCGGTGAACTTACAACAATTTTTTTTTTAAATCATGCGCTTGAAAGCTCTCTGCAAACATTCTATCTAATCTTTCTCTTAATGATAAAACAATTATTCACAATATAGTAGTAATTACCAACCAAACAAACGACCTTATATAGAGAAAACAATATTATAAGACAAAATTATAATCCACGTACTAGGTAGATTGATAATTAGCTGACTTCACAATAGGTTGCACTGCCAGACAAAGTCAATTACATTTTGTATATCTGGCAAGTTTTAAATGATAGCTACAAAAGTTTCGACTTCATCAGATATTTGGTTAGGTTTTTGCAAATAATTGAAATAGTGCACCTTAGTGATTTTTTATAAAATTGAATATCGTTCAGCAGTTAAATTCTTCAATTTGAAAAGAATAAACAATGATGCATTCAAATTGGAAATGGATTCTGTTTACGGCAATCTTTCACCATCGTCAACAATAATAATATATTGGAAAGCTGAATTTAAACGTGATCGTACGAGTATTTTTGATGAAGAGCGTTAGGGTCGTCTAAAAGATTTCACAACTAAACAAAACAGTGAAAAAATCCAAGATATTGTGTTGAATGATTCAAAAATTAATTTGTGTGAGATAGAAAAGATGACAAACATATCATATTTACGTGTATCGAATATTTTGCATGACTATTTGGGTAAGAAAAAACTTTCGGCAAGATTGGTGCCGCGTTTGCTCAAAAACGACAATGACTTCGTCATTCAAAACATTGTTTGGAAATGATTATGCACAATGTTATGCTGACTGCGATGGTCGAGTTGTGGCAATTGATGAAAAATGGATCCATTACTTCACACCTGGGATTTAAGTGAAATAATTATCATAGACTATTTGGAAAAACTATTCAAGGAAAAACAACAATATCACACTACCATTGCATATTACTGGCTAAATTAAATGAGGAAATTAAGAAAAAAATGATCACAGTATAACGCACCTGTTCACACGTCAGTGAGAGTCATGGCAAAATTAAATGAATTACGGTACAAATTGCTTCCTCACCCAATGTATTCTTTAAATATGGCCCCAGTGACTATTACTTGTTTCCAAATATAGCTCCAAGGAAATAGATTGAGATCAAATGATGAAGTGGAATTGGAAACTGAAGTATATTTTGGAGGACTTGATAAATCGTATCCAAATGTTAAAAGATCATTGTACTCGGTATGTCAAGCTAAATGTAGACTACATTATATACTTTATTATATATAAATATAACTATATATTATGCATAAAATCTTATTTTCCAAAATAAAACTAAGTAATTTTTATTACTTGAGCCGGATATTTTTCAATTCAAAACAACTTCTAAAGAAGAGAACAATGCCAGTCCAGTATAAATGCTATTTGGCAATCCCTTAAATGTTCCACGACCCTTACTGGTAAAATTCAAGCATAAGTCTGGTGAGGTTTTATCAAGTGACTGCACTGAAGCCTGTCTAATGTTAGGTCGCCGTGTGGGTTGACCGATTTATCTGCCCAACAAATTAGCAAGTATGACGTATTCATCTTCAGTCGGCGCGTGAGCACAAATTAGAGTGATGTTAAAGAACGTTCTCTTGAAGAGGATTGTAACAAACCTTTCGTTTACTGGTGTGAATCAGAGAACTGCGAATCATAATTTACACATTCATTGCGCACTCGTAAAAAACCAAATCTAAAAGCGTATAAATATTTTTCTCACACACTACTTATATGAATTCACATTCGCCACAGAAGTGATTCATAAGTATTTTCGTTAACGAATGCGGGTGCTAATGAATCAGCTTCATAATAATAAATATGATTCATGAATCATAGCATATACTCAGATGACTTGATGACTCGAGTGAGTGCTGTATGAAATTTTGTGTAAGCGATGTTGTTGTTAGCATTGTAATATGTAGCATTGCATATGTTTTGTTTGCGTCAATGAATATTTCTTGTGTATTAAAATAGGGGTTATTTCAGGTGGAAATTATATTTACTTTTATTTCAGGTTAATATATTTTTCTTTAAAAAAATCAGGTATAGTTGTAAGTTAGAACAATAAACAATTTAAATAAATTACAGGTCGATTTCAGGTACATATCTATCTTTCAACACTGAGTATTAATCCTAATTTTTGGAAATATAAATATATAAATTTTATGACTATATTTATTACACGAAAGTTTACTATTATATTATTGTTAAGCAGTTTTGAGGAAAATAATTCCTGGAATACTTATACCCTTTAATACATAGTAATGATTTTCTTTGATTAGTTTTAGCAATAATTATATTGAAGACTTACTTATTATTTCCTTGGCCTTAGCAGAAACGATATTAAAAGCTACACTGTACTTCTTACAGGACACTGTAGACTTAATTACCACATGAAGATTATAGGTGTGCTAGAAAGTGACTCCTGTGGACTCTGTCATGAGGAGAAGGAAACATCAGAACATGTTCTATGCAACTGCCCAGCGGTGGCAAGACGTAGACTCGATTACCTTGGAAGTGAGATCTTAGTCCCAAGTCAAATAGGTAAAATTAAGCCCACAGCAATTACAAGATTTATAAGTAGTCTAAAATTATCCTAGTTGTGCCTTTAGGCGCACAATAAATCTTTTAGGTCGGGGTGCTTTAATAGCCTATTACTTAAATAAATAATAATACTTATTATTATTATATTGTAACTCATAATTAGTTGCTTTTATATAATAAATTCCTAAAATCATATTAGTTTTTAAATGCTTATTTATTTATCACAGAGTTTTTCGTAATAATTTTTCACGAATGTGACGTAATACTTATAAACGATTCATGAATCACTTGCATCATTTTCGTGTTGAATTTTGGTATTTATGATTATCATAGAGTATAAGTCATTATAAGTACTGTCAACTATATGTATATGAACTATATGAATCAAGTGAAGTCAAATCAACGAAAAAGAGAGACAGAATGCGTATAAATGAAACAGTTAATGATTCGAGTGTTGAGTATTCATTGCAGTTCTATGGTGTGAATCGCTGGAAAAATTTTGACAGTCTCTTGCTAACCATAAAATCGCATCTAAACAAATGTCTATTTGCGCAACTGATTCTACCTTAGGAAATCAACGTACAAAACATGTCGTCACATTATTTATAATAACTTTTAAAATTATTTTATATGTTTCTGTAATTAAGAAATAATAAAATTTACTAGGTGATTTTTTTAATAATTTCAAACTTGGTTGCTTAATATCATATGGGTGCTTAAGTATTCGTACCCCGTTAGATCTTCAATATTGTTTCTTAAGGACTTGTATAGCAATTTCATCGATTTACTTTTCGACTAATTCCTGGCTAAATGATTAATTTAATATTTAATATTTTTTGCTATAATTATTTTAGTTAAATAGTCTGCGGCAGCATATTGATTTGTCATTTTTGTTGGAGCTGGGTTGTTGACATTGTGTTAGTCATCATTAAATCTTCACTAAAAAGGGATACTATAGTAAGGGATAGTAGGCGAGGAAATTTTAATTTTATGTTAATTCTAATATATTTTGATTTCAAATTTTTTTTAAAAGCAAATAGTGAGTTTTAATTTTAATCTGAGAAAATTCTTTGAAATATATAGATTGTTCATACGAATTATCATCAATTTGTCTCAGTATTAATAACTAAAACATTTTAAAACTAAAATCAGGTAACAAAACAGTAAAGTATTTTATTTAACATTTTTTAATATTTAATTTTTTTCAGTTTTTGCTGACTTGTGTATGTATGAGTAGCAATATATGAAAAGCATATACTTATTTTCTATAAGTGTATTTCAGATATTATATTTAAATTATGACTTTCATTCATCATATGGCTGTCAGCTTATAGTTCATGTGATACAAATAGTCATGTCCACTTCATATGTAAAATTATTGTTTTAGATACGCATTTTTTTGTGTGAATATAATCACACATGAAAATAATTATCTTTTTATTTTATGCACAATCGAAAAATACTAATTTATTAAAATGTTACGAAATTAAAAATGTGTTATGGCTCTCTGTATAACATCCTTTTTGTCATTTCCAATTTAAATTGAATACATTTTGAAGTTATGTGTACACTTAATTTCAACAATGTTTGAAGATGTATAATCGTTATGCATATTATTATTGCTGTATAATATTTGTTTTGTTTTATTTTCATGTGTAAATGGTGCGTAGTAGTCGTATATAATAGCTTAAAAGATTTTTAATATGTCGGAGATAAAGTCAATGGAATACTCAACATTAAAAGTTCCTTACGAAATTTTAAATAAAAAGTTTCGTACTGCACAAAAATCAGTAGATAGGGAACTGGATCAGTTACAAAGTGTAACAAAGGATGTTGAGAAAGCTTTGCAAAAGGGAAATTCGCCGCAAACAGTTGCAGAAGTTTCGAAAATGGTTGGTTGTGTATTTCAGCGTTTTCAAATGTTAAAAAGAAAATCTGAGGAATGTTTTCAAGATGAATATAACGCTAGTTTAGAATGCAAACGTAAGCTTGAACACTTGAAGTGCGTATCATCACCTAAACATGCAAGCAAGTTTGAAATTTGGCAAGCTTCTGTGGACCAATGGAAAAGGGTATGGTGAACGTTAAATTTCTATATTTTCACTTGCAACTCACATGTACAATAACTAATCTATAGGTTCGAATGGATCGTTTGGTTATTGAACATTTATTACGGATGGGATACTATGAAACAGCTGACAAATTAGCTAAACGCTCTGGTATACATGATTTAACAAATTTAGGTATGTAGAACATTTAGCAAAATGTAGGAATAAAAATAAAAATCTATCACATAGAGAGAATTCATTATTTTTTAGATTATATTTATAAGCCTAATTTGTATAGTATGTAAGGAACTAACTTATAAAATTTATTTTTATTGTTTTGTTTTTAAATATTAATTTCATTTAATTCAGATTTATAATACATTCGTAACGCTTGCTTAATGTTGACAATATAATATCGGTAGAATAAAATGGTTAGCTTGAAAAATCGATCAAATCGCATTGTTCAATATTTCAGACCACGAGCTATAGTCTCCTAAATTCTATAGCTATATTACTGACTGTTAAATATTGATTTAAAAGTAGTCCATAATATATGCTTTTTTCAATTTCGTTGTAATAAGTGTGTATGCATGTAGAGGACATAATTTCAGGTTGTGAATACCACTTATTTGCAAGAATTGGATCGATTCTAATCTACAAATTTGTCTCGTTGGTGCAGTAGCTGATCAAATGAAAATGATGCGAACAATTTTCTCTGCTCTATTTATATCAGATATAAAAATCAAATTCCTAAGATTATATTAATTGTAGTTGCGTTATAAAGTTTCCTTTGGGCCTTTTTAAAATAACTTGGAATTATGTTGAGCCCCAGTACGATTAAATAAGAAACAAATGTCTGTTATATTCGTAGTATACATCGTATATATATCATATACATATATGATATTTACACAGTTTGGCTTTACTCTGATTTATAAGTTGTTCAGAATACTAAACTCAGAACGAAGATTATTTAGGAGTAAGAATAGATTGTGTGTGCATTCAACTTAATTCCAACTGTGAGATATAGTAAAACAATCTACATAATATCTAGGACACACACACATCTAAAATAAAATACCGTTTTAATATTATTTTATCTGTTAGTTGCGATTATGTTTATAGTCTTTTCTAGCTAATCCTAGTTTCTTAGAATATTTATCTTATCACATGTACTTACTTAGAAAATTATTGTGTAAATTATTGAAATTATTTTTTTTTTTAAATAAAACATAAATTTATTTAAATTGATTACAGATACATTTCATACATCTCGTGAAGTGGAAAATGATTTAGCTAAACATAAAACATTTAAATGTGTTTTGTGGTGTATTGATAATAAGTCCAAACTTAGGAAAATCAATTCTAATATCGAATTTAATCTTCGTGTGCAAGAATTTGTCGAACTAATTCGAAATAATCGACGTTCAGATGCAGTAAAACATGCTAGAAAACATTTTCCTACATTTGAAAAGACGCAATTGACTGAGATTTGTAAATGTATGGCATTACTTGCTTATAATCCAGATACAAGTAAGTGTGGTAATATTTATTGTTTGTTTTTTAATATAAGTACAGCTAATTTATGGTACAAATTTTCTGTTTTTGCTTTAAAATTTTTACGAATTATTCGAAAGTCAATAGTGAAAAAAAATTAAAATCTAACCAAAATAATTTTTTTTTCAAAACAAACCGATTAACTAGAAAAAAAAAGAATTTTCAATGCAAGTATCTCTTATAGAATCGGTGTTTACACTATGTAGTTAAATCAGCCATTAATGCCAAATATCTTCAAATAGCTGATTATAGATGGAAAAATCCTGTAACATACAAGATTAATAGGACACTTTAGGTTGGTTACAATATCCTGTTGGAACGGAAATAGGAATAGTAACTTTAAATACTAATAGTAGTAATTACTAGCTTCTAGCCCATTGGCCAAAATGGGAATTCCTCACAATATTTATGATAAAAGCTGAAACTAGACAAGCAAAAGAAATTATTTTCAATTTTCTCCGTACATGACGTCCTTTTTAGAATACCCATTGTAACTACCCTAAATAAGTTGCTATTTAATAATCTTGGAGAGATAGTGTAAAATAATTTTGACAAAGTTCAAACATTTCTTAACTGCACAGACTTGATTAAATCGTGCACATAACTCTGGGAAATACTAATTGGATTCACGGGGGTTACTACTTATTGGTATAAGATTCATCCAACTAAACGTCATGAAAAAATCTTTAAAAACATTATGAAACTTTTGTAACAAGTCTTTCCAAAGGGCATGAAATTATATATATGTATCTTTTTTGAACACTTAAATTTTATTAATATATAATAATATTAAACATTTATATATTAATTTTTTTTAGACATTGAACCATATAAAAGTCTCTTTGATCTAAAACGGTGGGATCAACTTATCTTAAATTTTCGCAATGAAAATTATAGACTATTTCAACTTTCAACACAATCATTATTAAGTGTTGGTATTCAAGTGAGTACAAACATTATTTAATAATTAATTTTATTGAACCAAATTTAAAATGCATATAATCTTTCTAATTTATTATTAATTATTAATTAATTGAATTATATAAACCAATTAGAAATATGGGAATATGATAAGAATGAAGATAAGTAACAGGGTACATACATTGGTAGACTGAGTCCTGGTCGAGATTCAGTTTAATTTGTTATTGTGACAGCGATTAGTTAAACAATAACGTTATAATGCGTATATCGGCGTTGTTTTTAAAAATACTTTTCCGATAACTAATAAGAACTGCGTTTTTATAATGATCCATTTTCAAATACGCGATTTTTGTACGTTCAGTTCGTTTTTGAAATTATTCTTAACAATATTCACAAGTTTTGATATGATAATTGTTGTAAATTGTCAGTTGGCTGTTAATTCTAGAGTGAAAAGCAAGTATATTTACACTTAGACTATCGTAGTTTAATATAGTTATGTAGGATATATGATTTCATTATAATAAGATAATTATGATGGAAGAATGTGGTTTAAAGGAATGAAGACTAAATGTAATCCAATTCAAGATTCATGTATATTGCTACTGTAAGCGACTTTTTCCTGTTCCCGAAACTCAAATTGCCCCTTCGTGGTAAGCGTTTTGAGTCGATTGAATCGGTAAAAGAGAATTCGCCGAAGAAACTAAAAGCCATACCTGCACTGGCCTACGAAAAGTATATGGAAGATTGGGTTAAGCGTTGGCATATGTGTATCGCTTCAGAAGGAGCATATTTTGAAGGAGATAAAATAAATTTGGAATAAAATTTAAATTTATGTTTTATTTACAAAATCCGGGTACTCTTTGAGCTGGAGGTATGCCAAACGATTGTTATCTCAGAACCTTTTGTCTTTAAAAACTGTACTGTATGAAAAGTTGAATTCACATGCAAACTGATTGGGCCTTATAAGTGCAGTTTTTTGACATTGATCAGATATTCACTCTGCAACAAATTCTGTGAGAAATTCACGAACAGCCAATAGTAAATCAACTTTCGATAGCCACATAATATTTCGCGTTTACGCTGCAATGTCTGAGCTCGGTATCAATTAAGGTTAATACGACTCAGAATAACTTTGAGCAGTACCCGTAGCTCCATTAAAGTACGATTGAGTGTGTTCGAATTTTTTGATACGGTTTTGATATTGAAATGATCTTGTGCAGGAGAGGTGTTAATTGGTAATAGCACAATATTCTACAAATATGTCGAACTTTTACCTACAACATCGACATTATTGGGTGTAGCAAGCGCGATGTTACTGCTGGCTCTGTTACTACAGAAAAAGAATCTGCAAAAAGAATCCTAGTGATGAATAAGATTAAAACTAAATATATACCGGCTATTGACAGAAATATGTATAGTAATAAAGACGGCCTAAAAATGAATGGAAGTATTACCATTTTTAATATGTTATACTATGAATTCAGTAGCAAATTAGTATGTAGAAGACTCTTTCGACCGACAAAACTTACACTCTATCGCTTATCCTACCTGTGCTTCTGTGTATGACATTATCATAAAATAATAAAACAAACTGAGTTTTCGAGAGAAAGTTGCTTGTAAGTCCTTTGTTCCTCTAAGAGTTGACGACGACTATCAGATCTCAATGAACCACGAGCTGTACGGGCATTATCATGATATTGATATCATTCAGTGAATTAACATTTAGAAGTTTTGCTGGGTAGGTCTTGGCGTTAGAATGAATAACGATGCTCCGGCGAAAAAAGTGTTTAAAGCAACAGTTGGCGGATGCAGACATAGTGGTAGACTATATCGTTGGTAAAGTGATGAAGTTTATAAAAAACATAAGATCGGTTTTGTAATTACAAACAAAAATAAAATGAACTCTTACACCCAAATGCGATTTATTTTCCTTTTTTGGTTTAAATGAATAGTCAGGCAAGTTGTTTTCGGTTTTGGAAAATAAGTTACAAACAAGGAGTTTTATTTTTGAATACGAAAAATAATATTTAATTTTGATTTTTATGTTTTTAAGACAAAAATAATGATTATTTTTACATCTCAAAGTAAACATCACGATGTATGAATTAATTATTATTATTTTTAAAAAATATAATACATATAATAATATGCATTTTTTTAAAGGCAAATGACAAGATGTATAGGTGATTTTTATTTTTTTAATAACAGTTACTGTCTCTGGTGATAAAAAAAAAATTTCAAAAATTAATATTTTTATGTATATGCACTATTTATGTAATGCTTAAATGAGCGCTGATATATTGCAGCTATTTAATTATAAAATAATTTTCATGCACTAATGTATTTACTGTTTAAGGCTGGTTTATCTGCTCTAAAAACTCCCCAATGTTATGCACTTACGAGTAAAAATTTGAATTGCCCTGTATGCCAAGAAGACTTTAATCATATTGCCAAGCACCTCTCATTTTCTCATTGCGTTCAAAGTCGGCTAATTTGCAGGTAATTATAAATAGCTATGCATAATTAATAAAACTCATTCTTTGATTATTTTCTACAGAATTACTGGACTTCCACTAAATGAACATAATTTGCCGATGATGCTACCAAATGGTCAAGTCTTTGGTCAACTGGTAATGATAACGAAAATAAATATTTCATAAGATTTGTATATTTTTGTTTTTTTAGGCTATTCCTGAGATCTCTCGAGAAAATGGTACTGTTGTTTGTCCAATTACAAATACAAAATTCTCAAATCCTAGAATTGAAAAAGTTTTTGTTATGTAATCTTGAAATTATATTCAGCTGTATTTAATGTTTTGGATTAATATTAATAAAAAAATATATGCTATAAGCTAATTAAAACTTACTCAATTATGCTATAAAGAAGTATTTAATTATTATTTATTAATGTCACACTTGAATAACCTAAATTAATTATTCAATGAGCATATAATTCATACATTTTTTTCCAGTTTTCTAAATTGGAAAATAATAATAGCAGTATGATTTGAGACTCTTTATACATTGTCTATTTTAATTATTACAATTTTAAAAACCAAAATTTTTTTCTAACAATTTGATCCATTAATCAAATTCTACAACAAATATTTTGAATTAAATCCTAAGATAATTTAATATATTTTTGCAAAAAAGTTTAGGAATGTATAATTTTTATGTATTAGTTTGAATTATATAAATGTACAACTTATTAAAATAAAATATATACATATACACAAATTTATATAAAGTATTCTCTTACACTGTATCAATTTTGACTTTGATAAAAATTTATTAAACAAATAACATTATACCTGATGTTGCATTTTGAAGTATGGTTTCTTTGATTTCAATAATTGACTATTATTTCACAAGAAAGAAACTGGTTATTAATTTTTATTGATTGTTTTCACTTTGTATTGTAAAATTTATTATTATATGATAAAATAATTTTTCATATTAAAGTATAACAAGTTATCTACAAAATAATTCAATAATTTATACAGTATTATTCCCAAAATATAATTGTTATTATGAAGAGTAGATAAATCAGATTGAACTGCAAACAGCTAGATTAAGTTGAAACATTTGTTCTGTTTTCGAGTTTGACGTGTGAGATACAATATCTTCGCAGTAGACTGTCATATTTCAGTCTCCCCTGCGGTGAGGGGTTAGAATATTCCCGAAGTAAGGCATGCCTGCCGTAAGAGGCGGCTAAAATCCCGGCGCCGCGCCGACATTTGTGCAAGAAGTGTGCATGGTAGTCAGTGTTCCACCCCACTTGACTAGAAGTGTAAATCTGGTACCTCGGGGGTCAGTAGCCCCCAGCTTCGGCTGCGCTGACGACTTGTGGTTGTGGTTAATACCCAAACTTACATTGGTAGATTGGTTCATTCATTCGGCGTGGAGTGCGTATTTATCACCGGGTGTTGTGATCCAAAGATCAGCAGAGGTATTGGTAGGTCTCGCATCAAATCAAGGTAGAAGTCATTTCTTGCACAAGTGTCAACTACAATAGAATGAAGTACAAAACTGACGAATCAAATAACACTTTGAAAAGATATAATGAACACTAAGAGTAGCCGCTTGTCTATATAAGCATCAATTTGGGTAGCAAGTAAAACAAAATATTATACGCGCTAGTGATGCACACCTTAATGCCCCCGTTGTGTCCACGTATGCTAATATATGCAGCCTCGTTAACCTTTGAACAATGTACTGTTTATTTAGCGAGGGCCACCACACAAGGCATCCGTGTATGTTGCCGTATGTACGACGGTTATGTACAGCAAGAGAATTACTTTAGCCTGCTTACCATACACCTTTTTGCACGCGTAGAACACGACACCTGTTTTTAAAAATCTTTCGTCGATGTTGGCCCTCTAATTAATCTTTGTATCAAGAATTACTTCTAAGTTTCAAGCATTGATGCGATTTGTCGAGTGATGCAGGTCGATATGTTCAATTCTTTGAGAGCTTCTTGAATATTCTTCACCCTGACCTCATTGAAAGCCCATTCTATATCTAAGAAGGCAGCTAAGATAAATTGCTTACATCCTAGGGATTTTTCCATTATGGTTACTAGTTTATGTAGAGCTGTTTTTGTAGACTTCCCTTTAAGATAAGCTTGTTGAATACCCGATAAGTTCACGAAATTAAATACCGATCTGATATAAGCATCGAGCAGTCTTTCCGATGTTTTAAGCATAAATGATCTTATGGTGATCTGTAGTGCTGGGTCGTGTTGTAATCTGTTCTACCTGGCTTTGAAATAAAAACTGCTCTAACTTATCTCCAATTTACGTGACATGATTGAGTGATAGGCAACTGCGGAAAATCGTATATAACGAATTTAAAACTATATCTCCCAGAGATTAAAGCATAATTGGTATGATCTCCCCCGGACCTTGACCTTTATATGAAAAAAGAGTCGAATGCTCATTCTTAAAGCTATCACTGATTGCATAGTATCACCAGTGTTGGCCGAACGATGCAGTATTGCCGTTGTTGGATCATCACAAGAAGCGGGAAAATGAGTAACTACTAACTGTAGAAGAGACTCAGGTAAGGACTTAACTGGGCTTTATGGATTATGAAATAAGGGAGGCTAAAATGGTCTTTTGCTAAAAGTTTAGATAACCTGGCTGATTCTTTCACACATTCACTTTAGAGACAAAGGGAATTTCAGGACATTTTTGTGAATTCTCTAAGCACTTTTTTATATGCCCTTAGAGCACATTTGTATGGAAGCCACAGATGGTGTTATATTTTCGCTGAAATCTTTTAGTGCATTTTCACGAAGCACAGAAAGCTTTCTGTTCCACCACAGTGGACGACATTTCTTCGCATAAGAACGTGGGCACAATGATTCAAAAGTAGATAGAAATTTTTGGGTGAATGAATTAGTTCTGTTCTTCAATTCCCTAATCGATTTCATTGGAGCCAGGTTATCATCAACTTTGCTATTGAAAAGCGTACTGAATGTATCTCAGTTTGCCATTCGAGGATTGCGCTGAGACTGTTGAACTAATCTGGGAATGTCCTTCACAAGCATGATGTACATATGTTCAAAGGACTGCTTGGCTGAGACTTTCATTGATCAGTAAAGAAATGAGAAATCGATAGAAAGGGTAATATATAAAACCTCTTCCCACCCTACATGTTTATGCGTACTAGGAAAATCAAATGTTACAGTGTTGTCCTTATTGCAAACCTCAAGTTTAGATTTTAATATAAAATCGAAAAGAAACTCATCTTGTGGAATAACACGATTAATTGTAGCTTCCAATGTGCCAGGCACAAGCTCTAAGCCTGGCACTTGCAGTCCTAACAAATTATATACGAACTATAAACTAATTAAGAAATTTAAATATTTCCTACCGCCACCGATGATGAGTATTTGGCAATACTCGAAACAGCGTAGTATGGTCAGCCAAATCTCAATAAATTATTTAAGTTTTTGTTGTTGTGTTTTCTTTTCTATTCGAACCCTGCTAACTTTTAAAAAAAAATAGCTTCTTTGTCGACATAAAAAGCGTAGCTTTCTTGATAATCGTTTTTTATTTTCGGAATAAAGCGAACCGTGTTCATTAATATCTCGATAACAACTAACTTACAATTTTACAGTCTTGATTTCCTGAGCCAACGAAGTTTTTATTAATTGCAGAGTAGACGGAATTTAGAGCATTTGAAGTTTCTCACAAAAACATGATCATCGGCAATGCATGTGTGAAACAATGAAACCGATGTTATTTGCGATCCATGTAGTAAACAACATTAATTCTTTCCATACTTGAACTTGGATTGGACACGTTTCGACCAGTTAATGTCATCAAATAGTGTTTGTGACTTAATTTCTTCTCTCTATGTTTGGACCAATATTCTGCTATTGTCACAATTACTATGAGTAAAATAATAAGCTTCCAGTTTTGCTTTTGGATACTAATTTACGTTAAGTTGAGAAATGATTTCTATTTTTAATATGGTTTATGTGGAAAAAAATTTCAAATTTAGGGGCGTGTGGTTCTATATTAATATTTTGCTCTATTTATTGTCCTTTATTCGAAGGCTTTACTGTAGTCTGGATACTTTAGAAATATACCCTTATAGCTCAATACTTACTTTATTGGTCATCACAGCCCTTTATCGGCGTTCGTCCCAACACAGCACTCCTTCCCAGGTGAATCTGCTGCGTGCGCATCTTGTTACATCTAGTACAACGAGTGCGATTTAGCCCTCCTCAATCTGATCACTCCACCAACGACATGCTCTATCTCCATGTCTGCATCCGCCAACTGATGCTTTTAACACTTTTTTCGCCGGAGCATCGCTATTCATTCTTACGCCAAGACCTACCCAGCAAAACTTCTAAATTTTAAATCGCTGAATGATATCACACGTAGGATAAGCGATAGAGTGTAAATTTTGTCGGTCGAATGAGACCTCTAATTTGCTACTGAATTCGTAGTAACACATATTGAAAATGGTAATTCTTGACATGATTTCTAGGCCGATATCGTTGTTGTTCGTGATAGTTGTTAGCCTATAAAATATATTCATCAGCCAGCAGCTCGACTTCCTTACTATGCATTTTTCTGTCAGTAACCGATATATACTTAGTTTTAATCTTATTCACCACTAGGCTTATTTTCGCAGATTCTTTTTCGATAGCAACAGAGGCAGCAGTAACATCACGCTTGCTACACCCAATAATACCGATGTTGTCGGTAAAAGTTGGACTTATTTCTAGCATATTGTGCTAGAAATATATTTCTAGAAATTTGTCAGAAATCTCGATCGTATCAAAATGGAGTAAAATAAAAATGGAGTCTCGATTGTGCCTTAATGGAGTTAAGAGTACTGCTCAAAGTTATTCTGAGTCGTATTAACCTTAATTGATACCGAGCTCAGACATTGCAGCGTAAACGCGATATATTATGTGGCTATCGTTAGCTGGTTTTTTATTGACTGTTCATGGATTTCTTAGAGAATTTGTTTCAGTATGAATATCTGGTCAATGTTGAAACGGCTAGGTCAAAAACTGCACTTATAAGGCCCACTCAGTTGACATGTTTTAATTTAATCTTTATTTACATAACTTTTAATTTAATATAATTTATTTGATTGAAAAATATATTCAAGAACCATCGTTTTTCCGTTAATCCCATATTCTCGCTTTTTGACATTCGCTGTCACTTATATCTTGGGTGACCACATGTTGTTTGAATTTTAAAGATGACCAGTTGTGCGTTTTAGTTGTTGGTTTACACAAGTGATTGTAACTTGTCACACAGTACAGTTTTTAAAGACAAAGGGTTCTGAGATAACTTCGTTTAGCATATTTTCGTCACCAGTCCTGAACAATTTAGCCAGACTTATGATATGATATTTTACTCCCGCCTTGATCTTGTTTCTTCTGTTTGAAGAAGCGACTCTTTTCTTGCCTCACCTTCCGATCATACCCGTACACGACTGACGTAGCTGTAAAGGACCCTATCCTTTCACGAGATGCGTTTTTCGTAGTAATAGTGAGGAAGCACTAGTCATACCAATGATTTCATCGAGGGAACATATCTTGGTGTTACATCGAGGACCTTATAATCTGGTGCCACATACCACCCGTAGCGAAATGAACTTCAGATCATTGTTAGAAGTGGATTCAGGTAGGCGAAATTTTTTTCTTTTCTGATCTTTTAGTTAAATCCACCAATAACTATTTGAATGTCACGACCGGGATGGTTTCTTTGGTTAAGTCGTCATTTTCTTGTGTCAAGTAATATTAAAAATTGTTTCTGTGATGCAGATAGTAGCAAATCTTTCGTGCGTTCTGTGCGATCAGACATATTGCCGAACACAACACAAAAAACAATTTTTGTGCATAATAACTCCAAAACAAACAGGCCGCATTCATGTGTTTCAGTGTTGATGTTCGTTTACTGCATACACAATTTTATTTTAATTAAAATTTTGTAGAAATTTGCTATGTTCTTCTGTTTGTATACTATGTCCAAGAGAACTGCAACTCAAATCGTTGACTGTATTTCATTTATATGCATAATGACTCTTTTTTCATATATTCGACTCTGCCTGATTCATACACACAGATGATAGCACTTATAATGATTTATACTCTCTTCATATTATATTTATAAACACCGACATTCGATAAAAAATTGATGCAAATGATTTATGAATTATTCATGAGTATTACGTCTCTGTCGGGAAAAATTGCCTTGTTATTGTTTACTGTGCATATGATTTGCTACTAAAACAACCCCTAATTTTATGCGCATGAAATATTCAAGAAAATTAGAAAAAAAACAAAATAAATACACTCACAATGCTAACAACAACAACACACGCCAAAAGGATAAAATTAAACACACACAAATTTTTTGCTTAGGAAATAACAGCGCTAACACAAAATTTTTTCGGATGCTACAAGTAATCGAGTCATTCATTTTCGATGAGTATATTCATACTCACCTGAGTATATAAATGTGTACGCATTCTTGCGAATTCATTGGCACTGGCATTGGTTAAGAATATACTTATGAATCAATCCTGAGGCGAATGTGAATACATATAAGTAGTGTGTGAGAAAAACATTTACACGCAATTATATTTGGTTTTTTATGAGTGTACTCTGAGTGTTAAAATTATGTTTCCTTCAGTTCTCAGCTATGTACACAAGTCACTTAGACTATGATATAGTCTAAATATTTTTTTTAAACTGTTTGTTGAAATTATAAGCAAATCAATGTACATAGGACGTTTTTGGTGACTTTCAATTTTAGCAAATAACAGCAAGTTGCTGGCCTATATTGGCTGAAATGAAAGCAAAACAACAATACTATTTTTTTGATCTAAGTCAGTAGTTGTTTACTGGCCAAATACTTCGGTCCGTAAAGAAACAAGTGTTACCAACGCAATAAGCGAACTATTGTGAACCTTTACTGGAAATTCTAACGAATATTGCAATTATATGTCAAAAATCATATAAAAATTCAAATATATGTCAAAAATTTTATAAATTTGAAAATTGGAAAAAAATAAAGTTTTAGTGTTTTGTTTTGAAATTTCATTTTAATTTTCAATTTTATATGAATTATTTTTCTTTACACAAAATGTTTTTTGCTTAAATTTGATGTTTGCCAAAATATTTCACTTGATAGATTGTAACAGTGATGTCAATGTCTCGTTTAACAAATATAGACCAGCATGCGTTTTTTGACACACTATTAAGCCGCCGAAAATGCCTATAGCTATATTTTAATATGCCACATATCTATAAAATATATATATAAAATAATATACAATAACTTAAATTAATATCTATAATAATTAATAATATAAATTCAATATTAGCTGTAATTTTGTCTTTGAGTAGCAAAAAAAATACCCGCAACTCACGAAAGTAAACGTATGAAATAACAACAAATCTCTTAAAATCTACAGTTTGATTTTACTTGCAAAAAATTATAAGTCTTACGTTTCAATACAGTCAAATTCAAGAATCAGTCTATTATGAGGGTTCACGGGAAATATGTTTAAAATTTCAATTATCCCTTAAAATCATATGAACATATCATTTACTAATAAATTCAAACACATAAATACATTAATTGAAGTATGTAAAATAAAAATGCTTATCATTGTCTTTATAATATTCATTTTGTTTTCTTTTATTTAAATTAATTACTTTTTAGTGTTTACAATTTTTATATTTTAATTGCACACAACACAACAAAAAATGTCAAAAAAAGTATATAACATATTTTAAAAGTGATGCCAATTTGTTTCAAATAGACAATGCTGTTTTTCTACAACTCTGAAAAAAAAATTACGGCTATTATATCATTGAATTAATATATTATCAAATTATCATTATTATTAATCAATATATTATCATTATATATATGTCAATTTTGTGTGATTCTCTTTAATAATTTATTTTTATTATTATACGACTTTATCACTATGGCGATCAACCTGACGATCTGGTATTTTGACTATCATGAAACGGTGACAATTCACACTAAGGCCGAGTTCGAGTAAATTGATGGTAAATTGAGAGAAATAGTAAATTCTGTCGGTATGGCAGCGAATGTTGGTATTTACCAGAAAATTAGATAAAAATTAGGAAAAAAGGTTTTACCATTGATAATTTTATAAGATGTTTAATAAATAAATAAATAAATTTGAAATATTTATTTATAAATTATAAATATTTATATAAGTGCAGTGCAAAAAATCCCTAGGAAATTTTAATTTACTTTACTTCAATTTACTCAAACTCGTACACTGCCTAAAAGTTCTTTTTGAATTTAAGCATATTTAAACAACATAAGAGCCAAAGATTAATGTATGCTTTTTGTTAGTGTTTTCATTTCGGATAATACGGCGCATTTAACTTAGCGCATCTTAGAAAAACCTTGCTTAATAGTTCAATTGTTAAGTCGGTGTGATTCATTTCGTTTCTTGATTTTTATTTATTTAAACATTTATATAATAACTATTTATTTTGTGCAAACATAAAATATATCATAATGGGTGAAGAGGTAATATTAAAAAAACTGTTTCTCCAAACGCAACAAAGTGTTCAGAATGCATTCAATGAAAACAGGTAAATAGAATAAATATATGCAGCATTTATCTATGGTGCTTTAATAGGATAATTTTTTGTTTACATTATTAAAAGTATTTTACGCATTTATCATAGTTTTGAACTTTCTAAATTGAGTTTTTATTCAAATGTAATATGGATTTTATGCATATTTTAAATTCCTTTAAAATGCATTATGTGTAAGAACGTTCTTTCAACGAATTGAGTCAAACTGGCTGATGTCAACCAGTGAATCATTAATTTTAAATAGAAATACGTAGTTATAAGCATTTGTTTGTTATATATTAATAAAAATATGGTGACTTTTATTATTCAATAGTTTTTAAATTAATCAAGCATCTGGACCTAAAATAGTTTTCATAATACGATATGTTGTCAAACATTGTTTGATTCGAAACTGAACTCCTTACATTAAAAGTTAATTAATTTAAGATTTATAAAATGGAGCTTATTATGTAGTTTATATTTAAAAATTAGTACATTATGTCACATTTATTTAATATTTTGCGTTTTATTTATTTTAATTACATATAATACTTTTTATTATATTAGGAAATTAATATAATATTGTTTGCTTTGTGTCACTTAAAGTTCGACACGATGTTAGTTATAATCTTTACTAGGTTGCAACTAGGCAACTTAAAGTATTCAATGAAGTAAACTCAAAGTCTAAGTTGAATTTAAATTTATTGATTAAATTTACACAGTATTTATACTTATTTTAGACCAAACACTAACCTGTCTGAATATTATGTTCTCCTAATATTTTGCATAGAAATATGCTTATTATGCATTTTAATTAATTTTAAATAAATTTATTTTATTATTTATAGATTTGGGCTAAATGAAATTCCAATGCAAGTTAATGCACTTTAAGAATTTTATTTGCGCAAAACAAAAAGATCATATTACTTTTCTTTTTCGCTTCTTCACATTGCACGTGTGTGACCAATGCAGAAGGCAGGTCGTTGCTCTTGGCATATGCCGGTACATAAACTTGTATTTGCATTTTTTAATATGCGTGGGTTTAGGTTTGAGGTAGAAAAATTATTTAATAGAATTAAAAATAAGAATTAAGTCCCAAATTGTACATAGAGTCATATATGGACTCGTCACGTCATTTTTAAGCATGTCTATTATACCGTAATGACGGGTCCTTGATCATTTTCTATATTGTCCAGGGACGTTTATAATTATCTTACAACGTTTATTCCTTTTGTAAGGGAAAGACTTGTAGTCAGTGGCGACCTGTGCCCTATCTGGAATAGTGTGCGACCCTTCTACAATGTTGTTTTTACATGTACTACTTAAATTAAAAATGATAAATTGGAATATATAAGATGTTTTATTAATGGTAACTATGTTACATTAGGCAACAATATATTCACAATATAACATTTAATAATTCATTAACAAAATAACATTAAATAAATAATTTATATATAAGTTTAATATTATATCAATATGGAATAAATACAACTTTTCACATATATCTTATAACATCAAACCAACTTTTTTCAAACAAAAGAGTTTGTATTTAGAACCATACATGTTTATGCAGTGATCAAACACAATCGAACACACTTGCAACGTATAAATGTGCGGCCAGCTACTCCGCACACAAAGTGGTAATTATTCGCTGAGCAACAGCTAAAAGGGGAGAGACGAAATTCGAAAGAAATGTATGGTGATGTGAGCTGCAAACTTTAGCCGCACATCTAACCGCTTCGGCAAGTCAACATGTTGGATTCTTATACATGCAGTTGATATTCGAATAAAACAGAAAATTACTCTCATACAATTCCCAATCTCTATTTCTTATATTTTAAGCTAGAGCACACGGACATTATTTTGTTCATTCTATTTTTGTGCACACTTATGACAGAAATTTATGAATGCAATTGCGTAAAGGGACTATAGTAGATAAGAGAAGCAAATTAATTGAGTTTTCATAGACAATTATATTTAATTGTTTTTGCTAAAACTTTAATCTTTAAAAATATATATATGAAAATGTAATTAATAATATTAATTCTGGATATAAAGATATTTAATAAATTTATATATATAATTTTTCTCTATAATTTTATATATATACATATTTTCTCTTTATTTTATATTTATAATATAAATTAAAAAATTACTGTATATAACTTATAACTACAGAGACTACTTGGGGACTGCCACCTTGACATGTTGAGGAGGCACAATAGTTACGTAGAGTCTTCGTGCGAAGCCGGCGTTAGCATGCTACTGGTAGGGTCTCCCTTGCCGGTACGTTTTGTTCCCTTCTTTAACTATTTTCTAGAAATAAAGCATGAGTCTAAACCCGATGGTTTTTCAGTCTCCAAGTAGTACTCGTACATATACGGCAAATCCACCTGCTTCGGCAGCTCTCATAACGGATTTGGAGGGGGCGAAACTCACGTTAAAATAGAATCTTTTCGTTAGGTACAATTGTAATCACATGACCCAATATTCCCTTAGGAACACAAAAGAATGAAGAATATTTCTCTCAATAAAAGTTTCGATAAGTATCCTGAATTTCAGAGTAAACGACTCCAGACTTTCGTATGCTCCTCTTACTTTAATGAATTAGTGGCGCTCTTTTAAAGTCTTTTAATTTTAGGTTCCTATGCTTTTAGTGAATTGGTAGTTATTCTCAATTTAAAATATGGGGTCTGCGACCAATAATGATAACTTCGTTGTACAAGACCGTAATAATACCAATAAACACCTATATTTCCTTGGCATGGTGGCCAAAGGTAGATCAGACGAAGGCTGCTAAGATGACCCTTAACATGATTCATCGAATAGCCTATCTAAACGGAACGGGAGCAATGCATATTAATTACAGAGTGTAGTGCACTCTGCAAATTAAATTGTTGTCTTTATGTTAAAAAGACGCAAAAGGTTGAGCTCAATATGAACCTCAGTGAGAGAAGTCTGAGATTAAGGCCCCAGGTTTTGCTGTGGAAACTTCTAACATACAAATCCAACTAACGAAAGTAGCGTTGCAAATTACGTTTTCGAAATGAATGTTCCAGTTGAGCCGTTTATTTACTGTATTTATCTGCTCCATTTGTTATATATATGTAGTGTACATATACATACTGCTATAATATAAAGTCTTTTTTGCTTGTTAAAAGTGTTTTACGAGCAACATTATATCAATATTTTGATTAATTATGAAAGTTTCTAATTCATGACTGTAATACAGATCATTTACATTTCATATTCCTAATTTTAATGTTAACATACCTAATGTTATTCTAGAGACGAGTGTTGTTAATATATTTAACAATCTGTAAATGGGGTATAAAAAGGTTCTCAACATGTCTTTTAATACAAACGTGTTATTGGAGCATTCAATTGTTGGTTTCGTATTTTGAGTTGTAGTTAAATCTTTTAATGCTTGGCCAACATAGACATATGTAGGGTGTAGTTATATCTTCACTGAAGTAAATGAGACAACATTTTTTGCTTGACTAAGTTGGTTCTGAAGTGAAGCACGATGGACAGAATACATTTTTTGCTGCAAGTAAATAAGGGAACATTTTTTGTTTGTCTGGCTTAATTCTCAGGTGCAGCACGATGGACAGAATACATTTTTTGCTTCAGGTTTTCATTAGTTGTTCAGCCATTGTAATTAGGTGCGTGTTTATGTAACTATTTCCGAATTTCGAAGATTAATCTTATATGTATGTAGTTTATACCTGTTACTTAATTGCTAATGTTACAATTATTTCTACGAGCAGACTTATGTTATATGCTAATTTTACATTTGTGTTTTTGCCCGTCTTAATTATTTATTTTATTACTCCAAGAAATGTTACTTAATTTAAAATATTAAATGATCTGCAGATGTAACTTTCCTACGCATATATGTGTATATACTTGTAAACATACATAGGTATATACCACCTTATACATATATGTATATGATGGGATTTTAAAGGGTGCGGGATTTGAAATTTGGAATTTATGACAAATTTATTTTGGTTGGATGGCATATACAAAAACAAAATAAAAATCTATTCTAGACCTGTCACTCAATACTTACAACAAATGCTGGAATCGTTATTGACTTATCCAATATGATTCCAAATATTCTAATAAAATTAGGAGGCTAGATCATCCCTATTTTGGAGGTAATATACTTATCCAACATTAATTTTAATCATACCATCAGTTTATAATTTGAATACGAACAACACTGTTAATCACTATATATAATTTTGCAAATGATTATTATTTATGTAATTAATTTTATTTAACTATGTAAAAAAATTTAGATATCACATAAAATTTTACTAAAGAGGGTTGATCTAAAATAAAATTAAATAAAATAAACTGAATGTTTTATTTATTTATATTTGTCGATAAGACTTACAAGAAAACTCAAGACTGAACACAAAAACAAAAAATATATAGTTTTTATTTTATTTATTTTATATACATTACTTTCAAATAAAAATTTGCCAGCGTTTTAGTTCTATTTAACTACTTCCTAAGCGTAGCATTTAATAGGTGTCTTGTTGGGATAACAATGTTGTCTCTTTGTCTGTTGTATTTCTGTGTTCATATACCTAATATGAGGATTATTTCTATTTACTATAGAAAATTGTAAATTTCAAATTTTTGAGGTTGTTTGTTTTTCACTCAATGTAGTAATGTTTTCTACTTGATTTTTCTTTGGGTTAGTTTTGTGATGCATCAAAAAATTTGATAAGAGGTCGATAATTCTCTCAAGTGAAATTAGCTTCTCATACCAATCAAATTTCCGTTTAGTGCGTTGTTCCAATACTAAGTATATGTAGTATGTTATGATGACAAAAGACTGAATATTAGATAATGTCATTATGTTTGAAATATCTGTTGTTCTTTAGATAAAAACTTGAAAACTTTAAAATATCGTTTATTGCTAAGTTATATATATTATTTAAGTATGTTTACTTATGTCTTTTTTATAAAAATAACCATTAATCTGCAAAACAAAGTATTTGTTTTTATTTGAGATTCAACGATAAGGGAAGTTTGGAGTCTTGGTTTTTGATGTTTATCAAATTTTTAACATTTTTTTTATATCATTGAGATATATATTGTTTCGTGTTAAGATCCTCGTTTATGTGGTTTTGTTTATACAGATCATTCCATCTTTTGTTACTTTCTAATAGTAACAAACCATATTGTTTTGTATGTGGTATAAACTGCCCCAATATACAGTGTTCAACTCAAAATGATCAAATAAATAAATTTTGAAATATTTCACTAATTTTTATTTATTGAAATATCAATATTTAATTTATTTAAACATTTTTTTTATTAACAATTCTTTAAATATTATGTAAAAGAGAAAAGCAGGCTCGATTTAATTACTTTTCGAAAAAGGATTTCGCGAATTTATCTTGTATTGTTTTTATAATAAATAAATTTACTGTCAGTACTTTAATAAGGTTAACTAAAGAAAAAATTGAGCTGGAGCAAAAAACTTTCTAGTCCAATAATCCATCACTAATACTCATAAGCATGCATGATATATTAACTTACGTTAACTTGTTCCTTTATTTTAATGTTTAAAGTATATCACTTTTTAATATTGTATATTTCTATTTTGATTTAGTCTCTATGTTGTTTTATTTACATTGTTCAAATGTTTGTTTTTTTTATTATATTAAATTAGATTGCAAAATGAAGACGGATGCTTTTTTGAAAAATTTGGATCACTCTTGGGACAAAATTTCCCAAAAGAAAACAATGATTTAATGTCAAATCTTTCTTTCGAAGTCAAAGAAGATGAAAATAATTTAGCAGAATCAGCAATTTCGAATGCTGATTTGTATATCGATTACGACTTAAAACTTCAAAGTTCCGAAGATGGATCCTTATCGTCAGAACAAACGGATGAACTCGTAACAGAAGCTTGTGGCATGAACGTAAGTCAATTAGATATTACCATATACATTTACTCATTTAATAACATATATGTATTTAACATATTTATTTATTTACATATTTAAAGTATAATATAAAAAAAAAATTTAGTTATTAATTAAGGTCAACATTAACTGTTAATGTTGATATTTTATAGTTTTAAAATATAATAAATTCAGTATCAGTAACAACTGTAGACATTTTTAGACATTATATTTCTTCAATTGAGTTGGTTACATCTTTAATTCACAGTAGATTAAGAGAACTTTTCTATCGAAGTAGATAGAATTATCGATAGAGATATCTTAAAAAAATGTCTATACAATATTGATAATTATATTTACATCTTAACAGTTAGTCACATTAAGCTATAAATATCTATTCCCATGCAATACAAAGCAATTGTACTAAAAGCAAGAACCGAAAATATCTTTCCTAGAGATACGTATTTTAAGAAATTCCTAATTTCTAAAGAAGTTGATTGGGTCTTTTCTGCAAACACTAAACTTGCTGCCAAAGAAAATTGTCGTGTTCGGATATTAAATACAATTGAACACGATGTCACTCTTAATAATTAGATTTTTACAAACCGTCCTTTGAGACATTACAACAATATCGAAAGGAAACATAAAATAGAATATACCCCGGAACGATTACAAGAACTTAGGAAAAGAACACAAATATAATGATGAGACACTTATCTCATTGGTATCTGAATATCAACATATTTTTCTGATAGGAAAACTTTTATTATGCAATAATTTTGAAACGAAATACATTACCGCTAGAGATTTTCATCAAAAACTAGGGATTATAAAATACTCAAAGAATGACATCACGATGACGTTATTGAATTTGACAAAAGCTTAAAATATCATAAAATTAAAAACAAAATTCTTTAAGATTGAGCGATTATAATCTCAAGCTCTATCCTATAATATAGAACATTCTAAAATACGAAGTCACATATCTATGACATTTGATTACAGAACGTACTGTTAAGACGAACCCCACAAAGCACAAAGTCATACAAAAACACACAAGCCCACAAATATTGAAAACTGCGATATATGTAATCAGTTTTTTACAAACATTTTATTACAGGCTGCAGATAAAGCAAAATTATTAAATTAATAAACCATTTCTTATAACAACGGAGGCCATTGATTACATACTTTGTGCAGTCATTTCTCAGAATGAACTTAGTTTATATTTGCCAATATGTAACGTAAGTAAAAACTCTATGTAAATAATTCAGTTATTGAAAATAATTCTTGCGATACATAGGGCAATAAATTGTTTTCGTCCACATGTCTATGGTAAATGTTAGACCCATGTTGTGAGCGTGTGCCTTTAAGCGACAGTGTCAAGGAAGTTTGTGCAGTTCAAGGAAAAACCTAAATAGATTTGGTAAATTTCTGTTGGAGGCCTTGCCGTCTGTCCTTCTTGTGTTCGATAAGACATGTCAAAGGTAATATTACTTCCTTCCACACTTTTATATCTAGAAAAATAGAAGAAATTAATATTATATTATTTTCGGGTTCTCGTGAGTCAATGAAAATCTTATATATAAGTCCATTTGCAGTAGGTTTTGAATGATCTTTCCTCAAGTTCCGTTTCATTGTTCATTTGCAGCATCATTTAACCCGTAGTGCTCTGTCGTTGAACATTTTCTCATGTACAGTATCATTATTCATGAAGCCATTTTCTTCAGTTGAATGAATGTTGAAGTTGTTTTTTTTTTAGTTTTTGGTACGTAGTATAGTCTTTAACATAATAGGAAAGGTGCTATTAAAATCTGGTAGTTTGCTGGTACTTTGTATAGGTCAAATGAGTGTGCTCCCAATTGCACTTTCTTATTAGTTGTGCTGGATACTGTGCGTCTATTACTCATCATCCATGCAGATAAGAATGGGTATGCTATGTTTGTAATGACAACTTTTCTGGTCATTTTCAAAAAATGACGCGAATTCACTTGTTTTATAAGAATTGTTTTAGAAGAATTTATTGAATAAGATGTGTGACACCCAGGAACTCACGAAACTTTAATTCTTATCGCAGATCCAGTGTGATTTGGGTATCCAAGTATGCTCTTTAAGACCTCTATACATATTTCTCAGATGTGTTTGTTATCAAAGAACAACATTTATTCCAGCACCATGTAGTCTTCTAAGTAAGAGTCATCTTCTGAGCACGCTCTTCTCTAATACGTTTCGTGTGGTGGGTCCAACGTTTTTAGGTTTTACACCGCTGATCGCTATAGATACCTAACTTATCTATCGCTATAGATAAGTTAGGTTAAAAGAAAAATTGTACTAAAAACTCACTCCACTGCAATGTAGTGTAATAACAAATTTATATATAATCTATATTTTTTTTGATATGCATTAATTTTAGCAGAATTTTAAACGTCTCCCTACTGTAATTAATTGCATTCAATTGTCAACACAACTAGGCCTGACTTTGGAATCGACATATGTTTTATCAGAAAGTTTTTGTCTTGGAAATTCAGTAAGGTGGTTCTCCCTACAAAACTTGCTAGCGTTTTACAAACTTATATATTTTACATAAAAACTACAAAAAACAACTTTTTACAGAACATTGTAATGAAAAACGATTGAATGATTTTTCGTTTATGTGTACGGAAGATTCAGCAATTAACAGCAAACATCATTTGCCGTTGTTATTATTCTTGCCCAAATTATCTTCTGTCTCTACTGTTGAAGTAGTTCCATTGTTACAAGTATATACAACGCATTATTAAGTCAAAAATTATGTGGGTTACTGAGCATAAAGGCATTAAAGGAAATTAACAAGCCGAGAGAACTGCACATTTCCAGGGGATATAGGTAAATGCAGGAATTAGTCAGGTGTGGAACATTATTTTGTGAACTTTGGCAAAAAATTTTCGAAAACCACAATACCAAAAAAATATTGGATGAAATGCCATTAGAGCATGGATTCGATTACGTCTTGGAAATACAATTTTCACTCATCCACACTTACTTTATTCTAAATCTAGAATAAGGATTTATTTATTATGCCAATTTTCACACACCATTACTTGCTTTATTCTAAATCTACTGATTTACTACAGAACTATCTAAAAACAAGAATGGTGTACTCTTTTTATGATATGACAATTCCTCAACTAATCTCCAATTCTAATAACACTGACTCCGAAACTCAGAGCTATGTCCATAAACAAATTATACGACTTCTTACGTACAGTAAATAATAATCATCTTATATGCGACTTACATTGGATATAAGAGATAAAGTTATGCGAGGCTTGACAGCTAGACTCGTGTATATTGATATAAGCTTTAATTAATTGGTAGTTTTCAAAAATAAAATGAATATATTTTCAATGTAGGAAAAAAAAAACAATAAAAGAAATATAAAATAACATAAAAATAGAAAAAAGAAACAATTTTTGTATACGACGTGTGTAAAAATGTTTAGCAATTGCACATTAAATTTTTTAAAATGAATAAAATAAAATTTTAGTTTACCTAAAGTTTATATATGTATGTATATATACATAGAAATTAATGGTATATTTGTGCAACTTCTGTATGAAGCCATAGAACATAATAACCCAGTAGAAAACGGATCGATCCGTCATCGAAGACGTCTTCAAGACATGGATGCATACATGAAGACCGATCGATCCAAATGTATGACGGTCTTTGAAGACACTTTCATACAAATTAGCCAAATGTCTTCAATGAATTTTTGCGTACATGTCTCGAAGACCGTCTCGAAGACCATGTCTTGCATAACGGACGCATTCGACAGAAAGTTGTGCGCTCTTAGTGCAGTGCTCATATAATTTTTTCACCCTTTTTTTTATTTCTACTCTTTTATTGCACTCTTTAAATTTTAAATGAATTTCAATTTTCTCTTTAAATAAGTAGAAAGAAATTGTTGTATTTTGTACTTTTATTTATTTTATATAATAATTACTTACATTACATTCAAAATTAAAAGTTTTAAAAGTAAATTATAAATTTTATTATAAATTATTATAAATTTTATTAAGATATTAAAAATAAACTAGTAAAAACTAGTAAACATAGTGAAAATTAATTTAAATAATTAACTTAATATAACTTAACATATCTAAAATTAACTAAAACTAATATAAAATAATTTATAGCATTTCGCTATCATCTATTGTTGAAGTTTTATATGTTTTCAAAAGCGTTGAAAAGGATTTTGGTACAATTAAACCTTCTGATCTTAAGAGTTCTAAAATATCATTACCACAACGCCTGTTAATCCTGTGTTTTTTAAATATAACAGCTAATTTTTCATAAGTGTTTTTGGTTTTTTTATTTTCAACATCATTTGTTTCGTTTCTTAAACAACTTTCACTGGAATTATTGTCTTCAATATTAATATCAATATATTTTCCAGGAACTAAGTCAATATTTCATTTGTTTTGATATAATTTCTTTTTTTTAATATTTCATAGTTTAATGATTTTGTTTCTTTATTCATTTTGATTTTTTTAATATTTATTTCACAATATGTTTATTCACTACACTTCAAAATTATTGCGTCACTTCATTTATAAAACATAGCGTCATCTGAGGCAAAATTCAAATACGTTGCTATGAACACTAAAAATGAGAGAGAAAGCAAAGAAAGAGTATTTACATTCATGTTTTGAGCAATTGTTTTGCAAATTTGCTTGAACATGCGGACGCGGTATCAAAGACCGTCTTGAAGACAATGTCTTCGAAGACCACTTTTTCTACTGGGAAGAATTAATGGAATCATACACACTTTTTCAATAATATCCGATTGATTCGACAAAGTTATTGTACTTAATTCTATTTATATATCTATTTGCGTAAGTAAACGTACTTAGGTAAAATATTTCAAAAATTGTTCTTCGAATTTTGTATACAATATTAGAAGAACTTAATTTATGTATTGTATGTTTATTTATTTACAAGAGTTATTTTTTAAATCTCTTAATATTGTATTGTATCTTAAAGAATGTTTTAATAGCAAATACTTTTAAATTTTTTTTTTTTCGATACATTATAAAAGCTAATACATTCATATAAAGCTAACCGTACATTCACAAAATTTAACAATTTGAGCTTTTCGATTAAGGCTAAAAATAAATGCTTTTTATTCAATAAAAGCGAACTTCTCATCGTAGGAACTGTAATACATAGATACGATATAAATAAATAATCGCTAACATTCGCAGTTCATGGTTACACTTGAATTATATTTAATGTGATATTATTCATTTCTGTATTTAATGAAATATTCAATAATTATATTAAAAAAATAAAATATCTTAATAATTTATAACTTAATATGTGAAATAAAATATGCAAAAAAATATAAAAAACTTTCTTATGCGTTTAAGTAAAATCAATTTGACTTCAGTGAGTTTATAAACGAAAATGAGTAATGACTGGATAAATCAATCCTCACAAACATTAAATAAAAAAAATAATTATGTATCAAAACACCTTAGTTTATGCTTAAACATAAATAAGTTCAGATTAAAAGCACACAAAAAATCAAGAAGCGTTTCGACATTATTGGAACCGTCACCAAAAAACATTTTAAATAAAAACGGTATAATATCCTGCCAACATTTTCGAGGAGTTCCACAAACCCTTATAGAAAGTCACACAAAAAGCGTTTGCAATGCGATGACAGTAAGTGCAAAAAGAACAAATAGCAAATTAAGAATATGTTCTAGTTATATAAAAATATTTAAAAATTTTCATATTTAAAAAAGACAACAAAATGTTCCTTTAGTTTTATAATTTATAATAAATATTTACAAAGCATTTGTGTCCAAAATATAAAATGAGTCTTAAAAGTAATTATATTCTGAAATTTTCAAACATTTCTTGTAATATGTTTTTTCAAATTATATCCCACATCAAATATAATTTTCTATTTAATTTTTCAAACCTTAATTGGAATACAGAAATTAGATTTTCTAAATAAAAACTACTGGTTTAATCCAAATTGAACTGCATTTAGTTTGTTTGGAAAATGTAATACGAGTAAGATTTGTTGTTATAGCATACACATCCTAATGAATTAATCAAATATTTCGAAACATTAATCATTTTAAATAGCAAAATGGCCACACGTAGACAATTAAAGTCCATTGTGATATAGATCAAAGTCTTATTTCACACAGGATGCGCGTGTTATTAGCGAAATATATTAAAAGTTCAACAGCAACCTCAGGCATGTACTCTAGTTTGTAAAACTGACAGCCCCAATTATTTTTATAGAGTTCTCGAGAGAGCCGGCAGGTACGCAGAATTTCCTTTGCATCCGACTCGCGTTACATTTCTTATAAGCATCGCTGCGAATTAAATTTAGTTTGAGCGGATATGATGTGATCAACAATGACCTGTCAATACCCCAATTAATGTTCTACAGTATAAAAATTCTAAACCAAAAAATCATCACGGGATCATTGACCAATCACTGTAGATTGAATAATCACCTAACGAAATTAGGAATTCAATCGAACTCAGACTGCTGATACTGTAGAGAAGAGAGAAAAACTGTATACCATGTTCTTGGGGAGTGCCCGGCACTAATGCACAAGCGGAAGAAACACCTAGAAGGGTATTTCATGGATCATAAGGATTAAGGGATCATAAGGATTCAAGACTATGAAAGATAGGCTCTATACTGTCTTTCATTAAAGAAATCGAACTTGGAGAAACTCTAATCCAACTAATTGGCACAATAGGTCTTTTAGGTCGCAGTGCACTACCCCTTTTCAAATAATAATAATATGATATAAAAATGCTATAAAAAATTTGTTATCTAATAGCATCAACAACACGCAGTCAAGATGAATAAGTATGTATTAATGGCATATGTACATATTTCGAAAAGAATTAACCCGTTAATCAAAATTGTAATGTTTATGATAATTGAAATGTTATTAATAGCTTTAAGCACAAAGTGAATATGAAACAAAAAACATAATGTACTCGGATATAAGTTATTTCAAATATATTATACATTATATTATAATGTATAATTAATAATATATATATTATTAATAATATTATATAATATAATATTATAATTAATAACAATAATTCATAATTTGAATGTATGTTCCGTTTTTTATATTAGATTGATGATCTCTACGAAGAAATATTATATGAAATTACTAATAATGTTGGTTGTGAATCGGAAAGTGTATGCACTGAAACACTGCTTGAATTTGCCCAACAGGTATTTAGAATTCCTGATGAAAAACATGAAGAGATTCTAACAGCCTCAAAGAACAAAGAACCTCCAAAAATACGATTAAATATAGAAATAATAAAAGCAGAAAACTTGATACCGAAAGACTCTAATGGTTTATCAGATCCATTCGTAACGCTATTTCTAGAGTCCAATTCTACTCATCGGTACAACTCATCAGTAAAACCCGATACTTTGAATCCAATATGGGAAGAACATTTCTCATTGTAAATATATATTAATTTTAACTTATTATAGCAATAAATAATTTTCTATGAAAAATTTTTCAGGCCCATCACAGAAAATCCGCGAGAAGAAAAATTAATTGTAGAAGTTTGGTAAGTTTTTAGTTTTCTGTAAGAGCTTCATATAAAATCTATTAAGTCAGATTTGGAGATTTGAAATTAGCAAGGGTGATTCAACATAATATCGGCTTTAGTTTCTTAAACTTTAACAGTAAACATAATTTTAGCAAATTTTAACCAATTTTAGCAAACAAAACGAACAAATTCTTTTAAAAAATCATTCAATATTACATCTGTTTTAAGGGAAAAACTAAACTAAATGACTATTCATTGCACAGAATTGATTACAATTTGTTAATTTCAGAATTATCAGTTCACAAAATAGTTATTAAATCATGTGTATCGATAATCATATATGAACAGGTAAGAAACGAAGGTGGAAAAACATTTAATGCAATAATTTTGGCAAGTATTCGAGACAATGAGTCAGGAATTTCTTCAATTTTCAACGGCTTGTGACAGGTAGTATATCGGTTCAAAATTGTGAAATTTTACAGGTCTGTAGATCTGATGATCTAACACTAGATCATCTAGTGTTAATTAGAAATGCAAAACTGGTTGTAATTCTGAAAAAGTACAAACAATGCTTGAAACATATTGGTTTTTTTGGTCTATTGTTGTAAGCAAATGTTGCATGTATTTAGAAAATTTCTTTCGCATCATCAAATGGTCATGCAAAATTTCGCCTAAACTGTTAGTCCCATGTTATACAGAAAGTCACGGATTCGTCAAAATTTGGCTTTTTTGGGTTAAACTTCCATAATTTGAACTTTTATAACTCGAATTTTCTATAATTCGAACCAAAAACAGTGCACCAAGGTTTTAGAGAGCAAATTACATGCAATTCTGCTTCCATAACTCGAACTTCTATACATTAAGACTGAAAAGTTTTCGGAAATTCTCATTTAAAATTCGCGCGCTGTATATTTTTCGATATTTTAAGTTTATGTAGTTTGGCAGCACTGTCCTTAATTACTATGCAAAAAATGAGAGCGATCTGTCAGACAGTTCGTTTACGGCAGCTGTTGAAACCAGTTCACCTCAGTAGTGCGTTGCGAAATGTCTTCGACGGTCGTACGACCGTCCTGAAAGGCTTTGTACCACTCATAAACTTGAGTTTTCGATAAAACTGCTTCCCCATAAGCCTTTTGTAGCATTCGCAACGATTCCGCACACGAAATTTCGTTCGAAACACAAAATTTGATGCAAACTCTTTGTTCAATATTTTTTTCCATTGTTTTTTTCGCAACGCACTACTGAGGTGAACTGGTTTAAACAGCTGCCGTAAACGAACTGTCTGACAGATCGCGCTCATTTTTGGCATAGTAATTGTCCTTAATTGCTGCCAAACTACATAAACTTAAAATATCGAAAAATATACAGCGCGCGAATTTTAAATGAGAATTTCCGAAAACTTTTCGGTCTTAATGTAAGTCGAATTTCTCTATAACTCGAACAAAAATTTTGTTCCGTGCTGATAGGAATATAGGAAAGTGCATTCTATAAGTCGAATTTTTGTTTTAAATGTAAATGCATTTTTCTGTTAGGGGAAGTCCCTTTTTTTAAACCAAATGTTTAATTTTTTCTTTTTTATGTTACTTCTTTGTTCAGCGTGGTTTAAAGTAAATAAAATAACTTCCAATGCTACTCTTAACGATTATATTGAGCTTAACAATGAAATTTGTACATCAAGCTTTCCTGAAGATAACGATATTATTGAGCATTATAGATCTGAATTAGTTTATCCAATTCTAAGCGCAACGGAAAGTAATGATGAGGGTTCGGTGGATGTAATTGTTCATCAGCCTTCCAAGAATGAAATAGAAGACTCATTCAAAATTCAGAATTTATATTTGAATGGAATGATATTACAACTGATAATCACTGTAAGAGTATAAATAAAGTAAAATCTCTTTATACTGAAAACAAGAAAAACATTAAATTCCCAAACCCTAATTTCTGAATATTTTACTTAACTATAACTTCTGTGCTTTATTTGATTGCAAATAAATAAATATCTTAAAATGTAATTCGAGTGTCTTTCAAAAATAAAATAAAAAATTTAAAAATCTCTAACTCGAAGTCTCCATTTTTTTTTTGCAACTGCAAGTACCAGGAATTGAACTCGTGTGCTGCAAAATTTAAAACTCAGAGTCAGCGCTCCTTAACCAACATACCAAAAGCCGTACTTCAGTTTTATATTCGCACATTTTTCTGGAATTTTGTTAATTTGCTATGAAAGTTCTATTAACAAAATCGCTTACTGTGTTTATATTAGAACGAAATTATAAACTAGCTGTAGAATAATTGAACTAATTAAATATATTTTTATATAAATATCTATATATTTTATTAATACTCATGCGATGTTATAGACATGAACCTAGTATTAAATAATCTTATCTGTTACAAAACTTATAATATTTTTTTTTTCTGTAAATTTAAGGGATTTTGATGCGGCTGAAAGCGTTAAAGAAAAAGTGAATAAAATTTTTGAGGTAAAAGGTGTACGAGGCTTACGAAAATTGGTTAAAGAAATAGCATTAACAGCTTCTACTGGAAGGCACGATAATGAATTAATTGGAAGAACTACTATAACATTAAAAGTATGTTTTGAAATTGAAGTTCAGTATACTATTTCAATCTTTGATTTTTAGTCTGTTCCAATTTCTGGTTCAACAGTCTGGTTTAATTTAGAAAAAGGATCAAAAGCAAAAAATCGTGGATCAATATTAATCAGCCTTTCATTAAGTGCAGAAAAGAACAAATATGTTGCAATACAAGAGCACAGGCATTTACTTAAGCTTTTATTTATCCATGAACTGGAATCATTGAAAACAACTAAATTCTGCTGGGATGGAAAATTTAACCCTAATTCTGAGTTAATTCGAACTCAACATTCTGTTCAAAGCGGTCTTAGCAATTTCGAATGCAGCTTAAGTCAATGGGTCGTTTATACTTCTTTTTATAAAGAGCATCCAATAAGTTTTAAAGTTTTAAACGAATTACTAGAAGTAATTACTCCGTTCTTAATATGTTTGCAACGGAACTCGGAAGAAGTTAAGCAATTTCGAGGTGGATTAAAACAGATTTTGCCTTCTTGTTTTTCCGTTCTACGTAAATTGCGTACAAGAAATGACCAGCAAGCAATTACCACACTTGTTGAAGTGTTGAATTTAATATCACAAATAAAAGAATTCGTCCTGCCAATAGATACTAGTTTATTTCCTCAAAACGAATATACTTGGATTCCTGAGAATACTGATATTGAGGAATATGATATTAATGATATTGCTACTTTTGCAATTAATAGTGGAACTAACGATTGGCTTGAGTACATTGTTGAGGGGAGTAAACCCAAGAGTGATGATGAATGTGATGAAAGTATATTACTATATTTAATAAAATTAATACAAATGATAAGATCTGATTTACAAAAAGCTATGGAATATTTCGATAAACATTTTTATCAGTAAGTTGATTTAAATTAAATTTTATTTAACAAATATTTATTATAAGATCATTTTTTTTTATTTATAGCAAACTACATATAAATTATTCTACAGTGTTATTTAAATTTTACGATAAGAAACTAACAGAAATAATCGAACCTATTATTGTAAAAATATCTGCAAATATGGAACGATTGAATGTACCTGATGACCGGTTCGAGTATTTACCAAACATTGATAATGTTAATATGGGCACAACTCTTTTTGAACTTTATATTGTACTTAAACGCTTCTTAACATTAGGTAATTTTATAGTTTTTATTTACAAATAACAAAGATTTTACATATGACATTATTGTATACAAACGAACTTAATTTTCCCAAACATTGCTGAAAGCGGTTAAGTGTATATATCCTGAAAGTAGTGCTTTTCTCTATTTTAGATTATTGGATATCATTTTATTTTTTTAATATATTAAACTTTATTTATTATTTTTAAATAAAGTGTGAGGTAATATGAAGAAGAATATAACTCTTCCTAATTAGCAGCTTATTTGAAAAACTTATCTGCGAATTACATTTAATTGCTGCTTCCTTTATTATAAGCAATTATTTTAATATACTCATAATTTTAATAAATATGTTTTAAAATTTTTTATAGTTATAGCACCAGTGATATTCCATTTACAGATATTTTAGGCTACTCTTATTTTCATTTAATTGCTTAAATTTTAAATTTTAATAACAATAACTATGTATTTTTATTAAATAGAATATCATATGCAAATTAATTCATTAAAACAATCACCTTTTGTAAAATGTTGTCAAAGTCATATGAAATGAATTTTTTTCATCGATATGTGATAATGGATGAAGCTTAGATCCACCACTTCACTCTGCAATCAGAAAGTCATGCAGTCAGCTGAGTGGACAGTGATCAGTAGTTTGAATAATGAAATTGCACGAACTAAACTCAAATTGCTTCCATATCCTCTTTATATTGTAAAATTCGTCCCCAGCAACTACTGCTTATTTGGAGAAAATGCTTTTGAGAAAAAATATTTGTCTGATAAAAAAATCATCATCGAATTAAATGCCTACCTTGAGGCGCTTAAATTAACCCAAAAGAAGGTGTTTTTATAACTTACCCTTGAAAGTTTTCAGACAATGTTCTCCTCAAAATTATAAGAAATTTAGAATCAAAAAGATTTCCTACATAATTAATGAGGGCGAACCTTTTCCACTTCGCCTACCTTACTATTTGTAGCATTATAAATATTATGGCACTTTAATAACATTTCTTGCCAACTTCCATCACATTTTAGCAACACAGTTTTCAAGTTCAATTAGCATCACTTAATTTATTTGTCTACAGAGATCTCGTAAATATAGAAATATATATATGTACAATTAAGAATAAGTGCAATATATATGTACAATATATTAATATATCAATCAATTTCCAAATTTCATTTGAAAGATACCACAATTTAGACGAATGGTATCTATACTAATATAAATATTATGTTAATTATTAATAATTTATTAATTTTGAATCCAAAAAAATTTACAATTTTACATAAATTTGCGTTGAAATATAAATATTTTTATTAATTAAGAATTTTATATGATATTTATGTAATTATTTTTAACTGTTCTGAGCGCACGTAGTCTTTCAAGTATAGACAACAACTTTTTATAAAATTTAGAATTACGCATTTTTTTTCATAATTCGATAGTTTAGTATTAAGTATATAATTTAGACTAAATATAGATATAATAATATAACTTCAAATTTTTCAAAATCGAATAAAAAATGCAAAATCTAAACTTTCATTTAGGCAAATCATTATTACCAAATGAACAACTTGATATAGAAAATTTTTACACATGGTTCATTCCTGGAGTAACACATTGGCTAGATATATCCATATTGAAAGCCCTAAATCGTATTGACAAAGCAATTGAACTTGATCGACTGAAGGCAGTTGATGAGACTGTGAAATATAGTTCCTCTGCTGTAGATACGTTAGCGATATTCTATCAAATCAAGATTTTTTGGCAACAGCTTGATTGGCCTGATGTTGAAGGTGCGTACACATTTGTAGCAAAAATTGTTGATGTAAGTACAATTTTAAAATCTTTGAACTTTTAAAAGTTATTTTGTTTATAAAAAAATTTACTAATTCATGCAAAATTCAATAAAAAGAAATAAGCTAATAATATCTTGTAATATCTTGCGGCCTTGTGCTCCTCCTAGGAGTTAATGGATTAAATATATCTTGTAATATCTATTTTTGCTATTTTTATCGGAGGGGATTTCTTCTTTAAAGTTTCTCCTAAAAATATCATCGTAGGTGGTGCTATGATTTTAAACTTTAATATGCATTAGCTAGTTTTTGGATTCCTGTTTGTAACTTGTCTAATTTAATTGTGAATTAAATTTAGATAAAACTATCTAAGTTAGTCCATACGTGAATTCACAAAAATACGAAAATGATACTTTCTTATTGGAAACATAAGTCACGTTCCCTACTATTTATATATATGAAAAGACAGGTACTACAATTTTCTGACTCAGCAAAGCAGCTTCTTGCTTAATTCCAGATAGAAAATTCAGTTGGCCCATTGTTAAACTGATATTACTTCTTGGCGTAGTCATCTACAAGCCATCATTCAAAGGTAAGGTTGCAGAACAAGACAGAATTCAAAGAACGGCTAATTTCTTAATTGCAGGATGCTAACGATCAACTTTCTCAAATGGAATTAATAGCTTTCGGCTGTACTGCCAATGTAGCAATCAGAATGAACCGCGTCCAAGAATAAAAATGACCCATTGCCCTAGCATTCTGAAGAAAGTTTTAAATTTAATAAGTAACGAACACACTTAAGGTATCGTATAGAATACCAAACTCTGCCAGTATGTTTTAAATGGAAGTGATGACACTTAAAGTTGCAGGTGATATGATATTAGAAAGAAATATATCAGAAACTTATATTAGATTCTTTACTCGAATTCTTCTAATGTATGTCCACTCAGTCCACAAATTATACATAACTCTTATTTGTTTTTATCCAGCTCACTATAAGTCGCTAGTACATACCATTTACGGAAATACCTAAAGCAGCATTTTTCATTTTCACGAAGTTTTCTATTTGGTATTACTTTTAAATTACAGTACTAATATGGGAGACTTTACTGATTTTTTATATTAAAATTTTTGACTACCATTTAGATTTATTAAATAATTTGTTTAAAGGATATTTGCAGGTGCTGTGTATTTTATGCTCAAAGAATGTCAAAACGTGTGGAATACTTAACTAAAGATAATACTGAATTATTTATTGTGTCCACTGAATGGTGTTTTGCAATAAATAACATTGATTACATTTGTCAAAGTTTACCAGCATTTATACTAGTAAGTAGAATTCAGGTTTTATTTTTAGTTTTTTTAACATTAAATTATACTTAGGAATTGGGAGCTAATAAAGTTATTGAACAACTGGGAGAAATTCGAACGCACTTAGAATCCGAACGTTGTAAAGCCACAATTCAAAATGTCATTGATAACGCTTTGGACACTGAAAGAAATCAAATTCAAGAATTAATTGCTGTTGTTGCTAGGAAAATGGCCCCTTCAATTAAAAGATTTTTAGCTGAAGGTTCAGAAGTTCTTTACAAGGACTCAAACTCAATGGAAAAATTGATGAATTATATGGAAAATTCGTTAAGCACTCTGTACAATATTTTGAACGAGGTTAATTTTGGTAGAATGTTGGATTGTATTTGGGCAGAATTATCCATTATAATGTACGATTTAATTCAATCTAATTTAGACGTGAGTACTTATATTTTAATAATAAAATAACTTTGAATTATTTCTTAAGAAAACATATTGTATGTTATTTTTAAAAAAATTGCATATTTTTTTTTATTTCGTATCAATATTATGTTATTGTATTATATATGTTATATCTATTTATTATATATTATAAATGTGTTTTTTATGTATGTTATATCTCCATTTATTATATATGTTTATTATATTATTTATTATATATTTATAATCAACACAAAACTTCATATACAAGTAGTTTCATCCCTAGCGACCGTCGACGGCCTCGTACTTATAGGAGCCTGACAGAAATATTTTACATATTAATTAAAACTTAATATTAAGTACTGAGTAAAAATGATTTTTTAAATAGAACAAACAGTAACTAAATGTAATACAAGACATATATTTCGAGAAAATTTTTGAGTTAAAAAAAAATTTTTTAATAATCAAGTGAATTCTTAGGTTGACCATAAAATTGCTTAGTATATCGCCAAATATCCATCATCAGTGGTCTTTAGAAAAATCTATAAGTTGAATAATCCGTATTTAATATCAAGATTGAAAATGTTACGACAGGGTTAAATTATGTCAAATTTGAACAGTGTATCCATCTTTTGGTACATTATATCAGAAACTCTGTATGAAGTTGTAATATATAATAAAATATACCAATAAGTAAGACCATTGATTACAGTTAAACTAAAAATTGAAAGTTAATAATTCCTTAATATCTTGTCTCTACAAGCATTTTTTCTTTATACAGTAAGATCTCGATTTGCAATCACATTTCTCCGTATATTTAATTTCCAAATATATTTTAGTTTTTGATCACTTGTTGATTTAGAATTTCCTTTTAACTCATTGAATATCGACAGAGCCTTATTCTGAATTCGCAGTTGGCATTATAGCATTCTTTTTTAATTCTGATTTTAATTCTGATCTATGCAAATCGATAGAAGCATTTTTTGCAATAAATAGACTTTTACGTTTGTAACTTGTTTGACCTCCAAATGTGTCAAACAGCTTTTCCATAATACTTTATATTGTCCGCAATATGATTACAAGTAGTTTTTACGGTAGTTAGAGCTAAATTCACAATTTTCCTAATGTTAGTAGGTTTTTCTCCAAGTTTAAAATGTCTAACTTTTGTTCCAAGGAAATTTGTTTTCGCTTTTGACCTATTTTTATGGTATACTTTATATGTATATCATAATTTCATTAGCAATACTATGGGTATTCATGCGTGCCTTGTGCACTTTAGAGTATATTTCAAATCATTTAACGTGGATGTCTTTCTAAGCTCTGTGGTTTTTAAAATTTAGTGTTCATATTTTTCTGCCAATTATAAGGATTTTACTACATGTAAAATTCAGTTATCTTATTAAAATAAAACTTGTTTGAAGAGATATCATAAAAACTAATATACATTTTAATTTTAGAAACGCCGTCCACCTGCATTTTTTCAAAACCTGAAACACACTCTTCAAGTGATGGTAAAATGTTTTAAAATGGAAAATTTTGAAACATCTGATGTTGAAGTGTTAATTGAAATTGAAAAACTCCTAAATTTGCACGGATTTGAAACTGCAGAATTAATTCATCAGTATTATTTAGAACGAATGGAATATCAAAAGGAGATTAAGAATTCTAAATTTGGTCAATTGGCGATAAAGGCATATTTTACAGAAAATAGTTTAAAAGTAACTCAAAAAAATATTTTAATTTCTAATAATACTAATTATAATAAACAACTAATTCCTCATTTCAGCTTAATATATTAAACGGAAGAAGTTTAGTACCAATGGATTCTAATGGATCATGCGATTCCTTTGTAAAGGTGCATTTCTTACCTACAAATAAGTTTATTGGTGTATCTGCACTTAAAACTGCTGTTAAAAGCAAATCATGTTTTCCCCTATATGACGAGCACTTTTCAATGTAAGTTGCAAAAATTAAATATTGATTTTATTTATTTAGTATATATATTAATAATACATAATGTATTGATAGTATATAATGTAAAATGCATAAATGAAAAGTATTCGATAATAAATTAATCAAAATTATAATTGATCGTAAGTGATAACTCTATCTGCATTCAACTTATATAGTTAATGAAAACATTTTTATATATTACATCATTCTATCTGAAATTTTACAACAAAAATCAAACTTTTCGAATTCGAAAAGACGTTAAATTGTTTTGAATAGATTTACATGCGAAAAGCGATACGTTTTTATACGTAGTTAATATGCAGACACTAATTTAACGAGGTTTTAGGAGATTATTTAAATGCTATATAAAAACTAATTCAAACATTTAATTTAAAAAAATTCCGAACTTCAGGTCCGAACTCCGAATTCCCCTTTTTTTTGTATGTATAGTTGAATATGTGCATTAAATATTTCGGAGGGCTTGCGCTTATCAAATGTTACAGCATTCCGTACACGGTACTATAATAACTGCAGTAGTATGTTTTCTGTTGAAAATTTTGTTTACATAGGTTTTAGGAAAACGATTTATTAATATTATGGACATTGTAAATTGTATTTTTAAAGCAAATGTTGAGTATTTGATACATGATATATTCAGTTTGATGGAAATGATGCCAACAGAGACAGTTTTCAGTTGGATTTGATATTTTCGATCTATTTAGATGAGAAGGCAGAGAGCGTTTGGTGTATTGCTGTAATCTTTGTTTTTCTGCTATTACTGATTGTAAAAGTATAAATAACAAAATAATAATAACAAAAACAATATATTTCTAAATGCATATATATTAATATTGTCAAATTTTTACATATATTTATATAATTTATATTATATTTCGAGTTTTCATTTATACATCATTAATAATCATTAATACAAAGTCTTCGAGTAGGTGTAGTAAAAAGAAATCCATTATTTTTGCAAGAAATTGAAGGTTTATTTTCCATAGTTAGAATGAACCGATTTAGGTCACATATGCGTTGTTTTGTTTGATAACTTGTTGCCATTTTGAAGGTAATTTCATTATGTCTCTCTTATAGAAATCCTCATCCCTATTGGCAAATTGGCGGTTTTCACAAGCCTCTCTTGAAACGAATTTTTACTACAAAAATCGTTCGCCATTGACGTTACTGCAAATTTTTTTAATTAAAAGCGTTTAACTTACATACAGATGTTTTCATATCGTTGAGTCTTTGCATATTATAATAAATTGCTCAACACAGAAAAATGTCAGCAACTGAATGATAGCCTGAAGCGGCTGTCCACCTTCGTTTGCCATGCAGTTGTCGAAAATGTCCCTATCACCGGAAACCCAGAGCGGAGAGATGTTAAACTGCGTCAAAATCTCATTCGAAAATGTGTAGCAACCAAAAACAGTCATAGGTGTTAATTGGACTAAACTCAGGGACTTTAAAGTAGCTACTTTTATAATAATCACTTGCAAACATTATACAACTTCCTAATAACAATGACTCCCATCTGAAAAAGACTGCAATGATCAAGAAGCTTATAATAAATAGATTTATCCAGTTCCTTCGAGAAAATTACATTACTTACATCACAACCTATTTTGAACTTTTAGTATGTATGGTTAAATCTCCTCTTAACGAGGGACTTCCAGACAGCGAAATGTCTCTACATAAAGAATCAATATAAATTTCAAAATTGAGAATGTGAGAAAGCTATATTGGACATTCTTTAGATAAGGACTGAAGAATGTAGCCGCGGCCTTAAAAATCAGCCTTTTACTGTGAAGTTGCTTTAAATTTATTAGTATAATCTACTCCTAACCGCAATTTTAACCTTTTGAGATCAACCGGCATTAGGAGAAACATTAGATTTAACACAATGGATGGAATGGTACTTAATGCACCAATAATACAAAGTTTAGTCCTATGCTGCACTCTGTTGTGTACCTTACTGTTCGAATTTTAATTATTATAGAGCTTTTTATTGAATTACGTGTCTAGTAATATTACCTCGAACCCTATTAGTGATAAAAACAGAATGAAGGCGTTAATATAATTTGGATTCTTTAAATCTCTATGACCTGTTTTTGTTATGCAAATTGATCTCCAGTAAACAGGAAAATTCTTGGGTAGCTTTATATACACTATTTGCTTACAATCAATCGGAAGGATCCTATACTACCCTTGTATATCAGTATAAATACGAAATTAGTTACAGTTGAAATATATGTGAAATATTTTTCTAAATCGTTTTTCACCAAAAGATTGAATTACAGATTTGTTGGATTATCACGCCTTAAGTAGAAATTTTATAAATTATGACCAGTTAAATGACTAAGTATCTATTTTTAAGTGGCAAATATTATATATGACTAAATTTATTACTCTAATCATTTCAATTTCAAATTTTTTGCTTTTTCTAGAAATTTAACGGAAGAACAGCAAAATAACCAAGACAGTCTTATCTTATTTAGCATCAAGGATAAGGATTTGTTTGGTATGACAAACCAGTACATTGGTGAATGTTACATCACATTTGCAGATATTGTGACTTCAGAACAAGAACAAATTCATATGGAACTATCCAGACCTGAATTAACAAGTAAGAAATTTTATTCATTTTTTAGAGAAGTGATTTTTTGAAAATTTAATTACGATTTAGAATCCGATGTTGTAAGAGCGCTGGAGTTCAGACAAGGAGACAAACAAGCGAAGGATTTTTTAAAAAAATTAAAAAATAAATCGTATTCTTAGCATCGAATATTTTATAAAATTATGTCAGCAAAAAACAAACTAATTATTAAACATTACTAATGATGTGAATTATTTATATTTTCATTGATGTATGTGAATAAACTATTTTGAAATATAAACCATTGATTTTCCAATTCAAAATAACGTTGGATTTTTTTGGTTCCTTTTACAAACAATTTTATTTTTTTAACAATTTTTTTCGTTTTATTTGGAGAAAATGAATTTAGAAAAAAAAGAAATAAAGAATAAAAATATACTCTTGATAGAAAATTTTTTTATATCTTTTACTAAAGACATTTTATAGTTTTCTTTTTATTTCTCTATGTAACACAAACAAGATTTAATTGTTGGCAATAGTAGGAATAGTAATGTCATTACCGTTGTAAGTTCTAGTGATAAATAAGTTATTACAAATTTTATTTTTTTCTTAAAAATATATAAATTAAATTAATTTAATTTAATTCGTACAAATGAAAGGTACGAATTGAAAAATGAAAACATTGAATTGAAAAAAAAAAATAAAAAGTGTTAAGAAATAGAATAAATATTTAAAAAAAAAAATGGTTTTTTGAGTCCTACTAATTTACAAGATCACTAGAGCAGACAATTTTTTTTTTTTTTGTATCAAAACAAATAATGTAATGCTGACTTTTCTTCTTTAAAAAAAAAAAATGTGCTGAATTGTTTTATAGTTTAAACATAACTTTCCTATTCAAAGTTAAGTTCTTTATTTTTTTAATCGAACAAAAATGAGATTGCTTCTTAAATTTTAATAACTTATATTTAATTAAATGATTATAATCAATAATTAACTAAAAAAATAAAAATAAAAAAAATACATATATAATATATAAAATATAATATAATAATAAAATAAAAATAAAAAAAAAAATTATAAAAAATAATTCAAATACAATAACTATGTTACTACAGTTAATACTTGCTTATTAACATTATTATTGTATGAAAAAAATAACTTATAGTATATATTTCACGACGAAAACGTGAAAAAATAGTACTCATTGGCTGCCATTATCTGTACTAACAAGTCTTGGTGACTTGTTAGTTTATTAGACTAGAAAAGTCAGCTTTGTAAAAATTATTTAACATTGCCAAATAACGCATATAGTCTTTTTTTAAGTTGGTATTTTATATTTCCGTAAAGGCAGTATTTCATTTCTTACATTGATTTGTAATGTTCTTAATTAAACCTTTTCTAACATATTGAATCGAATCTTAGAATAGGCTACGTCTTTTTAATGATCTATTAATTTACAAGAAAAACAATACATTATTATTATTATTAATTATTTTTATATTTACTATTAAGTTTATAACATAGCACAGACCATTATGTGCTGTGTTAAAAACGCAGTTGCTTGAAAATTATTTTGTAGGAAAATCCGGCCAGTAGTTTATAAAATATCGCTGTGTACTACCTTCAAATAAACGATCCAACCAAAGATTTAATCCATCAAGGAGATTTCCTTCTAATAAAATTTTTTGTTCCGCATCTGATTCATCGGAATTTTCATAGTTTATGATAGAACCAAATTCAGGATCGTCGTATTTTTTTATAAGTCGTTTAGTGATGCTTAATATTCTCTGAAAAACGAAAAATAAAAATTATGCAATAATAAAATAAATAAAATAATATAAATGCATACGTACAAGAATATACAACAAAAAATACGATCGAAATAAAAGTTAAAATCCTAAAAGACAAAACCGACTTTAAACTGTTTTTAGTTTTCAAGAGAAAGATTCAATAAATTAATTTAAGTTCATGAAAAAAAAAATTTTTTTTTTTAAATAAAAATACACTAAATATTTCACTCATATAGATTCATTAAAAGAAGACTGTTCAGCAAATAAAATTCATCTATTTTTACAAAAAATATTTTCTAAAGTTAATACATGAATTTCATTACAGAAGGGCTAATATTATTAGAAATTTTAGAGTAGGTTTTTTTGATTTAAATCTGCGATTGCATAAATACTATTATATTATTTTTAATAACAATAACTTAAGTAAATTACGGTATAAAAAATAATTATTATATTTTTAAAAAGTTACCTTGTCACCTCTGACTGTTTCTGGATGTTTTGCATGATATATGCAGAAATATTTACGATGGCCATTTAGTGCAATAACAGTTCCAACACAATTTCGGGGATTGATTTCCAAATCTTTGTTTTCACTCAGGGATAAACGTAATATTTCAGAGTACCACGACAATCCTTTTTCTATTAACATGTGACCAAAAAGAAGGGTTTTTGTTTTCCTGTATGGCCAAACCGATTTATGAAATAAAGGAATCAATTTAGGTCGAGTCTGCAAATCTGTTATAAGAATAATTGTTCTGCAGCCAGGTTTGAGTAATCTAACCATTCCATTATATTTCTCTGCTCTTAATTCATACAGTTTTAGTTCAGGTATATATCGATTTTGATTCACAGCTAAAAATAAAAAATAAATTATTTATGAATACTTTTTTGGTAATTTTTTAAAAATTCTTTATTTCTTACAAAATACATGCAGAATAAAATATATGAAATATGTAACCCATACAGAACTCTTTATTGCAAAGTTCTAAAAACGTATTGGTTATTCTTTATTGCAAAATTTGAAGCCTGGAGAAAATATAACATACAAAATTTAAATTAAACCAGAGTGTTTAACGTTGTAACGGTAGAAACACGGAGCAACAGATCCATGGAACTTAAATTTATATGTGCAGTAGGATAATTGAACATTGGCAACATTATACGCACTGTAGTTTCAGCACACCTAAGAAACTCATTGAAATAATTAGTGGCAATCCTCTGACATCAGTTCAGTCACAATAGTTATTGTTGGACATGGAAGTCTCTCTTCCTTGGAAATACTGAGAACCGAGTTGCTATATTCGAAATTTAAAAAGGATACTGCATCGATATGAAGAACTGACAGCACTTGGTAGTCAATCTTATTGATGTTTTATCGTTTGAGGTAGTTATCGATATATTCTATATATAAAAATGGGGACTCAACAAAAAAAATGCGGCAGGACTACTTCATTAATTACTGCACCATTTGGATGTCAATCTTTATGACAATTAACGAGATAGCAACTAACTATATCCTTTATCAAGAATCAGTTTGGATTCGTATGTTGGTGAGGAATATGCGATGAGCAATAACATCAGGTTCAAATTCACAGTGTTAAATTTTGTCAAGTTTGAATATTATTGCAGGTCATATGGTAGAACTAGAAAATCCATATTTATTTGTTTTTGTTCAATAAATTTTTTTTTACCCACATGCTAACTGCAAATGCTTTTAGTGGATATAAAAACACAAAAATACAACTCACTTCCACTATTTGTTTACTCAGTTTAAATTTTGTCTGTCTGCTGATTCGATCTGGAATTAAGTGGTTTATCCAAGTTTCGTCCTTTGTCAAATACCGATACAAAACAAATCCTAAAATAACAATTCTATTCTAACTTATTCTTCAATATTTATTTTAATTCATTCCAATTGATAGCCATCATTCCAATGCTAGAATTTTAACACCCTTTGCGAAATTTCTTTCTGAAGTCTTAGAAATAGTGTCACACGGTGTCACATAAGATGAATACGGTGCTTACAAAATTATGTTCTTTTAGATTAATTATACTCATAAGACGCTAAGTGGGAGCAGATGGATTATCATAGTTAAGAAACCATGAGTTTATTACCACATTTCTAGCCATTTACGAGGAATGTCTTCCTTCAAACGTTGCAGTCCGCCTAAATAAAACTGTATATAGATTGGTTGTTCCTTACGAAAACATTCTTTATGGTAATTTGAAAAGGATCGAAATAATACTACTAATATGCTTACATTTTTAAAATATACGACCCAGATTCCATATGAAAAAAGTTACATAGGAATTATAGATTTCAAATAAACATATTTGATATATCTCTAAAAATTCATGTCTTAAAATATTTTTTTTTAAATATATACGATGAAATATTTGAATGCATGCAAATGCTAAGCAATTCAAAATTCAAAAATATTGGCAAATTAATTTATACTTACAACCATTTTTGGCCAGACCACCATTGACTTTTAACTGTTGTTCCTCTACGCGAACAAAATACACCATAGCATAGCCAATCACAAACATGAATATAATTGTTCCCAGTAGAGATGCTATTGCTAGTACGTGTTCTTGTTCCATATTATCGCTTAAATATTCAGTAATATAAATAAATTTTGACAACAATTTACTTATAATTCCTTGTGTATGTTCGTCAATCAATGCCTATTAAAACAAATAAATGTATTATTTAATATATCAATAAATTAATAATGTATTTAGGAAATATATATATATATTTTTTAAACATAACTTATCAACATACAACTTTGGATATTTGTCATGGATCAGAGGAAACGCACAGGTATTGATACACACAATGCTGAAAATAAGGAGTATTCAGTCAAAATTAGGCAACACAACATAAATATGATATTATGCAATTATCCCTTTGGATGTCCTAAACGCAATGCTATATTTACAACTTTTTGACATTCATATTATACTATAAAATATCGCTTGGAACAGCGCTGTTAGAGACTGAAAGCAACAGGCATCTATGCAAAAAATACAGATGGACATAGCTGGATTTTAGACACAGTTCCAAACTGTCTGTGCAACATCGGATTATCTGACTCCATAATTGTGTTTCGAAAGAAATTTATAGACAATATTTCCGTCAAGAAATGAGTGAAAAGAAGGAACTTTCAAAAAATCTACAAAGCATCTATTTTCACGAATGTTTCAAGAATGCCTTATAAAGCAATAGTATAATAAATGAATAAATGAAGTTCATAGAGCACATTCTTCATTTTACAGTCAATATGATCGACCTAGAGAGCCAGCAATTCGTTTTCGAACTAATTATACTCTTCTCGATTCAAAACCATCAACATCAAGAAAGGTGTAGTACGTTGAAGAAGTGTTGAAGAAGACGCAGAAATGTCAATTCATTATCGTTCTCAAATTGTTGGTCTTTATTCTTCAACTACATGGAAAATTTCATGTAAGGATCTTGGCTCGTAAATAAAATAAAATAAAGCTCGTGCGAAAATTGAAACCAAAAGACCATCGTTTGCGTCGCATTTTTGATGATTGAGCGAATTTGAATTTGGACGAAGATAAGCATTTTTCACACATAATTGTGTTTAGTGATGACGATCATTTCTGATCAAATAGCTACGTCAATAAGCAAAATTGTCGTATATGAAGCGAAGATAATCTTCAAAGCGTTAATGAATCACCATTACATCCATTAAAATTGGATGTTTGGTACAGTTTACATACAGACGGCATCATCGGTCCTTATTTCTTTCGAAATTAGGAATGAGTTGCAGTTACGGTGAATGACGAGCACTATCTAATCATGCTGACTCTGCTGAAGTTTCGTTTCCAAAAATTAATAAGTTAAACATCGACAATATTTGGTTTTAACAAAACGGAATTGGTCTAAATTACAATACATCGCGTTTAACCATAGATTTATTGCGAAATTAATTTGGTAACAACTTAATTTTCTGATGTAGTCCTGTTAACTTACGCCCTCATTCGTGCGATTCGAGATCACCGCCTCTCTACTACTTTTTATAGGGCTATGCTATGCCAATGTTCATATTTATTAGAAAAAAATAGTCAAAAATTGGACTGATGAAGTGGATCATGTAACTCGTAGTCGCGGGGAACATATGCCAGAAATCATATTCAAAAAATAAATGCCATCAAATTATCTACCAAATTGTATGTAGTAAAAAAAAATTTCATTCGAAGAACATTTCTTTCTTGTATTATCATTTTAACTTCTCATGCAAAAAAAATATCAGATATAAAACAAATTTAATTATTATTTGAATTTTATTTTGAAACGGTTATGTACACATAGCAGAAAAAGTCTGCGTTCACCCACAAAATGTTTCTTAAATTTCGCATAATTTTTTTAATTTTTACTCAAATTGAATTTTGTTTTCTGATTTATTTTAACCAAAGAAACAACAATAAAATTCAAGCATAAAAAATTAACAGTTACTATTTAAAAAAAAATTAAACGGTTGTGTGCAACAGCAACAGTTTCTGAAGCAGAAAAAGTCTGCGTTCACGTCTAAAGATTTAGATTTACCGTTAATTAAAATTCGTTTGCAAACACAATTATGTATTTATATGATATTAAATTAACAGTTACTTCCTAAAGAGTCTAGAAATTGATCATTTAAAAATATTTTTAGATAAAAAATTTTTACAATGTATTTTGCACGCAAAATTAGTATCAGTGAACGATAAGATAACAAAGATAACAAAATTGTGTGGAGAAAATCATGTATAGCCTATGATAAACAAAACTTAATTTCAACGGTAAAAATTGGTGGTGGAGGCATAATGCTTTGGGGATGTATAGCAAGTAATGATGCTGATAAACTTGAATTTATACAAGATACAATGAATAAATATGTGTATCTAAATATGCTATACATAAATTTAAGGGAAAATGACAGAATGTTGGGGCTGGAGGCAACCTTTTTGTTTCAGCAGGACAACGACTCTAAGCATACAGCAGCGATAGTAGGGATTTGGTTGCATGCTCCTAGGCAAATTCAAACACTACGAGAATCACTAAACCTTAGTCCTATAATACATCTGTAGGTTTATTTGAAACATAATATTTGCCAGCACACGATTTCCAGCAAGGATATGTTAAGAAACATCATCAAGGAAGAATGGTTAAAAATAAACGCACAGGATACTGTAAAGCTGGTGGAGTCCATGCAAAGAGACTTAAAAGAGATTATTAAACCTAGAGGTTATCCTACAGGCTATTAAATATAATATTTCTGTGAATTTTAATTGCTTTAATTTAAATATTTAGAAGTGAACGCAGACTTTTTCTGCTTTGAAAACTGTTGCTTTTGTATACAACTGTGTTTAATTTTTTTTTTAAATAGTAACTGGCAATTTTTTGTGTTTCAACTTTATTGTTGTTTCTTTGTTTAAAATAAATCAGAAAACAAAATTCAATTTAAGTAAAAATTAAAAAAGTTATGCGAAATTTAAGAAAAATTTTGTGGGTGAATGCAGACTTTTTCTGCTGTGTGTATGTAACGCATGCATGATATTAAGGATGGAAGTTGTTAAAATTTCAACTATATACTTAAATAAGTATTTAAACAACTTTTTGTTACTGCTTTTCTTAAAAATTTGTGAAACAATTATTATTTTTAGTCCTTTGTTTTTAAAAATTTTGAAAACACAATTAATTGTTTTATGCGAGTGTCAATATTTATAAATACCTTCAATTATACTAATTTGAATTATATTTACCTCAACATATGTTTCATAATATAGAGCCTCTGTTGTTCTTAACAATTTTTTTATTGTATTATCAAGTTCTTTTTTTATATCGTTATTTTCAGATATACTAGATGAATTAAAGTTGTTACTCAAATTGATATTATCAATCCATTCATATTTAATTCGTGAAGAATCACGGCGCCATATGACAACAATGCGTAATAGTTTGCTGTCAGAATATCCATTAGATATAGCATTTACAAATTCTGTTTGTTTGTCCTAAAAGCAAAAAACAAAATTAATAGGGTTACTCGCGTAACTGATTATTTGCTAAGGTATTTAATTATTTAAAAAACTTTATACAAATCAGGTTGATTATTGTGAGTACCCTTACGTGTGGAATTTACAAATTTGCTAATTAAGTAATAATTTATATTAATATTTCTAATGCATTTTAAATCAGAATTAAATGATATCAAGCAAAAATATACTAATATACTAATTAATTTTAAATTTATTTATCGACCTGTTTTTTTAATAATGATTTTTATATATTTTTTATCCGGCTATAGGTCACTATATATACAATACACTGAAGAGGATGACGCTTAGATATAGATTTCATTAATATTAATTTAGGTTCGATCCTTATCCTAATGATGACTCTCAAAGAGAGTCGAAACTGACATATAGCCAAATAAAAAATATATAAAAACAATTATAATATATAACAACGACAATTGTATATAGACTTGTAGTTGTGGTATAAACTTTTTTTGATGATCTAAAAAGGTGACATTTAGTTAAGTATAAATGACATAAAATTAGACACAAAATTTTTGTTAACCGATGAATGTAATACGAGTAATTTATAAACTTACCATAAATATATAAGCGAAACGAACTCTTTGGGAACTAAATTCACTTGAAAGAGCAATTTCCCTCAAAGTTCCTCGTGCAATATCATGACTTTTACAATTTTTCGTAATAAGTACAACACACAAACGTTTTCGCGCACGATTCCATTCAGCTGGGCATAAATCTAAAGTTTAACAATAAGACAGCACTTTTTATTATCAGATATTTTTTAACAATATTTTATTATTATAAGTAAATAAAGTACTAAATATAGTATATAACTACTTTAGTTATATGAGAGAAATATTGTCCAAAATATAAAGTGTCAAAGAGTGTGTCAACACCCACAACTGGGCTGAGAACAGATACATATGAGATAAATGATATATGATAATGATAATGTCAGAACTATATGGTGGATACCTAAAAATTTCATTTACTTGATTTTTAATGAGAGCGATTATAGAATGTCAAATTTTTGCTTTGTAGCGGTAATATACAAAAAATGCTTTTGTCAAAATTGAACATTTGATTACTTATATCAAGTATAAAAGATAAATTAATGTTGAAATTGGTGCAATTCATGGGACACAAAAAGGTTCACTACGACTATAGCTTATAATAGCATTATTTTATTTTAATAAGTTTTTTTAATAAAACATTTTTTTTTTACTGTTTATAAAAAGTTAAGATTTTTACTAAAGCAGGATATAGACGATGCTATATGCTTAACTTACCATCAAGTATTTCCTGTGAAGATAATCTTGGCAAGGTTAAGAACTTATTTGTTAAAATTATATTATTAATAGTTTGTAAAGGTATATCAGCCATGGTGATAGCAGCAACTGGACGTTCACAATATTCATTGAATATTAATATAGTGTCTAAATTCGGTTGGATTTTGTAGCGTTCTTGTATTATTTTGGAACTGTTACTTAAGAATACAAATCTGGAATAAGAATTAAATTTGTTTATCATTATCATTATCATTAGAAATCAATAAAAAAGCTTTTACGAACAATATAAAGTAATCGTTCTTAACATTAAAATGTTGAAATGATTGTAATATATTCAATCATGGCAACACTGTATGAAGAAAAAGGTAAAAAACGAAAATCAACAAAGCACATAACACTTATATTTTCATATAACATAATATAATACATAAAACATACTAACAAGATTTGTTTTAAATGTTAATTTATCTGTAATGTTATATTTCCACTCCTTAGTTAGTAAGTTACTCAAGTAACTTTAAGTTTTTATCGTTTCCATTGACATAAGTTACTTATTGCATGGGAAAGAACTTTAATGTGTCAGAAAGTTCTTTAAAAGTTTTAAGAGGGCTTCTGTTTGTTTAGGCAAATTTCACTCAATAATGTATCACACAAAAATTAAATATATAATTGTTATATTAAATCATTTATATATATTTTATAAATCTATCACATTTTCTATTAATAAAAATAAAGATTAAATACTCACTTTCTCAAATAATTCGAATTTCGGTCATTTTCCTTGTGGAAAATGTATTTTTTAGGGTTGCATTTAGCATTTTTGGTCTAATTTTTCTTTTTTTATGTTAAGCTAAAAAGCTTAAAAACTTTTTATATGGTTAATGAAATTTACTTAAAAAGTTGGACTTACTAAGCAACAGTGGAACATACTATAAGCTACTAAGATTTGCATAATTTCAGTAAATAATTGGCAAGTGACTTGCTTAAATTTTCGTCGCCGAAAAATAATGCCGTAAAATATAGAAAAAACATTTTTTGAAACAAAGAATTAAACTTCTGGATATTATCAATAAACTAAAGATTAAAGCGAACCTTATTGGTTTACATAGATGACCTTATATTATTTTTAATTTTTATGAGAGCTGAATACTGGTTCAGTAAACCCGCATACGTCTTTATAAATATTTATTAATTATAACTCAACAATAGTAATAAATTAGCACATATTCAAAAACTAAAAAATTTTTTTTTGCTTTCTGTAGATGGATTATAAGAGTTATTAAAATTCATACTCTTATCTTTATAATAAAATATTTTCAGAAAGTATATTTCAATAATGGAACAATCTTCTATCTATTGCTCATCATCATTAGTGTTCGTAGGAAATATTCAAGTATGTATTTAATTAATTTATAGTACGTATATAATTTGTTGGACTGCAACTGAGATAAGGCGCTATCATACTAAATAATAAAAAAATTTTGTTAACATAGGTATAAAATAAATGTTTATAAATAAATTACAACCGCTGAAGAAGCGCGATATGTTAAGTAAAAACAAAAAAAAATACTAAAGATACACTAGTTATTTAAATTAATAGTAAAAGTATGATGTATATTTAGGTTGTGTGCGAGTTTAACTTAATTTACTATACTAAATTAATATTTTAAATAAATAGTTCATAAGTTACTGAATAATATGCATACGGAAACGTCAAAAATTTTCACAATTACCATACAATAATTACATAAAGTATTTTTTTATCAAAAAAATGTTAATAATATTATATGAAATTGGTAAAAACAAATATTAACAAAATTCGTTATACAATAATACATGTTTATAAGCTTTGCTATTTTTGACTGCATTATATTTAATCTGATTGACAATGCATTATTAGCATTTTGATCTCAATTTAATCTACTTGAAATATTGCAACATTCTATATTTCACTTCTTGTTGGTAAGATTTAATATAATCATTAATTTTGTTAAACTCGCACACGAAAATAATTTATAATCTAATTTATTTTTTATCTTACCCAAATGCTATTCTTGTTCTATATCTGAAAGCACTAATTATATATCGTAGTCTTGTTTGACTTCTGGGTTCAAATATAAGTGCTCTTATTCTGTTGTCTTCCCAACCATCCAGAAAATTTTGAACGTTTAAATCATTGATGTGATGAACAATATTTTCTGGCATTTTTTTCCGAATAAATTCTATGAAACAAATAGATTTTTTATATTTAAAATATTTCACTTCGTTAACTTAAAATCAAACAAAATTTAAATTAAAATAACATCATGATACAACAATTTATTAATAGTTATAATTACTGATAAGTTCAAAAAATATAAGGTTACCTAAATATTATCTTAATAGTAGAGTTAACGGACACTCGCTAATTTGTTTACATAATCAAGTTAACAAAAGATTATATATATTATTTCGTAGTCTAGATTTAAATTCAGTTTCAGTGACATATACTGAACAGAACTGATATTTATTATTTAAAAATAATATTTATCGATAAAGTAAATTATCTAGATTTAAATTCAGTTTCAGTGACATATACTGAACAGAACTGATATCTCGTAATAATGTGCTAAAAGCGCACGCAGGTTGTATTTGGGGCAAAGATAAAGAATTCCTATTGAGCACATACAAAGCAATAGGTCGTTCTATTGCAGGCTATATAGCTCCAGTATGAATCGCGCAACTCTGGGAGACGCAATGGATTAATATCCATTGCGTAATATCCATTATGTCAAAAGACAGCATTATAGATTGCAACTGGCTGGCATCGCATAACGCATGATGACCACCCTTACGCAGAATTGAAAACACTGCTTGAAAAGGACTATAATTAACTACCGTCCAAGCAATATCTGCTTGGTTATTACACAGATGGACTTCCCAATGGCGACATAGATAGTAGAGCCCTCCCTCCTAGATGCATTCAAAGATGCAGTATCCTCTTCAAAATCTAGGTTATCTGACAACAGGTTTCTCAATAGGCCTCTGCCTGACATCTGTCTGGAAGAACGACATATCAGCAAGATAGATATGCAGCAAGAACTGTCCTAGATCAATTGAGATCAGAATATAGCCAAGTGCTAAACAGTAACTAGTCACGCATAAACACGTCTATATTCAATGTGTGCTTTAACTGCAGCTTTTCTCCCCATGACGCGCCTATCTTTTCTCCTGTCCTACCACTCACACAAACCTTCGTCCATTTGACCTTTGGACCTACCCCATTAAATTGGCCAAGTTTCTCCGGCTGGATCCAGGTTAACGTTCAGTTTCAGACCACCCACACAACCCTGTTCATCCACTTCCCCAATCCATCTTCCCCAACCACTACCTACCCACTTTCCTACCCATGTAATCGTCTTGTATATCCTTTCATGTTATCTGCTTACAAGTACCGGCGGGTTACAACAACAATATTCATTTAAGCTAATAATTAATGAATTAACATAAAAAAGCGGTTACTTATTAAGAAATAAAGAGATAGAGGACCTAGGATATAAAGTCCTATCTGAAACATTAGACAAAGAAATAATAAAAAAGAGTTGTTCCTTATCTCCACAACAGTAAAATAGGGAAATAGATAAATAAAGTACTCTTTCGAATTTCATTGTTAAATTTGAACAATCGTTAAAAAGAACCAAAAGTTCTACAATGTTCTACACCGCTCGCGAAATGCCATATCAGTGCATCTACAATTGCTTATTCACTTTAATGAGAAATTTTAATTTTATTCATTTTGAACATATTTTTCAAATTGTTTGCAAACATATTTTATAGGTGACATTATGGTGTTTTGCAAACATTAACGAATTTATTCGAATCAATTTGTGCAGTTTATGATTTAACCATCATCGGACGTATTTATGAATATTTTCTACAATTATAAAATCATAAACGTATTTAACAACAGATTTAAGCACTTAAACCGGCTTCAGGGAGTTCAATCGGTTAATCTGTTTGAAAAGACTATAGAAACGCGGAGTTTTGCAGTTACAAGCAAGAACCGAACAGAAGTTATTTCAAAAATTTTAAGAAAAAATACAAAATCAAAAATAATTAAGATTCTAATTTAAGTATGTAATTATCATTGTAACAACATTCATCCTTCATATAAAATATGGGTTATATATATTGTCTACGCATTTATGTCGACTTCAATAGTAAATTAATTTAGATTTTTGCTATTGTATTCCCTTTATTATTAAAACTTTAGAATGATTAATGTTTGTCTTAATATTTGCATTAACAATGAAGAATGGAAAAAATTATGTTAAAGTATATAAAAATAAAACTTACCTGAAATCTTAGCAGCAGTATATAGCGATTCACGATATATATAACTATGTCCATTAAGTAAAAGAATCAAAGAAGGAACATCAGTAACGCCACTTTTATGAACAACATCCTGTTCATAAGCTGCGTTTATTGTTGCCACTTGTACTCCTAAAATTTTAAATTAAGTTACATTTTTTAAAATTATTTTTTTAATTACCGTATGGCTCTAAAGTATCTTTCAGTTTTTTATACGCACTAGCGCGGCGCATACACTCAAAGCACCAGTCGTTATAAAACAATATAATAAAAGGCATTTTATTACTTCTATGTAATATAGTTTGATGAAAATATTTTGAATTAACTGTTAACTTATGCAGTAAAGTAACGTCATGTTCAAAAAACATTTTAGTTTCAAACAACTCTTCAAATGGATGTGAAGAGTATCGATTATACTGACTGTAATCGTGTTTCTTTTTAAAATATTGTGAATCTTCATTTGTAATACCGTACTGGTTATAAATACGTCGGCGATCATTATCGCTTAAGATTTCATAGGCTTTTTTTATTTCAACAAATTTTTTCTCAGCTTCTGGATTACTGTTTTTATCCGGATGCCTATAATATAAAAATAAATTAATAAATAATAAAATGTTTAAAAAAATCATAATATCATATTGCTACAAATTAGAATCTAAATAAACCTAGAAATAGTTTCGTGAAAATGGCTTTTAATAAAGCCATTAAATAATATTTTTAAAACATTTATATAAATCAAATATAATTTAACATATTTTTGTTTTTATAACACATCTTGGCACTATTTCACTTTTACAAGAATTCAAATGTAGCGGCACACACCTATCGAAATTAATAAATTTCAAAAATTCAATTCGATATCGCAATAAGAAGTTCCTCACGCCTCTAAAACCAAAAGTAACAAAACTCCAGAAAAATATGCGAACAAAAAAGTCAAGTACGGCTTTGGATCAGTTGGTTAAGGTGCGCTGATTCTGAGCTTCACATTTGGCAGGACCCGAGTTCGATTCCTGGTACTTGAAGTCTCAAAAATAATTATTTACGAATAATTAAATACAAGAATTATTTCCAAGACCACTGATGATGGGTATTTAGCAATATTTGAAACAGCTGTATGGTCAGCCAAAAATTTAATTAATTAAAATAATATAAAAAAAAAATAAAATTTTTGTTGTTGTATTTCACTACTGTTCGAAAAAACCACTTTAAAAAATTATTTTGTGAATAAAAATATTAAAATGCAACATTTTAAAGAATTAAATTAAAAATAATTTAAGTTTTAAGAATTAAAATAAGAAAGTATGGTAATTTTAAGAAATATGAAATCTTTATATAATGAAATAAATGACATGTTGCTATTATCATCATCTCAATTCCTTAAGTTTCGATTACTATTTTGCAATCTGTACTTGCTCCGCAGTTGTTCTGTACGCTGTAGAAAATAAATCAAAATGAAGTATGCATACCTTGTTTCAAGTGTATAGCAAACCGCATACTTGAACTTCATACTTGGTGTGCAGATATGTAGCATCGTCTATATTATGCTTTACTCAAGAAATACCAGAGTAACGAATACAGAGTTTTTATTGTATTTGTTACTTTTACTCATTTTACCAATGAGTAGTACCCAGTAGAAAAAGTGGTCTTCGAAGACATTGTCTTCAAGACGGTCTTTGATACCGCGTCCGCATGTTCAAGCAAATTTGCAAAACAGTTGCTCAAAACATGAATGTAAATACTCTTTCTTTGCTTTCTCTCTCATTTTTAGTGTTCATAGCAATGTATTTGAATTTTGCCTCAGATGAAGCTGTGAAGTGACGCAATAATTTTGAAGTGTAGTAAATAAACATTTGTGAAATAAATATTAAAAAAATCAAAATGAATAAAGAAACAAAAGCATTAAACTATGAAATATTAAAAAAAAAGAAATTAAATCAAAACAAATTAAATAGTGACTTAGTTCCTGGAAAATATATTGATATTAATATTGAAGACAATAATTCCAGTGAAAGTTGTTTTAGAAACGAAACAAAGGATGTTGAAAATAAAAAAAACTGAAAACACTTGTGAAAAATTAGCTGTTATATTTAAAAAACACAGGATTAACAGGCGTTGTAGTAATGATATTTTAGAACTCTTAAGATCAGAAGGTTCAATTGTACCAAAATTCTTTTCAACGCTTTTGAAAACATATAAAACTTCAACAATTGATGATAGCGAAATGCTATAAATTATTTTATATTAATTTTAGTTAATTTTAGATATGCTAAGTTATATTAAGTTAAATATTTAAATTAATTTTCATTATGTTTTCTTAGTTTTTAAGTTTTATTGTTTAATTTAATTTATTTTTAATGTCTTAATAAAATTTATAATTTACTTTTAATTTTGAATGTAATGTAAAAAATTATTATATAAAATAAATAAAAGTACAAAATACAACAATTTTTTTCTACTTATTTAAAGAGAAAATTGAAATTTATTTAAAATTTAAAGAGCGCAATAAAAGAGTAGAAATAAAAAAAAGGGTGAAAAAATTATATGAGCACTGCACTAAGAGCGCACAACTTTCTGTCGAATGCGTCCGTTATGCAAGACATGGTCTTCGAGACGGTCTTCGAGACATGTACGCAAAAATTCATTGAAGACATTTGGCTAATTTGTATGAAAGTGTCTTCGAAGACCGTCATACATTTGGATCGATCGGTCTTCATGTATGTATCCATGTCTTGAAGACGTCTTCGATGACGGATCGATCCGTTTTCTATTGGGTAAATAAATTATTTTGCCTTTTTTTAAAAAAAGTTAAAGTGACTAAAGGGCCCCTTAGACAGCATCGTTCGTTGTCAACGCGCGCTTGCCATTACACAAACAATTTTTTAAACACGCCCCAAATAAAACAACAAATATACTAAAAAATCGCTCTCACATGAGAATTTTTTCTCCTACTTATCTCCTACTTTGTGAAATGCGAAATTTGTTTGTGTAATAGTAACATTTGAAATTTTAAGAAAAGCATTGACGAAAATCAAAAAATTTTGATATTTCTTCAAACACGCTCGTGTTTTTGCATATACAGTCGGATTTAGTCGGCATGCAAAATTTCATTTAATTTGAGAAATGGAAGCGTAAACATCGTTTGAATGCACGCATGATTTGTCGTTAGCATGCGAAGCTTTGCAAATATGAATGAATTGTATCTTTTATTTTAAATATTTGTATTTTCTACCTAGGTAAAATTTTTTAATTTCCAAAACATGTTATTAAGAAGAATTAAAATATTAATAACCTTGGGCTAACAAAAATACATATATAAATAACCAAACATTAAATTACAATGAATATTTTATTTTAAATATTAATTGCATTGTGCACCTACGGAAAATTTGTTGTTAAAATATACCAAAAAAGAAAACCAAAATTAAATAAAATATATAAAAATAAATATATAAATTGAAATTAAAAAAATAAATATATAAATTAAAATTATATGTAAAGCATCACATTTCGTAACGAAATTACGCAGAGCAGCCGCTGTTGACACTTCAGCGATTGCTTTAATACTGATGAGTGAACAAATTTTGCATTGTTTGCTGGAGGCGTGTTTAAAAAATTGTTGTAAAATTTGGCGAGAGAAGACTTCGTGCGTTGTCAACGCACGTTGCTGTCTAAGGGCCACTTAAGATTTTCGAGAAAGTTATTTCATATGGTTTGTAAATGTCTACATAGTGACAAAACAAAATGGAATCACTTGCGTTTATATGTTATTCATCGCTGAACCTACCCAATCTATTTTAAATTGCTCTATACAAAAATATTCCAAGAAATCTTTATGCTCTGGTTGTGCCCAAAGTATTTATGTATTTTAATTATGTTGTTCCAGAAACACCCTATTTTAATTGTTAGTATATTTATATAAACAAAATCTAGTTTACTCCTTTTTTTAATACACTCCTCCATTCGCCTTGAATTTTCTATTGAAAATTTCAGCATTATAATTATTTTACAATTTTAACCTCACTGTTATTATTACAATTTATAATATTTTTTATTAAGAAATAGAAAAACCTTTTTAATTTTCTTTTTAATACTTACCATTTTTTCGCCTTTTCTTTGTATGCTTTCCGAATATCTTGAAGTGTAGCATATTTATTAACGCCAAGAATATTATACGGATTATCAGAAACTAATGACGCTTCAATTATTGTAAGGAGTATTATTATGAAACTAATAAAAATTGTCAATCGACATTTAAACGAACCAAAGCTTCCTGAAAGCAGAAATATTGTAAAATTAGTTCTTAAAAAAAAAGCAAATTATAAAATATAAATATATATGCATAAAAATAATAAATTTATTCACAATATACACTAAAAATTAAATAGAACCGCTGCACATTTGCGACGAATTGTATATAAAAAAGTGGCGCACATAGCTTGTATAAAAAAATATAATTTATAACTATATACAATAGGCGTTTACGGTGACTCACAAGTATGGTCAAAAACGCATGCTGGCCTATATTCGCTAAGCGAGACATTGCTATCACTGTTACAATCTGTCAAGTGTTGTGTTTTGGCAAATAGCAAATCTTGTATATGTGCACATAAACGTGAACCACAACAAAGCGAGAGCTTGCGAACAAACAAATATTCGCAGGTAATCGTACCTGCAAAAGTTAGTTCGTTCGCAAGCGTTCGCTTTGGCGTGGATGCATCTTAATGCATCAAATTACATTTTGTATAAAAATAAATAATTAATATAAATTGAAAATTAAAATGTTTACAGAATTAAAAGGAATAGTAAAAATGTTGGACACTTTAAAATAAAACACTGTGTTTTTTTCATTTTTTCCAAATTCTCAAATTTATGAAGTTTTTCAATTTTATTTGAATTTATGTTTACATACGATTGCATATGAAGTGAGTGGCCAGTACAAAACTACTGGCATAGATAGAGAAAATAGTGTTGTTTTGCGTATATTTCGGCCACTATAGGCCATCAACTTACTATACTTGCGAGCCACCGAAAACGCCTAATATATAATTAAAAACTAAATTTATTAATTTTATTTTAATATTATATTTTATTAGTTACATTTGTATATATAATATTATAACATTTTTTTAATATATTGCACCCGTGATTTGTTCTTTAATTTTTTGAAAATGAAATTTATTTGACCACTTAGTGTGATTTATAAAATTTTATATAAATTAGTAAACTACCTACATTTTATCTTTTGATATAGGTTAAATAAATAATTTATGTCAACAAGGCAATGAAAGTGTGCTATTTAACACTAGTCGAATGGATTAGGTACACTTGTAACTTTTGCACTTTCCAACGGCTTGAAATTTTATAAGTTCTCTACACTTTTGCTTTAGATGACATTCATATCATTCATATCTTGGAGAGATAACAGCTCTCTAAGATATGAAGTTGAATTGATTTCACTGTCAGTAAAGACGTTTACCCCCTCGAGGGATCACTACCTTGTCGTAGATAGGGGAGTTATAGAGACTCTTCGAGGTATACCGGTCAGGGCAACCCATGCCGGGAAGATCGTAAACAAACACCGAGGTCAAATGTGATCCAGGCATTGAAGAATACATCGTGAAACATGCAATCGACACAATACATATCAGAGTAAACTGTAAATCATTCCAATTCGGAATAAAACGTGTCCATCGGATTGCTGTTTGTAGTCGGGGTTAACAGACTGTATAAGAGGTGCATCTCACTGATACCTGCCCGCCTTAGTGATTAACTATGAGAGCTAGACTCTAGTTCGAGAGCATCCACTTTAGATCAGGTCTTATAGTGGTGGACTGAGCGAGCAAAGATACAGCCGACAGGACTCGTGAAGTGATACCAGTTATTAAACTAGGAACGTACTCAGCTGACTACGTGCATCGGGGATAGTATACCCGGTGTTCACCTAATGACAGCTTATCTACCAATGGCAGCAGGCGTCAAAAATGAAAAACTACTAAACTTATATCGCAGGCTCCACACACATCTGTGGAGGAAATTCATCAGCAAGTAGCTGAAAAACGTGAAGCTGCTAACGAACGGAGATCGCGACCGATTCTTGGAGGCTATAAGAGCCGTAAACTGCAGAATTGCCTAAACAATCAGCTCTATCTCCGTTCATCTCTACAAGAACACGACGGGTGAAGACCACAATACCTAACAATCCCGACAAGCCAGATCCTGGGGTAGATATAGTAGTTAAAAGCCCCAAAGAGCTCTTACAGTATTGAGAACAGCGGCTCGATTTAACCGATCCAAGGATGCTGGACGGAGTATAGAAACGCTCTCTATAATAAGGAAATAAGGAAAGCGGAAACAGAAAGTTTTAGGAAGTTCTGTATGACTCTGCAAAGTGTTGGCTACACAGAAAACACTATCTGTAACCAGTCTAAAAAAGGAAAATTTGCACAGAAGAGAAAAGAGGAAAGTGAAGGTGAAGAGGAAAGGATTCAACTACTTCTGGAAACCCACTTTCTAGGACCTACGCGTGTAGGGGAACAAAAAAGTGATGACATCATTCAGAGAGATTGTCGTATAACAGAAAGAGGGGCTGGACTATTGCTAAAGAAATATGTACAATAGCCAGGGTTAAATGCGCGGTAGAACTCTTTAAACCGTTCAAAGCACCTGGCACAGATGATATACTTTCGGCGGTAGTTTAAAATGGATTAAAATACCAATTAACCCCGCTGAAGAAGATAACTAGGTCCGCTTCATACCAAAAACAGATAAGAAGGACCCAGTCTACCATAAATCCTTTAGACCCTCACATCTTTCGAAAAAGTTGTAGATAACTTTATCAGGACGATAGTCCTTGTAACCACACCATTACACCCCTGCCAACATACCTACAGAGCGGTAAGATACACTGTAATCGCGCTGTTTGAGTTGACAAACATGGTATAGAAAAGAAGAAAATACCAATATACGCTTTTCTAGACATAGAAGGCACCTTTAACAGCACTTCTCATGATCACTGATAAGCAGAGGAATTATTTCTATTCTACCACGGAGGCTGAGCAACATATTCCGCACTAGGAAGATAGAAAAAGGCACTAGTACGAGCCTAAAAAGGATGAATATCACACGAGGAGATCCAAAGGGTGGAGTACTCTCACTGCTCATGTAACCCATACTAGTGGATGAACTACTTCACGAGTTAGGAAACAATGGACTAGCCGTGCAAAGTTACATTGTCATAAGAAAGTGTCCAATCTTAAAACAAAAAACTGGTGCAACAAGATAGGACTGAGTATAAACACAGCTAAAACTACAGTTAAAACATTACAAGGAAATACAAACTCAAACATCTGACCAATCAGGCTCGGTGGAATTCATAGTGTAGAATTAAAATAGACATAAGAACACTATTCTGTAGAAACGTAAATATAGTAAATTGAGTCTGTTTCAAACCGTAGACAAGAACGGTCTTATATGTTAGTTATATATACCTATATATCAGAAATAAAGAAAACGTATACGTATACGTATGTAGTGTATACATTTTGACCAAAAACTCAACACCACATTGAGGAGGTCACGAAGAAATTCCCTAGGGCTCTAATGACCTGTATATCCAAAGCAGGTAAGAGTTAGGGACGGACCTTTAATCTCATATGGGCCATTTATCTGGGAATGTGGAACCAGACGACAGAATGTCAGTTACGAACTAAATCGTCTGTAAAGAGTGCGGACTTGTCCAACGGCAGTCCTTCTAGAACTCACACCCTTGTCGATATACACCAGGTCCCAAGCGGAAACGGCAGTTCTTAAAATAAAGAAAGAAAACCTAATAGACAGTTGGCTCAGTCAGAAGAGGTTCATAAATCTTACCAAACAGTGCCCAGAGTTTTTAATGCCTTGGTACAGCATGAATTCAAAATTCAGCTTTAGAAAACTTTTTAAAACTAAACTGTGCAACTAAAGAAGCTGGGAGGGGATTAAACGAACCTATCAACTAATGGATCGCATTATAGCACCGACGGTTCACTGACGGGTCATTTACGTAGGAAGGTGCCGGAGCAGGCATACTCGGACAGGAGAAGAAGCATTAAAATGAGCTAGGAAAAAATATTAGCATCTTTCAAGCGGAAATTTAAACAATATCTATATGCGTATTTTTCAACATTGAACGAAAATACCCGGAAAAAAATATTACTATACTGACATACAACTAACCGGCTATCAAGGCACTAAACTCGCATCAGGCGACTTCAAAAGTGGTGCAAAAATGTATTGAAAAGCTAAACCTGCTCGGCAAATCAAATCACGTGTCGATTCTTTGGGTACCGGGACGTACTGGCATACGCGAAAACGAATACGCACACAAACTAGACAGGTAAGGAGTAGCCACAACGATGGTAGGGCCACACCTTTCTGCGAGCGGGGCGGGAACCTTTCTGCGGATCAGAACACAGTACTCTTCTTTCTCTGATAAAAATGAAGCAGCATCAGAACAAAAAGGATTACTGGGATGATGTACCAAAATTAAAACAATACGATTACTTACTGGTTCCTATAACAATAGGAGATACCAGGATTGTAGGGACTTATCAAATGAAAAACTTACAATCGTCACAGGAATTTTAACAGGACACTGTAAACGAGATACCACTTTACGAGACTGGGCATATGTACGGATGCAAACTGTAGATTCTGTGAAGAAAATGAAGAATCAGCCACACATGCGCTGTTAGAATGCCCTAACGCCAATGCACATACAGAATAGACTCCTGGGAATGTGTACTCTTACGGAATAGGCAATAAAACTCTGTAAATTAGGTTCTATACTACTCCTTATCTAAGCAACAGGACTCGGACCAACACGGCTCGGAGAACCTTGATTAATGCTCTCTGTAGATAATATAAGATGTCAATCCAGCGATACCAACCACGTTACGGAACATTGCCAGAGGCCAAGGCAACGTTCATCGTTTTACTGAGTATTCATTAAACATTTTATCAATCACGTCGACGCCACCTTTATTTTTATTATAAAATTTGATTATCTCTGCACGTTAATTTACATAATGAAATCGAATAAATCTTAGCATCTTAAAGCGGTTGTGAGACATTGCTGCTCGTATGAAAGGCATCGCATCAGCTTATTAATGTGGCTTCAGCCCTGGCAAATACACCCTATACTAGATATTCAGTGCGTCAAATGCTGGAGAATACCTACGAAAAACAAATAGAACCACTTTTTATGTGGCTAAATTTAAATTTGGTATACCAGCAAAACTTATTCGGCAATGTAAAGTAACTTGGAGCAATACCATCAACCCTGTTAGAATTGGGAAAAACCTCTCCAGGCCATTTGATTCCAAACAAGGTATAAGACCGCGTCGCCAATGGTGCTTATTCCAACTTAAAACAGCTTATTAATAAGCTTACTAATGTGGCCTCAGCTCTGGCAAATACACCCTATACTAGATATTCAGTGCGTCAAATACTGGAGAACACCTACGAAAAATAAATAAAACCACTTTTTATATGGCTAAATTTAAATTTGGTATACCAGCAAATCTTATTCGACAATGTAAAGTAACTTGAAGCAATACCATCAACTCTGTTAGAATTGGAAAAAACGTCTCCAGACCATTTGATTCCAAACGAGGTATAAGACCGCGTCGTAAATGGTGCTTATTCCAACTTAAAAAAAACAATCGAAACAAATTTGTGTTGTGATAAATGAGGACAAAACAAAATATTTTATGTCTTAAAGTTAGCCTGGAGATTCAACGAAGAGAGAAATGAAATCCTTTCCCAACAAACAAAAACCACGCTCTATAAGTCTCTTATCGCGTGTGTCCCGCTGTATGCTGTATAATTAAGCGCATAAAAATTCAGCAGCTTCGTTGGCTTGGTCATCCCATACGAATGAAAGAAAATGTTCCACCTTGAAACGTGTTTGATTCGTTACCCGCTGATGGAAAACGCGGTAGAAAATATCATCTTCGGTGAAAAGACCAGGTGTTTAACGATATGAGGGCGATCGGTATTGCCAATTGTCGACAGAAAGCTCCCCCTGCGGTGAAGGGATTACAATATTCTCGCGGTAGGCATGCCTGTCGTAAAAGGCGACTAAAATCCCGGTACTATGCTCACACTTGTGTGAAAAGTGTGCATGGTAGTAAGTGATCCGCTCCACTTACGACACCTGACCAGAGGTGAGTATTTGGTACTACGGTGGTCAGTGGGCCTGCAGCTTCGGCTTTGCTGACAAGTTGATGTTGGACCCATAGTGGCAGAGGTTCTAGATGGGCCTCGCATCAAATCAAGATGGAAGTTATGCCTTACACACATTTCTTCATTGGCATCGGCGGAAATTTAAATTTCCAATGGAGCGTTGATTGACGCCTTTTATCAATACATGTGTTATTAGACACCGTAATATTAGCCGCCAAGGCATGAAATCTTTCGTTAAATAACAGCAGATACGGTTGTCGACAGAAAACCACTGATCGAACTGTCTGTCAGAGGCTACTTAACGCTGCCAAGGCTACTTAACGCTACCAGTTTGGGAGGAATGTTCCAAAAGACCTTTAACCGATTCAGCTACCCAAATGTACGAGGCAACTAATGGATCAGTTAAACTTGTAAAAAACCATTTAGAGTTGTTTACTATATGTCTTAAAAACATACAGACGGATCTACCCTTTCAAAAAATAGATTGACAAGTTTTTTGCTTTATAATAATTGAAAACTTTGATAAATAAGAAAACTGAAAATAAATGGAAGTAGGCAATACATAGTAATGGATGTAATCTCTATACAAAGATTATTTGATTAATTAAAAATTAGTTGACTGCGTTAAATTTCACTACGTTGAAATTATCTAGACAATACATTTAAAAATATAAGACTGAATATACCTTAGTATTGGCAAGCTTCAGCTAAAACTAAAAATACATTAAAATGGTATTATTCTAATTAATAATACACATATGAATTAAAATTGTTTTTGCAACCAAACTTTCTCGTATTTTCTAAAGAAAAGTATTTACACAAAAATCAATAAAGTCCATATTAAAACCTATTAAAATAGTAAAATATATGGTACTTGATAAAAATATATACAATGACCGTACGTCAATAATAAATTAAATAAAAAAAAAATAATATTCAATTCCTAGTGTTCTGGTGTATTGTAGATTACTTAATAAACAAAATTCATTTATTTTGATATTTCATAAAAAAATATGTTTAAATATTATGTATTTTAATTTAAGTTCAATTTTAAAAAATAATGTAAACTGAAGTTCTTTTATCTGAATTACTCAGATGGCATGTGCTACAATTAGTTAAAAGAATTATAAAAAAAAAACGAAATAAGAATTCAATCAAGATAAAAAAAATTTGCTTAATTTATAATATTTCTATTATATATGGTAAAAACTTTGAATGAAAAAGATAATGCATGTAAAGAGTTAACATACATTTGTTTTAAACAAATTTACTCACTGGTAATCATTACAATTAGGTCGATTTATAAAATCGGATAAACATTTATTTATTTCTTTATGATCTCAGTTGGAAGCATTATTTATGACCAAAACGACTTTTCAAATTAGCTCTATATATACCGAAATACAAAAATAACTACTTTATTTTGTTTAAAGAAACGAAATAAATCACATAACTGAACATATTGATCGAATGTTTATATTCCCTATAACCAAATTAGCAATACTTTAAGAAGAAATGAACTGAAAATGAAACTATGCAGAATTTTTGAAAAACCAAGGAATAACTAAAAGCAAAGAAAACCTTGATTATAAGCATCAAAATTTAAATGTGTAAACAGGGTATTACAAATCATACCTTAATGATGACTTGGTGCACCAAAGTTTATATGTTAACTAAGTCTTATGTGTGAAAACAAAATTTGTAGTTATGTCATGCGAACTGACGAAAATCAATATATTTTTGATTTTGAAACAAATGCTACAATATTAATATATCATATAAAATAATAAAAATTTTGTGATATCAGCCCTTAGATATAATTGCAGAAATGTATGTGCAGTATGTGAACAATAATTTTTCACATTGAAAAAAAAATATATGTTTATTATTTACAAACAAATCTTGACATTTATTACAGAACAATCTGCTTTGATTAAGCGACAAGTCACAGATAACCTCGTCTCGTTGGCACAAATTTGACCGGCTTTTAGGTTTTTCCTTCCTCTCAATTTTATAATTTGCCTTGAAAACAACAATAACATTGATTTTGACGAGCCCATGATTTTCTGCAGAACATCGGCCTAATAGCAAACCTCATCATACCAAGCCAGCACCCAAATAGTCCGTTAAATGTCAAATATATATATTATGTAATAAGCGTAATTTCATTCAACCAAATACGTGATAGAAGTTTAACCCGGGTATTATTTAAAAAAACAGTCTGCGGTATCTAAAGATACTGATTTAAATGAAGAATGATATGAAAAATCTATCAACAATTATAGCAATGAGTGTATCAACAATGGCAACAATGCAAGGAATGAGTAAAATTGTCTATAAAAATGTCGTAGATGAACGTCCACAGAAACATCTCTAGACGAAGTTACCACAGTGGAAAAATATTTAGAGTGTAAGCAGTTCACATTCGTTACGGTAGATATAAATGGAGCTTTTAATGTGAGTGTGGAAACCATTCAGAAAGCTCTTAACATAATATGTATCACGGCATATTTCCCTTAATGATTTCAATAGTTTGATCATAATTTAATTACGTAGTATTAAATTTTTAATATAACATTAAATTTAATATAAACAAACTTACTGAACATTTACGAATACTTATTTGTCCTGCTATAAGTGTTATAAATATGTGTTAAGTGTTATAAATATTTTTCGGTAATTATAAAACTCAAATGGATTAGAATTTAAACTATATAAAAGCACTCTTTGTTGAATATTATCTCTTATTATCTCTTACTTACTTAAAAAATAATTTTAGCACAAAATGATTTTTAAAATATATAAACTTCTTTAATGACTGTTTGTAGCACCTTTTTTCAATTTGCCTCTTTTAAAGAAAATAAATGTCTACAACTTTTTTAATTAATTTACAATTTTTTTCCGTGATCTTTGCTCGTCCGACGCTCACCAAAATTCTTAAATTGTGAGAAGTCTGCAGATTTCGATATACACAAGTAGATATGTGTGCAGACTTAGCATATAATTAAAAAGTTTTAATTTTAACGCATACATGTCTCAGACCGAAATATGGTATGAAAACTTAAATATAAACGGTGCAATTTGGTAGCACGCATACCTTGTCTGCAAATATATAGCATCGTCTATATACTGCTTTAGTACGTTGGACCAATATGGTATAAAAAATAAGATTATATATGACAAATATTTGCTTATTCTTATAAAGGAGATTATCCACTTTTTAAAAGATCTTCTCTACTGTTAGTTGACTAGGACTCCAATACTAGCCTGTTAAAATAAGAGACTAATGTTAGTGATTTACATACAAATTGCTGATTTCAACAGGAGACCTTATGTTTAGTCATTTCAAAGAAGCATGATACAGACAATTTTGGTGAAATTTAATTATGTCTAATGAAGTTTATTATTTTAACATTCTAACAAATTGAAATAAATGTGCTGAAAGATACAAATGGAAACAGCTTTAATAACAGAATAAAAACAGTTTTAAAAATTTTTTTATACACTGTTGAAATAAATGACAACTTTCTTGGTAATAACTCATGCTTGTAAGCGCGGCCGGCTGGTGTAAACAAAAATAAAATGTATCGATGAATAAAAAGATGCAGAGGTGAGCTAGTAGCAACTAACTTCACGACTTTCCTTTCTTTTTTAGTAGTTGTGGGGAATAGAAGTGCTCTTCGGAGGTAAAGTACCACGTGTTTTACAATTATTATACATTTATAATAAAAAAATAAGCTTTTATAATGATGATTAATATATTGGCCTTGCACCATTCTGAAATTATATGTTTGATATGGCTAAACTGAGTACATATTATATTGTTATGCAAATACAACAATTAAAATATGTGTAGCTTCATACAAATGTGTTTAATAGACCGATGATGTGACTACTAACTAAATCTAAATTTGTTACTAGGTCTATTCCAAGTATTCAAAATGGGTGCATATCGTTATATGCAGGAACTGTATAGAAAGAAACAAAGCGATGTGTTAAGGTATTTGCTTCGTATCCGAGTTTGGCAGTATCGTCAATTGACTAAGCTTCACTCCTCCCCCCGACCAACCAGACCAGATAAGGCTAGACGCCTTGGTTATCGCGCTAAGCAAGGATATGTTATTTATAGAATAAGAGTTCGTCGTGGAGGTCGCAAACGTCCGGTACCTAAAGGATGCACATATGGCAAACCTAAAAGTCATGGTGTTAACGAGTTGAAGCCTTATCGCGGCTTGCAGTCAATTGCGGAAGTAAGTATATTATATATATATAAATTTTCTTCGTATATATATATATAAAAGATTTACTGATGAAACTTTATTTACAAAATATTAAATGTTGATCCAAACTTCCTTAGATGTCTGATTAAAATTTAATATTAAATTATTTTTTTGTTTGCTATGTATCAATTAAATAATTTTTTTTTTTATTTCAAGGAACGTGTGGGTCGTCGTTTAGGTGGATTAAGAGTGCTGAACTCTTATTGGGTAGCTCAAGATGCATCTTACAAATATTTTGAAGTTATACTAATTGATACCCATCATAGTGCTATTCGTCATGATGCCAAGATAAATTGGATTTGCAAACATGTTCACAAACACCGCGAATTGCGAGGTCTTACTTCAGCCGGAAAGAGCTCACGTGGTATTGGAAAGGGTTACAGATACTCCCAAACTATTGGTGGATCCCGTCGTGCAGCCTGGAAACGTAAGAATCGTCTTGATTTGCACAGAAAACGCTAAATGTATTTATTTAATTATTTAATAAATACAGAAATCCAAAGATTTGTTCGTTTTAAATAGCAAAGTTCACGTATTGGTAGAGTTTGAAGTTTGTAGGCAATTTTAAAATCTATATTTAATTTGCGGTACGAATACTTCATACGATGTTAATAGTTACACATGTTAATGCTATTTTTTATTCCTTTAAATATCATTTCAATAATGTAATGAGGGATTTTTTGCGAAAAGTTTTGTAAATAAAATTTGGTTGAGATAATTAACTCAATTAGTAGTTGATATTCATATCGTAAAGAATGAGGCTTTCTAAATTTCTATATAGTATAGAACAACATATAAGTTCAATTGGGAAGTATCTGCTAACAATACATAAAAGAGCGTTATTACTAAAAGAGCTGGCAAATGTGTAGAAATAGTGTCGCATCATACCTTATAAATGTAAAAATTTTTTTGATAATTTGGCGGTAGCACAACTTATGTTTCACGAAGAAGTGATTTGAAGTGTCGCTATTATCTATTTGAAATCATATAAACATCGAAGATAAGTTACATATTTTTCATTCAGCCCTTAAATGTTAAAAAAAGAAGAATTTTAAATAACAAAACAAAAGTAAAACTTTATTAATTCATTTAAAAACATAAGTAAGACTAGAAATTCAACAAGAAATTAAAAATAGATACAAAAAATAAATAAATTATAAAATTATTCAAACTGTAGACGAGCTTGTGGCCGTTGAATTCTTTTTTTTTTTTTAATTTGTCCAAAGTTCGCTGAACCGCTTGTTTTTTATGTAAAGTTCCTTGTAACAATTAATACCATTTCCTACAGCACGAGAAACTGCACTTCTTTCGCTATCAGGATCGTATTTTGAAAAAATTTCCATTGCTTTAGAAATTTTCTGTGAAGTTAAATCTTGATGCTTACTTATATCTACCGAGCTGTCTTCTTCGTTAGCGATTTCCAAATCCAATTGCATCAATTCCTCATTAGACATTTCTTGGTTATGAACTAGCAATTCATTTATGTCAACTTCATCCATCCCTTCAAAATTGGACCTTCTTGCTAAGTGAGCAATTTCATAACAAATATTATCCGCTTCATCATCATCAACTTCTAAAGAGAAACTTACCTTTTTTTTTGTGTACACATTCTGGCTATTTTTTGGCCAAACACCGTTCATGCAAAATGGTTTTACTTCCTCCTAAGATTTTAAAATAATGTTGATTGCCTTCAAAATATTAAAAGATTTCCAGAATTGCTGCATTGTAAGCTTATCGGGTCCATCAGTTTCGCTCAAAAGAATCTTAAATGATCGGCGGAGATAATAGCTTTTAAAATTCGAAATTACAGCCTGATCCATCAGCTATATTAATGATGTGGTGTTCGGTGGTAAAAACACAAATTTAACATTTTCAGATAAGTCATCTATATAAATTGGTCATCTATATAATGTGTAGATTGGCACGAATTTTGTATCTCTCAAACCAGCCATTACCAGCTTCAAAATGTTCTTTATCAGTAGCACTTGCATCGTCGTTATACATAGATTGGATTTTGATATAATCAAATAAGCTTTTTGTTTATCCTTACTTAATGGCATTTTCTGTGCAATCTGATTTTGAATCCAAATAGAAAGCAAGGACTTCATTTTAATCATAAAACTACTTCTTGTACGAGTCATCGTCTTGGCGTCTAACGATGTAACAGACTTAGCAGCCTTTTTAATTTTATCCCGAGCTTGAATTGTTCTGACAGTTGTTGCAAGCAGATTAAGAGCTTTTGTTTTGTCTACAGCCTTTTCTCCATTATCAAAGCGTCGTAAAATGTGCAATTTTATTTCCAAACGCACAGTTTTTTCTTTTTTGTAATTCTACCAACACGGATTTTTCCACTCATGGTTATTATGCTCTAAAAAGTTTAAATATATAAATAAATAAACAGAGTAACAGCCTTTCATTATTTAAAAAATATTTTATTTACCTTAATTTATAATCAAACTTCCACTGCACTTTACACTTTCCACTTTAATCAAGAATCAAATAACAATTGAATGAAAACTTAATGTAGGGATTCCCCGAAATCCAAACAGAATTTAAATTTACTGAACAGAAACCATTTAGAAAATTTAAAAATGATTCTCTGAAAAATAAAAAAAAAACATCGCATTCGCAAAACAACGCAATTCGAAAAAAGTACGACTCAACGAAAATAAGTCTTAGCTCAGTAACGACGCAACTTCGGAAAAACGCAAAACGATGTCTTACTGTATATTTTAAACTATGGATTCTAAGCAATTAGCATACCAAAATAAATCCTTCCCATATCAAAATCAAACAATTAAGTACAAATATGTTTATTTTTCTTAAACTAAATAATAGAAAAATGTATACTCTATAAATACAGATTTATTTACAAATACTTAATAAAACTATGTTGCATAATCTAAGTCGTTGACAGTTTTACTTAGTAATCCTTTCAGCACTTTTCCACAATTCGACTCAAAAAGGTGTGAATCCACCATAGCTTCTTGCATTGGTAATACAAAGTTTTGGTAAGGGCTATTTTTAAGTTGAAGACTTTGAATCGAACTATAGAGTATTCGAAATGGTTGCTTAGCTGAGTGGAAATAACCTCTATTGCCATGCAATATTTTAACACCATTTTTTGATATATCACATACATTCATATACATACAATGATCTGCTCGATAGTTGTAATTGCAAGGCATTAAATAAAGTTTTTCTGGATGATAATAAAATAATATGTTTATAATATCTTGGTCCCCCCATGTAATTCGCAATTTATACTCTTTATAAATCGGTAAAATTTTTTCATTCCAACCGAATGTACGCATTCGAGTAAGATTCATCAGCATGACACCAGAATTCACGCCCAGTTTTCCATAATATGGATGGCGGGCGAAACGATTATACCAACCAATGTTAGAATCTTCATGTTCTGCAACAAGAGCAGCTAACTGTGTACTGTTAAACCGATTGAAAAAATCCCAGATATCAGAAACTGGTGAAAAAAATAATATGTCAGTGTCAACATATAATATACTATCCACATCAGACAAAAGAGTCTAAACGAAAGTAAATATTAAAGTTTGTATCAATAGTTAGTAAAACTTACCGGTAAAAAAAGACGCTGCGCAGCACAAGGTTTGAACAAGCTTGAATGTTTTAAAATTAATTTTGATTTTTAATTAATTAATTGCAAAATTATACCTGTACCACTCCTCTTTTTGGTTTGATGGAAACCGTAGTGGTAGAATTTCAAATTCGAACATTTGTAACGCTTGCCAATCACTAAGCTTTTCGCGAAACGCGTCAAATAATTTATCTTCAGTAAATATTAAAAATTTTAACAATTGTGTTGGCTCATTATACAATAGCGCAGATTTTATCATCACTAAAGTTTCCTCCAATCGCTGTCCACAAGCTACCACGGCAATGTGTAAAGCATTTGAAATGGTTCTAAAATAAAATTATGGTTATTACTACGAAAATTATGTATTAAGTTACTTTACGTTTTTCGAGAAAGTATAGTTACTGGGCTTTCATTTTCCTTTAAGTTTTGATATAGTACGTAAATCAATACTGTCGTAGTTACGACTAAGATGCAAAATACATATTTGGAAGAGAACATTTCATAGGCATGTATTACTAACGAATAAAGCAATTGTAAAATGAAGTACACATAATTATTCCAAGCATTCGCTACGTTCTGAGCTCCACTTTGACAGAATACGGTTATGCCGTTTAGTTTATGTACATTGTCATCTTAGTATAGTGTTTTGCACCATCCTTTATTTCAATATAAAAATCAAAAATGAAATCTAAGCTGAAATATAAACAACACTAGACGCAAGTGACGAAATAAACAGTTTCAACATTATCTAAAAATCGATAAGATCCGATAATAGCTAACCTAAAAGTTATTGAATTTGTTTAGTATCATTATTATTTGATGCATTTCGCTCAAAGAACACTTTACAAGAACGGCAACACTATTCTGAAAAACAATTGCCATTTTTGAACCATTTGACTGAAAATTTTGAGTGTTGAAAATAGATTACACCCAGCTCAAACTACTATATTTTTTTTTAGCTTTCGCCATTTTAAACATACTTGAAGCAGTTTTGAGAAAAATGACACGCTTAAGCAATTTTCTCATATTGACTTTTTCAAGCGTTGTATTCATTTTTTTGTTTTTTTTTAGTTACTCATTTAAAATGTTAATTTGCCATTTCAGTGGCTCGCAAGAATGGCAAAAAGCAGCTCGTTACTGACCTATACTGGTCGAATGTAATTTGCTTGCATTAAGCTATTTTTGCTATTTGAAAACATAACACTTGAGAGATTGCAACAGTGATACCAATGCATCGCGAAGCCGATATAGGCTAGCATGCATTTTTAGCCATAGTTGCGAGCCACTGTATTTGTGCCACATAGAGTAAATCTTAGCACAGAGGGAGGAGCAAATACTTTAGATTAGCCACGGATTAATTGCTTTGTTCATTACCTCAAGAATCATCCTGGTCAGAATTAGATTTAGATCAAGGATGCGTAAGTAAATTTGAGTCGACAATGAGTAAATATCATTTTCGACACTGTGATCGAGTTTCGTTGGATGGAACCGCCGTGACTGCGTCCCAAGATATTCCATTCCATGCGCTCTTCGGTATTTAAGTTTAGTGACAATTTTAACTGATCGGTATATCCCGTCATAGTGCTGGAATTTTTAAAATTTTGGACAACATTGTTGTCACTTATTGCACATATTTTTAGTAGGATGTCGGAGGTGATTCGATGGTGATCGCTAAAAAAAACTACTCTACTGCGATTCCGTACATCCATGCCATGCCATTTCTAAGAGATGGTGATGTGGTCGATTTGATTTTCAGTTCCATAGTCAGGAAAAACGCATGTGATTTTATGTATGTACTTGTGTGGAAATATTGTCCCGCCCATACAGCTTTCTAAGCGTTAACTTGGACATTGAAGCCGCCCATGATGATTAGTATATCGCCTCGCTGAACACATGAAGTAGCTCTATCAAGGATGTTCCTCCTTAATGGAAAAGTCTGCATTGTCTGTGTAGCATTGAATGCAAGATAGATTTCTAGCTCGGCTCCGTAATCTTATGGAAATGACCCTGTCTGAGAAAGCCTGCCAGCTCATCAGTCCTTTACGGGTCTCTTTTGAGACAAAAAATCCGACTCCATTCCTTCGGGCTGGTTTATTCCACTACCAGGGAAAATTATGGTGTACCCGTTTGCTGTTTTTTGCTCACCAGTGTCAGGCCACCGTACTTCGGAAAGGCCTAAGAAGTTAAGTTTGTAGTTTTGAAATTTGTTTCACAGCTGCACAAGCCGTGAGGATTCAAAAGCATCCTTACATTCCAGGTTTCGAATCGTGTGTTCGTTTTCATAATCAGAGCCGTCATCGGTAAGTTGTTGTCATTTCCATTATTACTTATTTCGGTTTCGTTAATCAGTTGGTTTAAGATTGGCACGCAATTGCTCTACCGCATTCGATTCTGGTGTTGGGGCTACCTCCAGACGGACGGAAAAATATTATGACAATGCTCCGCCGCCGTTGACTAGTTACGGTTTATCCTGCGCCATTTCTTGCAGATTTCTGTCTAAGCATGCAACTTTATCTGCAAACTACGACTTCAAAGTATTCAGCGGGTAAGGATTTTCAAGGAAGTTACCTTCTTCCAACTATTTGGTCAGCGGGAGGAATTTTATTCTCTCCTGCTACCGGATAACGGATAAGACATCCGCTATCCGTCACCTGTAACGCGTCCTCTAAAGGTTACAGTCGCCATCGAGGAGATTGTGTGAGATAGTTCATGACATAACCAAGCATTTCGCTTCGCATGCTGAAAGCGAACAAGATAAATTCATTGTCTACACAAATTAAAAATTATCTCCCACATTCAAAGAGAGGCAAACCAATTGAATAGTCCGCAACATCTCTACGTCAATATATTTATCTGTTTCATCATCCGCCCGTTCGCAAAAGCATTAAATATTTAATCATTTCAATAATATTATACGACTAATAAGGATTTTGTTGTGTTGTGTACAATATGAAATATAAAAATTGTACGCTAAGAATTAATTAATTTAAATAAAAGAAAACAAAATGAATATTAGGTTGGCAATGATTGGAGTTTTTAATTTATATATTAATATATATATATATGTATATATATTAATTTATTTACTTGTGTTTGAATTTATTAGTACATGAAATGCACATATGATTTTGGATATGATTGGAATTTTGCAACATATTTCCAGTGAACTGATTAACTGATGTTTGAATTTGGCCGCACTAAAACTTAAGATGTAAAATATTTTTCAAGTAAAATCTAAGTCTGAAAATTTTAAGAACGTTGTTGTTGTTTCACATGTTCTCTTTCGTAAGTTGCTAGTATTTTTTTGCTACTCTGAAAAAAAAGATTACAGCTATTGTTTCAAGTGGTAAAATAAAAGTGGATTCATAACGATCATTCATTTTTTTATTAGTAATTTACTTGTACCAATTTTTACATATCAATTTTATTATTTTTAAACATATATTTATTTAAAAAAAATTAATTTTTTACTAAGCAAAAAAGAAGTTTTGAACATATGCAACTGTAAATGTTTTTGATATGTCGCGCTACTAAAGCAGTATCACTACAGCTCTTTTGACAACTCCAACTTTTGTACAGGCAGGTATGCGCAGGTTTTATTCATACATGCATTTGTGTTTGAAACAAACTGAATTATCGTGTGTGGACACAAAGTAGAATGTTCACTATATTTTAGAAAACCAGCCTAATATATTATAGTACTTAAATTTACTATACTAATAATATACAGAAATTGGACATTTTTAATTTAAGTGGCTTACACGTCTAATTGTTTGGTCTCTGTTAGTGAACAATTGTGTTTTCAATTTGTGTTTGTGATGGCTGAAATATGTGAACCATTGACATTAGTTAGAGGTAATGTAATATTTTTTATATTTTCTATATTGTTACATTGTAATGATTCGACAGAAACATTAATGTAATGTTTATCAAATCACATTTAACTTAATAAAATATGCTTAGATATAAAACGTGCGGTAGATTTGCTAGAGAAGTTGCAAACTAGTGGTGATTTTCCTACTACGAAATTGGCTGCGTTGCAAAAAGTTTTACAAAGCGAATTTTTGAGTGCTGTACGGGAAGTTTATGAACATGTTTATGAAACTGTAGACATTCAAGGTTCGCAAGATGTAAGGGCTTCTGCAACAGCTAAAGCAACTGTAGCTGCTTTTGCTGCCAGTGAGGGTCATGCACATCCAAGAGTGGTTGAGCTCCCAAAAACTGAGGAAGGTAAAATTAAATGATCATTGTTGCAATTAAAGGTTTTTATATATTATTTAATGCAGGTTTAGGATTTAATGTAATGGGAGGCAAAGAACAAAACTCTCCAATATATATTTCCCGTATAATACCTGGTGGTGTGGCTGATAGACATGGTGGATTGAAGAGAGGTGATCAACTGCTGTCTGTTAACGGAGTGGCAAGTATATCTATTTATATATAAACTGCTATATAATATTATATTACATATAATATATATTATGAATAGCTATATATAATGTAATATAGTTACATAATATATTATATATAACTACATTATATAAATTATATTAACGTTGTGGCGTTACAATGAGACATTTATGGCACGTATTTTTTATTTGTGAAACTATTTCAATATGTTAAAATACATATACACATATTTAAATAGTTTATTTGACAAGGATGCAGTATCTTATTTAGTATTTGTAACAATCTGACAAAAAATTTATCCACCCCATAGGGGTGTCCATTAGGAGAGCTTTGATTGTATAGCATATATAGTTTGTTAAAAATGTGTACAGTTTTAACAATTTCTGATATCAGTTTTATTAGAATATTTATGTCAACTTTTGATATTTGATTATATATCTTCTTTTTTAGTCGGTTGAAGGCGAAAATCATGAAAAAGCAGTCGAATTACTTAAACAAGCAGTTGGCTCTGTAAAACTAGTTGTTCGTTATACTCCAAAGGTTTTGGAAGAAATGGAATTACGTTTTGACAAACAGCGTACTACACGTCGTCGTCAATAAACATAAATGCGTTTTGTCCTAAGTTTTGTTCATATGCGTGCTTATTTTAAAATTGTGCTATTTAGTATTTTACGTATATATGCATTCACTATGTAAAACCAGAAAACTAAATATATTAGCAGTTTAGTATTGCACTTTTAATTTATTGCAATTTATACATATATTATTTAAATTCATTAAGAAACCCTAATATTATATACAAAAGCTAGATATAATCCATGTTATATTAATAAACAGATATATTAAAATTAATATTAATATTTATTTATATTTGTATGATATGTCATTCATTAAAATAATGATTTAAATAGTGTGAAAATCGGAATAATGGTTTTAAATCATGCACAAATCATGCAGATTTTATTGACTCAATTCCCATAATTTATATTAAATATTTATTATTTTGTATTGGGTTAATTAAATAATTACTTTATATAAAACGAAATTTTTCACGCTAATTTTTGCTTAAATCAATATATCGATTTAAATCTGAAATAGTCTTCAGGAAACTTACAATTATATATCAGAAAACCAATTAACATATGTAAGTACATAATAGTGGACAAAACATATCCATAAATATTTCAATAATTAATATAAATGCAAATAAATCAAGGGCCTCTTTATTGATGTATATTTCTTTTCTATGTATGTTTTGTCCATCGTTACGTATTTTAATAAGTTAATTACCCAGTCCAACATAAAATTAACTTATGTTCGTAATACTTGAAACTGTTCCACTTAAACAAACTAATGACGTTGTTGTTGTTATTGTTACAATATCACTGAACAGAAATAAATATTTTATTTCTTATTATATAAATCGTTTCTTGGAACCAATTGTTTAATTTTACAGCATTACAGTACTCTAATGAAGGGAACGTATTCGGAGGTTTTTGTTGTCTTGATGTTGAGTTGAAGTGCAATAAATTTGAAAATAATTTATTTATTTGCGAGTTAACTTTAAAATTTAAATTAATTTTAAAGTTAGCTAAGAATAAGGAACTGGACTACTATATCTTTCGCGTTGTGTTTATATTCATATTAAGAATTATATTTAATTTTTTATTTAATATGGCTTTGGCTAGGTGTAGTTTTATTATATTGTAGTCGCTATTCTTGATTGCGTTTAAAAGGCTGGAGTCGTCGGTTGAGTTGTTATAGCAGCTTATGAGATGCCTCATGGTTAAAATATATCCACAGTTGAGGCATGTTATTTGTACATTCTTTTTGAGCAAGTAGATGTTAGGTTAGAATGAGAACGTAAGATGTGACTCTAAAAAGGGTAAGATGTGATCAGACATAACTATAAACATTAGAGTAGTAGTATTTCACTTTTTCAGTTATTTTGAATTGATATAAAGGCTGAACCGAAAAAAATAAAAGCTTATAGATTAGTTTTTAATTTTGTATAGTAGTCTATGGAACTATCGCAGACGTTTCTCACTTCAAATCGCTATTGTAACATAATGAAATCGAGTCATTTTTAAAATATATAAAACATGATAACATGAATAAAGAATATGTTTGGTTAGTTAATTAAAACAAACCCTGTTACTTCCAGTTTGCGCTATTTTTGCCAAGGGATACTCTGTATTTTGATTTTAAATAACAAAAACTTTATGTACTTTATACACGTTTTAATTAATGTATTTTAACATAATAAGGAAGTTATTAAGTTATGATACAAATATTTTATTACAAAGTTAACGAATCTTTTTTTATATATTACATTATTATAAATGTAGGGGTTTCATTAAAAAAAAGTTATGCATATTCAAAATAACATAAATCTAACATATTATTAATTTGCAATATAATAACTTATATATATACATTAAAAAATATATACTATTATATCAAGTTTTTAAACTTTTACTTCTCTATCATACTATTAGTTACATAAAATAAACAATTCTAAAACCAGATATTTGGCATTGTTCATATTGCATTGGTTTTATTTTCGTCAATTTCCTTTTCATCTAATGGTCCTGTAATACTAATAGAACTCAAATTTTGTATAAAATTATCCATATAGTGCTCGTCAGGTAGTTTCGTAATCTTTTGCCAGTTAGAATTAATTTCATTTAAATGATTAAGATCACTGTCTTTGCACTGAAATGATTCTCTCTGTATGTGTTCTCTAAAAGACTCATCAGTATTGTTGAAATTAATGATATGGTTTTTTGATGATACTAAGGTATCTGAAAAGATATATATGTATATTAGCAAGCAATAATGTAAAGAAATATATTATCTTTGTTTATTGGTATTTCTTTGAATCTTAATACTTATTTTACGCATATATTGGATACGTTACTTCCAGCAAAATCAAATAAAAAAAAATGTTGCACAAACCACCTCTAAGTCGGCTATTATTTTTTTACAAGATATAGCTGCCAAAATTCAAACCTGGTGTTTTGTTTTATGTTTATGCATATCATTTAAGCCCATTATTTTATTATTATGTTGAGGATAGTGAAGTCAGTGCACTTGAGCATTTTTACTCTCTATTAACTGCGAGGTTTCTTCATAACCCCTCTCTACGCATTGACTGGAATATTGTTTATCATTTCATCAGACTAAGCAATAATTGACCTCGGATCTGTATACCTCCGCGAGGAGCCTGTAACCATTCTGAGATTCGATAACGCGGTGTTGGTAAGCCTATCAGTTTTTGTTATTATATATCAGTTATTATCAGTTATTATATATTTTTTGATCAGATCAATCTTGAGGTTCCTGAGGATGTCATTCTGGGTTTGTGCCATTTCTAGCTGGCGAATAGTAGTGTTTGAGGCATTGCTAAAAAGGTATTTAAGAGAAGTATAAACCTTAAGTACAATAAACCAGATTTGCATTTTGGTTTTGGTAGCTAAATCCCGTGTAAAAAAACGGTAGCGTAATTGATGAGAAGTTTGTGCGGCGTTCTTATTCCTGTCGTAAGCAAAGAATTTTCATAAAGTTAAGAAGTGCGTGGACTCAAATTTTTTTTAGATATATATTTCCTTTATAGTGTTCACTTACAATTGTCTATAGAATATATATTACCTTTTTCAGTACTGCAAAAATTGGTTTGTGAGTTAGTTGAAAACTCCGATTTGTGTTTATCAAGCTGAAGTAAATTATTTTCCACTTTCAATCGATTTGTATTAACTGGTGTTATTTCAACTTGATTTTCAATAGGCATAAAAAAACTGCATTTGGAGTTGAAATCGTTTAATGAATGTATAGAAACCTATTATTTTAAAATATATTTAGTTTTTATTGCATTTATAAAATATTAACTTAACGTACCTCACTATTAAGATTATGTTCAGGAATTGAATTTGTCAAGTAATGTATATTATCAGAATTATGAACTCCACCGCTAGAAAAGTTTTTAACACAGGACTCAAGTTCTGAACGTTGCAGTAAGGGCAATTTATTGTCGGACCCACGTTTTGTTGAATATGAAGTTTTGAAATTACTTGTATTAGTGCAAGATGATTGATTTTTCAATGCATCTACCGAAAATGCATTCAAACCACTATAATAATTGGATTGCTCGTACTTTTCTTGCAGCGAAATTTGACTGTCTAAATAAATTTATATGAATTTATATTATATAAAAAATAATCATTCTCAATTTAAAGCAGATTAAAAGTATTCAACTTTAATTTTAATCAATATAAATACTTTTCCATCGTTGTGTACTTTTAATCTTAATTTATATGAGACAATAAGAATAGTGTTTTTTTCCGAATATTTACTTGTTAATAATTTTTGTTTTTCATGCAAATTGTTATTTGCTAAGGGCTTCATTGAAGAACATGTAATTGTTACAGTTTTGCGTTTTTTTCTATTTTCACATTCGTTTTTACTCATGGAACTTGGATAGTAAGAATAAGATGGCTTATTCATGCAATTATTAACCGTAGAAATATTTTGATTTAATCTGGAATGCTCCACTTCCTTGGGAGTATAATAATTAATGTTGTTAAATTGATTTAATCCTCCAACAGCCAACCCACTTGTAACTGCTTGATGCAATGCTGGATTACGAATAGTAAACATGCCATTTTCGTTTTTAAATATTGCTGCTGGCTGATCAAATGGCAAAGATGATACCAATGGTATATCGCTTAATGCTGTATCTATACACAGAAAATAAAAAAAAAATATATTAATATGTTTAATTTAATATGTAGCTTTAATCAAAGATAATTTTCAATTATTAACCAACTTAGAGAATTTTTATATATTGAATGGTTTTATAAGTTCTGATTGTGTTTTTTCAAATGCATACTATTTTATATACCTAAGTTATTTAAAATTTTTTAAAAAAATGTATGACAAATCTATAAAACTATGCTGTTATAAGATTATTTGGAATAATACTCAAATATAAAACTAGACGAAACGAAACTTATTTCATATAGCCATTTATAAGGACGATTTTAATAAGAAATGTTTTTGGATTCAGCTAGTATATTTTTGTATGAAATAAGTTATATTATATATAAACAATAATAAAGTCTAATAAGATTACAAAATAACGAATGTTATCTACAAAATATGAGACTTTATCATTTAAAATTCTTAAAGAGGTTTTCGAAAAGTAGTGAACTACAACAACAAAAATTCTTTTTAATATTATTTTAATTAATTGAATTTTTGGCTGGCCATACAGCTATTTCGATTATTGCCAAATACACTTCATCAATGGTCTTGGAAATAATTCTTGTTTTTAATTAATTAATTAATTTAATTATTCGTAAATAAACATACATTTCTTTGAGAGTGCAAGTACCAGAAATCGAACTCGTGCCCTGGCAAACTTGAAGCTCAAAGTTAGCGCTTCTTAACGAACTGATCCAAAGCCGTACTTGACTTTTATGTTCGCATATTTTTCTGAAATTTTGGTACTTTGCTGTGAAATTTTTATTAACAAATTAACTTACTGTGTTTATATTAGAACGAAATCATAAACCAGCTGTAGATTTTTAAAACTCCTTAAATAATTATAATCAAATTTTTTAATGTAATTAAAAATAGATCTCTAAAAGGTTTCATATTTACAGTCAGTAAATATTCGATTTTATATAAAAATATATTTGATCTTAATAAAAAGATTAAATTTAATTTTTCCCTGATTTATTGGCACAATTTAGTATTGAATTTAATGTTCAGTTATCAACTTAGTTCAACTTCTACTAGGTCTAAAAATAGAAAAAAAAAATAAATTAAAATACCTTGAATTAGTTCCGTTTTTTGTGGAAGCGAGTCTACATGGCCAGCTTGGAACATCGGATTACGTAAAGTTATTGTTTTTGATTGCTCAACGGAATTCGGTTTAATAAGATGTTTACGTTTTTTTTTTGTTTTTTTCTTTTTAATGGTATCAATCTCATCTGTTATTGTTTTTTCAGTTATTAATTTAGATCTATTTTCTTTTGAATTGGTTGAATTGGTTTCTACCATTATAACATTGCTTTCGTTCGTTATTGGCGCTGAAGCAAAACCAATATAATTATGGTTTAGGAAACATGAAGATTTCAGTTGAGATGTGATAATTTTCGGTTCGACGTATTTATATGAATTTAGAGCGTTTTGTTGCAGTAAAGGTTTTGTAATATTATTTATAGATTCAGATTTTTGACGTAATTCTTCGCTTTTAATAGGATCCACTTTTGTTAGTGTAATACCAGGCGGTAAAGAGAGATCCTCTACTTGAACACCTTGATTTAATTGGTCCATAATGCTAACATTTGTTAGGGAAACTTTATTTTTAGTTGAATTGTAAAAGTAATTGTTATCAATTTGTAAATTACACAGTCGCTCTGTTAAATTTATATCATTAAATTGATCTTGTTTTTGTTCTTCAATTTCAGTACTTGGTTGGTTCTTATTAGATGAGTATGGACAATTGTAATTGTCATTATATTCAAAATTTAATTTTTGTTTTTCATTTTCTTCACTTATTAAAATATTACTTTGTTGTTTATCTATTAGTAAAACATTTCTACTTGTTGATGTATTCTTTTTCTGTTTAGAATTTTGAATATTCGAGGAATTGCTAACTGTTTTTTTATTCTTTTTGTTTTTTGTATTTGTACAACATTGGGAGTTACTGGTATAAAGTTTGTTGGAAGAGTTAGAATTAGTTATATCATTTTGAGTTAAAGAATTAGGCGGTTTTAAAACTGACTTCTTTTGTTGGTAATGTTCCCTTTTTTTTGAAGTAATTTGATTTCTAGTTACATTTTTGTTCTTTTTTATGCTTTTTTCTTTATAATTTTCTCCATCGGAGTTATCACACGAAGATGCAGAAGTTTCATTTGCTGAGCTATAATTAAAGTTTAATGATTTGAACGGATTATTGTCAAATTTGCCGTCATCAATTGTACTAGATTTTGATTGTATTTTTTTTATTTTATTTTTGGTTAATGAACTTCCTTCTGTACAACTACTTGACTTCTGAATTTGCGATTTTACCACATTTTGTGGAGAAATTGATGTATTGGTGTCGTTTATAGATAATTTTGTTTTTTGTTTTCCATTTTTAATTATATTTAATCCTATTTGTTGTTCTTCGGTTAAGACAGTCCTTTTACTTATATTTGAATTTTGTTTTGGTGTGATAACTTTTTTACGTTTATTAGTATCATTACTTGGCAGAGATGTTTGTAATTGATTAGATAAGGATTTTGAATCAACCATAGTTTTCAAAGCATTCGTTTTATCTGAATTCGAGATTACTGTAATAGGTTTTATTAAATTTGATTTAGAAATATTATCAATAGAACATTTATCTTTTTGGATCGATCGCTGGCATCGTTGATTGCCTTTATTTTTTGAAGTTTTATTTAAATTATTATTTTGCATAAGTAGGGCATCTGAGCGTGATTGTTCACTCAAATTGTTTGGAAACTGTGTTTTTGATTTTTTTATAGAACTGTAGGAATATAATTTATCAGAATTTTGATTTTCTGTTATGGGTTGCAAACTTATAGATTGAACAATTTGACCATTAACAAAAGTGTAGAGCAAGCGGTCTTTATCTGGTGTTGTACCCTTGGCAGTAACTGTTACTTGTGGCTCAGGAACATTGGGTAAATTGATTCTACGAATGGTTACAATACCTTGAGATGATTCACTGTTTATACTTTCATTAGAATTACTTGATAATGAGAAATTTATATTTGATCTACCATTATGTATTACAGACGGTTGATGTAGTTTATTTGAGCTCGTTGAACTTTCAACACCATGGCGAGACTTCGACTCATTTGAAACTAGATTGCACCTTTGTGCACTTATATTTGATTGATTTAATGGTGGTGGTTGTAATGTAGGATTTTTGCATTGAGTTAAATTCGATTGAGTAAGTACCGCTTCATTATTCCGTTCACCTGAATTGTTCATTTTACTCATTCTTTCAAGCTGTTGTTCTTTGGTGGGAAGGTAAGAAAATTTGAAGTCAGAATTTGTTTGTTTAACAGTTGCGATTAATTCTAGGATTTGTGTTTCTATGCTGGCTTTAGATCGCTGCAATTTTTTAATATTAATTTCAATATTACTTTTTTTCTTTTTGTCATGGTTCTTTACACTTTTCATAGACTTCAGAACATGTTTATTTGTAAATTCTTTAAAATATATTTCCAAAAATTGATGGCGCAATTTTTGAAGTTCAACAATTTGTTTTTCTGCTTCTTTTCTTTGCTTTTGCTTTACTTTTTTTGCTGCTTTTTTTGGATTTGATGGTTTTGGTTGTTGCTTATTTTGACTTTTATTGTGAGAACCTTCTATAAAATATAGAGTTTTATCGACCCACTTTTTTACAACTTCTGGCTCGTTTGTTAATTTATCACAATTTTTCGAAACATTGTCAAAATGATCAGTATTCTTTGAAGAATTTATATTTGTATTAAGTTTTTCTTCTGTCTGAATTTTATTATAAGTACATATAGAACGAAGAATTTTTTTTTTAGGAACATCGTTTTCTTTATTTAGAAATGGAACTGATTTATCAGAGTTTAGTGACAAATTGTTAAGCTTTTTGTATATACTGCTGTCTGCACACAATTGTTCGTTTGCGATGATATCGATATTTACATTGTCAATACTACGTTCAAAATTTAATTTATTTTTATTAAATTTTAATTGTGGTTCAATAGCCGATAATTTCGAGTCAAAGCAATAAGATTTCTCTTCTTCATTTACCAATTTATATTCGTTTAAAGAAGCAGAATCTAATACTGATATTGAATTTGTTAAAGGCATTTGTTGCTGCCGTTGTGTAGAATTTTGCTCATTATCTATTTTTTTTATTTTTTGTATTTTTCTTCGTAATCTATCACGGGTTTCGATCACTCGAGAATGCATACAATCCTTTTACCAAAATCATTAGAACAGTTTATTTTACAAATTTTTTTTTTATTTTCATTCTACTTACCTTTTTTGAGTCTTTTTTCTTCGCGTGATTTTCACAACAATGGTCTTCTACATGACAAACTAAAAAAAAAATTTAATTAAAAATAATTAAATAATATATAATATTATACATACATTTTTGTAATGGTTCTTTGTCGCACTTGTTGGATTCATCGGAATCCATAATTGATTTAAGAGATGAATTTTCATTCTCATTTGAAATGATCGGAGTTCTATATAATATACAAAAAATGTGTGTACAAATAATGTTTGTATGAAATTTAAGTGCTACTATTTTTTATAAATATGTTATATATTAATATATGATATATATAAAATATATAATATATATATATAATATAATATATTAAGTTTGTTGAGAAGTTATAAGAATGTTATTTTGAATAATTTAGAGCAAAGTTAAAAATCCTATCACATTTGTAATTTCAAGAATATCCAATTTCGCGGCGGACATAAATTCAATGAGTAACAGTTCAAAAGTAATTAAATTTTCTGCTTTTGGAAAGGCGGAGTGAATGTGTACAGACAAGGCGGACATAGCAGAGAAGAAACATGCTTCTGCTTTAGCTGGAATGATTGCGTCCTCGATAGTCTCCTCTAACAGTTCCTATTACTACCATTTGTAGACCAGGAAAATTTTACGATTATTTTTCGAATTAGACAAAATATTGTCAATTCATGGAGACTTGGCATACATATTCCATATTTAGAACATAGAATTCATCCAGAGAAACAAAATGAAAGTTGATAAATAAATATAAACAAGATACTGGAGTGAACAACATAAAATATCGCAAATTCTGTAAATCAAGTTCATTTATGCCCGAGAAAGAATTACATGAACACTTGATTCTACTGCTTATATTCAAATATGTAAATGTGGAAGTATTCACACAATAACAACTCTAGTCTTTAAATCAAGTGATTAAACAGTACCAAATTTTCTTTTCAAACTATGGAAAATGTATAATCCGAAAGATTTTCTAGCAACGACTTTTCGCTTTACCTACCTATCAATGTAAAAAAATCGAAATCAGTATAACCAGTTTTGCCCATTATTTTTTTTGTATATAATTTAGTTTTGCTCTACATCATTTTTTATCATTACTTAATTATTATATGATGAAGGATTAAAAGCTTTTGGCAAAAAACATTTAGTATGATTAACAACTGATTAGCAAAATGTCAAAATTAGTTAAATAAATAAATACTTAATTATATGAGGAGTATTCACGAGTTCGAGTAACGCGCTCGGTAACCGAGTGCAAAGCAGCAATAACAAAATTACGTTAGTTAAGACTTTGCTTTTACCAACATTTATGTTGCACTTTTACTATATTTTCAATATCGCCATCTTTCTTATATAAGTTTTCTCCGCAAATGTATTTATACTAAGCATTTTGTATGGGCAGCATTTAAAAATGGATTTGATTGATATTAAATATTTACGCATTTAATTTAAAAACTTAAATTGTTCTTTATATATTTTATATCCGACTACAGGTCACCTCACCTCAAAGCATATTTTCATGTAAGTTTTGATTAATTCAATAATTCATTAAGTGTTTGTAGTTGTTCAAGAATGAATATAGCTTATTTTACTTTATTTATAAATTATTTTCTAATATATTTAAAACTTGTTAAAAAACTAATATATAGTATAATAAAACCTCTTAATTTGTGTTAAATTTTAAATATTAAAAAACGCCTTTTTATCCTATGTAGACTATTTTTTTTTTTCTCAAAATGACAATTTTGCTTTTTTCACTTAACTTCGGCATAATATTGGTATTTATATCAGAATCTCTTTTGTTTTCACAATAATTTTAATGAATATTCATTAAAACGCAGCTGTCACAACTAGGAGTGCTCACGAGTTAGTGTAACTGGCTGCACTTTTTCGAATTTGTGAATAACCCTATTATTTACTTTTTAAAAAAATGTTTAACAATATTTTATGAGCCTTTTTAAATTAATTATAACAAATACAAAAAATGTATTGCATTGTAAGTTTAATTTTAACAAATAAATAATTAAAAGACGGCTTAAAAAAAACAATAAAGAACAAATGTTCTTTATTTTAGAGAAAAATGGGGATACCGTAAGATGAAACATTATTGGTTTAATTGATAATGATGTTAAATATCATACTAATACATATTAATATCATTTTTAATAATCATCTACACTTAATTTATGTATAAAAACAAAATAATATATATACAATATAACATTTTAACTTACTCTTTATGTCGTTCCAGCATACTGTGGTATACTTTACATTTTTCATTACATATATGTGTTTTTAAAAATCCATTCCGCCATTTATTCTTTTTATATAATAATATATTATGAAGAACAAGATCTCTGTCATCAACGTTGAAATTGTACAAAAATTTGTTTTTTGAAAAAGAGGTAATTTCCATAATAACATTAAAAACATATAATATGTCTTTTACGGAGTACTTTCTTCGAGAAACTTTGTGTAATAAAAATTTTTGCAACTCGCTCCACACCTTGACCCAATATTTTCCAAAGTAATTAATTTTTTTGTCAATATTAACCTGTTTCAAAATGAGACATTTATCTTGTAAATCAGTTTCTTCCATCTAAAATGAAAAATTAAGATACCTTGATATTAGTCAAAGAAAAAAACAGAAATTGTCGTAAAGTATATATATTTAAGTCAGCAATATCGGGCCTGTTCCTGATATTACTTACTTGCGCAAGTGCAAGTGAATCGAATTTAAAAAACCGCTATTCCGAAAATGGGAATAGGTCCGTTTAGTCTAACTTCCTTTGTAATATTTTTTATTAAAAATGAAATTAGAAAATGTCTTGCTTGTGGGGTTGTAACATCATTAACGGTAGAAATGATTGTTCTGTTCGATTCAAATGAACGAACAAAACAGCTCTAATATAGTATAGCAATATTGTAATATGTATTAATCAAGAAAATAAATACTTACTTTTATAAAAATATCGAAAACATTTAAAAGCTCATAAACATACTGATAAATAGGTGTACACAGAAAGATTCTCGTTAGTGAACACTGTTCTAAAAATATATCTTCAAATGCTTTAAAATGAGTCCAGATTTTTTTAGATTTACGATGACTGTCGTCGTCCCTGTATTTTTGTATCAAGTCTGCAAAAAAGTATGTTCATGCATTAATTAAATTTAATTAATTAGACTTATAATACAAATTAATATGATTTATTTTATAACCAAAAAATTATATGGAAGATATATAGAAATAAAACTTTTTGAATATACTTACATGAAATTATTTTTTCGGTTGACTTTGAATATAATTTTTTTTCATGAATACCTTCCGCACACGCCTTTATAAAGCATGTAAAAGGACATGATATTTGCATAAATAATGGATTATTTACCACTAACCTATTTAATATAAGACAAATTATAGATTTGGAATCAATATATATAAATTAAAATAATAATATATTACTTACATTATACTAAAAAATAAAAATTCTGCAATATCGGTATTTTTTTCAGTATGTATGTGATCCTTTTTGTTATAAATAAGCCTATAAGATTGCACATCATGTATAACACTATTTGCATTTAGTAGTTCTTGTAACTTGTACGTTATTGACTTTCTATAATTATATATATGTATATTAATATATTAAATTAACCATCTAGAGAGCATACTTAAATTTGTGTTCATTAAATTTTAAAAGCCTATTAAACAATATTAAACCCACATCTGATTCACTGAATTGATCAAACAGAAATCGAATTAATATTTCCCGGTTTTTAACACATACTGCACACTTGCAGAATGTAAACGATTTTTTGATATCATGTTGAGCGCTGATATTAGCCATCTGCAAAAATATAATTTAATCGAATTATATATATTCTTGTCATAAGACTTTAATAATATGTATTAAATGAGGCCTAATGTACAGTAATTTTGTAAGCATTATTTACGATTTTAGGGTCCAAGAAAAATAAAAATTGGGATTTAACCTGGATGTTGGTAATCTTGTATCAGTTTTTGTGCCGTTCCAATATAAATTTGAACGTTTTTTTCTTATTCCAGGGAAGAGTCGATGTAATAGAGTTATTGTTTTATATTTCACACAAAAATTACTGGTGCAAATTTATAAATACATGCATGTGAATATACAAATGTGAAATATCCTTGTCAAATTTTTAAACAAATTATTGAGTAGCGAACATTGATTGTTCCATAATTACCTTTGATATGTATTGAAGGTTCAGCAAAGACGAAGTAAAATTTCTTCAAAAATTCTCTTTATTTGATTTTGAATTATTTTATGTGTAATTTAAATTTCAGAATTATATTTCATCTTCATTTTCACCAAACAACAACCATAATACGCATTTCTCAGTCAAAATATATATATTATAATTTAAATAACTATTTGTTTTTGTAAACAATCAAATAAGTGCTTTCTGAATATAATAAGAACACATTGAAACTTCTGTTAAAGATATATCTCTTTTAGTAGACGGTAACGAGAAAATATCCAACAAGAAACGGTTTTCCATATTTGTAAACAGTAGTATTGCTTTAAAATATTTCTAAATGGTTACAGTATTTTGTTGGTTTGATGCATATGGTTCTTTATATAATTTTGTATAGTCTATTGAGTATTATAAATTTTAACGGATATATCGATAATACATATTATTTGTTACTTAATAGCAAATTTACACATTTTCTTTTCAAATTAAGTGATACTGTGTAAAATTTTTATAATCATATTCACTTTAGCATTCCCATTGGTTTAAAATTTATGTGTTCGATGTCATTTAAGTATTACCATCACAAAATTTTTAAGGTTTTATGTAGCAAAGAACATTGAAATCAGCGAAAAGGAGAGGTGCAAAAACTATGCAATATATATGTGGCGGACATGGCAACAACAGCTAGTTTATAACACGCGAAAAGCATGTCGGCAACATTGTGGCATCACAACCTAAGGATGGTATAAAAACAGAACGCAATAAAGTATCGCTCTCTTTTTACATCCCAACCGGTAACGAGCACGCACACAAAAGTTAAGCTATAGTGGAATTAGCAACCCACAATTGGTGACCCCGATCAACGTAAAAGAAACAAATAAGTCATTTTCACGACTAAATAATTGAAGAGATACAAAAACAAAATTCGTCTTTACGACTGAATAAGTAAAGAGGTACAAAAAACAAAATTTGGCACACAATTTTTTTTTAATTGGAATCGTTGGCGACTTACATCATGAGCATGACAGAAAGCAGTCAGCAAAACTTGGCAGCTCTATCAGCACCTACTCAAGCCGTACAGTGACGGAACGTAGATGGATAGGCGTGCTCAAGCTACCTTCTTTCGTTCATTCTGATCCTGAATTATGGTTTACGCAAATCGACGGGTTACTGCATGTTAATAGAATAACATCAGACGTAACATCAATAACATCAATACTACACGGTTATTACGACACTCGACGCAAATAGTCTTGACCAAATAGAAGATATCGCAAAGAAGCCTTCAGTGTCCGATAAATATACAACATTAAAAGAAGAATTGATCTGGTGCTTTGGTGAGTCAAAGCAAAAGCTACTCATTAAATTGCTGACAAACTTAGAGCTGTCAGACAAACGACCGTCACAATTGCTTTGCCCATCGACGTTAGATGCATTTTGTCTGCATGCGACGCTGGAGATTTAGAAAGCATGGCTGAATTAGCTGACCGTATCATGAACAATATACCAACACCACAATACGATATGACTGCAACTTCAACAACTGGCACTCATTTTAATCAATCGTCATCGCCATTAGTAGCGAGAATACTGATATTAGAGACAGCAGTACAGCAAATTATATGCAGCTTGGGTGAAATAACGACACAATAAAAACCTAGTAGTCGTTGTAGAAGTGCGCACCGTCGTCACAAAAGAAGAGATTGCAGGCAGAGTAATGTTAGAAACAAAGTATGCAGTTACCACACACGATTTGGGTGCAGGGCGTATAAATGCACTCCACCATGTGATTTTAGCAAGGCAGCTGGAAATCACACCTCAACACCAACAGTGGAAAACTAAAAACGTTGTCGCAGATAAGTGCGACATTCGATAACGCACCTCCCAGCCGTTGACGTTCACTTTTCAGCAGAAAGCCAACAAGGTATCTTCTCGTCAATCACGCCATCTGAGCTACATAGCAGAATTCACGATCGAGATCGTACATGTGTCAGGCGACGACAATATAATAACAGACACACTCTCGCGGATCAACTCGATAGCTATACCAGAAACTTTCAGATGATGAAGAGCTTAAACAGTTGTTGTCCACAAGCACGAAATTGCAACCGGAGAAATTGCAGTTGCAATCGAACTGTGATGTCACTACGGAGACATACTGTGAGGTCACTACGTGCCAGTTAAGACAAGGCACCAAATCGTAACATCAAATTACGTGTGGCCATCAATGCGAAAGGACATAAAAACATGGGTTCGAGAGTGTCAAGGTTGTCAGCAATCCAAAGTCACAACAGAATGAAGTCAAGCCGAAAACCGATCAGCGATTCGACTATGTCCACCTGGATTTAATTACATTACCGGAGTGTCAGGGTTATAGGTACGCGTTTACGATGATTAAAAGCTTTAGCCGATAGCCAGAAGTGACACCATTAAAAGAAATGACCGCAGATACAGTAGCTGGGTATCCCGGTTTAGCGCGCCGTTTCAAGCTTTGATTAACCTGTTAGGAACCAAACGAATCCGCACTACGCCTTATCATCCAGCAGCGAATGGCATGGTAGAGACGTTTTATCGAACGCTAAAAGCAGCACTAATGGCAAGACCGAAACATACATGGCTCCAATTACTCCCATCAGTTCTTTTAGGGCTACGAGTATCAGTGAAGGAAGACGTAGGAGCATATGCTGTAGAGATTTATTTATTTATGGTATCAACCTCTGTCTGTCTAGCGAATTCTTCGAACATAATACTCAATCATCTTCGTCAATGCCTTCTAATCAATCAAATTTCCTGAACAAATTTCGTGAATATTTGCGTGAAGTACGACCAATGCCAGCAGCACATCATAGCAACAGGCCGATTTTTATATACAACAAACTCAATAATTACTCACACATTTTCTGCGTACAGATCACATTAGAAAAGCACTAGAACCACCATATACAGGACCGTATAAAGTCTTGAACAAAATTAGTGAACGAGTTTTCACAATTGAAGTAGGTGACAAAAAGTTGAACTTTTCAATCGAAAGATTAAAACCAGTATTCCTGGAGAATACAGATGTTCCAGCAAAACCGGAGTTATTAGAAATTTTGTTACACATTCCTAGGCTAAAGCATAACACGCCACCAGTAAAAGGTAGGAGGAAAAATAAAGAAGACCCGCTTCAATTAAACAACAGTCCATTGCAGTCAGGGTTCGATAAAAACCTCTCTATTCAAAGGGTTGAGACGTGCTGATATAGTTCGAACATTTGTTATGTTTTAAAACATTTTCACTTACTTGTTTTTCGAAAATTAAAAGTAAAGTTGTTAATTGATTATCAATGAAAAAATATATACCTAGTACCCAAAATGCGACAAACGTTATTCATTTTGCATATATTTTCAATAGAATGTCATATGTAAGTATTATTTTACTGTGATTTTGCTGAATTGTTTAATGTAAATTGCATGTAAAATGTGATTAATCTGTTTCGTTTTTTTGATTAAAAATGTTTCCACGAACACCTTAAAATGGTTCAAACATATGATTTGCATTTGCTTTGTTTAGTATGAGTATACAAAATCAAAGTATTATATATTTAGAGGGTTTAGCAAAGAAAGAAAGTACATATATAAAGATTTAGTTAAATTATTGAAATTTGGCTGACCATACAAAGCTGTTTCGAGTATTCCCTAGTACTTATTATCAGTGGCCTTTGGAAATATTCGAAATTGTTTTTAATTAATTTATAGTCCATATATAATTTGCTTGAACTACAAGTGCCAGGATTAGAACTCGTGCCTGTGAAATTAGAAGTGATGACTAATCGTCTTTTTCCACAAGTAGGTTTTTTTTCACTTTTTATTTTTTTAAGTGACACTAACTGAAACACTTGCCGTGATTCAAGTTAGAACGAGCTTATAAACCACAGCTTCATTTGGAAACACAAGTTCAACGAAAGTCAACTTTTGAGGTTGCCTATTTTTATTTTTCAAAGCCATCCGTTTTATAGATACATTTGTTATGCATATTGTTTACTTAACATACTATATGTAAAGCACCTTTTTGTGCTTTCTACAAAGTTATGCAATTTAATTAGTGCAGTTACATAAATGGTGGATAAAATGTAGAGCGAAAACAATTTATTATTTGTTTTCATCGGCAAAAGTCACAGAACGCATCCAGCACAAACTGCAAGTATTTGTCAGTAAAAGTCTCCGTCGTATATTTAAAATTTTCTAGCCACGGTTAATCTCAAACAACAAACTTTTCGCCATATCCAAAAATGTACTAATAGAACTCAAGTTTAAAAACCGGAAGTGGCGTTGGATTGGACACGCTCTCCGGAGAGCCAACACCGCCATTTCGAAAATTACCTTTGAGTGGAACCTCTAAGTTAAGCGTTGATATGGCCGCCCACGAGTTACCTGACTGTGCTCTATCCAAGCTTCATATCGGCAGTTTGGTAATGGAACGAAATTTGGCAAAAGGCAGACAATTATGAAAAATCGTCTCCGCCCTATGCTCTTACTAAGAGTGGTGTCTTTACCCATTGTATTGTAGATAAATACATTTTAAATACACTAAGAAAATAATAATAAATATCTGATCAATCTTGGAGCTACTAATAAGGCTTAATCAATGAGTTGGCTGGAAACTTCAACCTTTCATAAAATATAGTCGAAAGTACATTGATGGGACAGATATTAGACTGATCCCGCGATATTTGGTGTAATCATCCCGTCGCCTTTTTTCAAGACAAGACAGAGGATACTGAGACTCCAATCGATGAGCATACAAATCATATGCAGCAAGATAAGCTAATACATGCTAACTATAGGCACATCGCCGCCGACCTTCACAATTCTCCGAGAACATTTCTCCAAAGGCGGAATTTATATTATCATTTCCAGAATGTAGTTCTTTCCATATTTTCAGTACACTTTCGGGATGATGCTCCATGTTTAAAGCCTTAATTCAGACGCTCAAGTTTTTAATAAAATTTACGAGTATCATTCCTGTTTCTTTACACTTTGATTTCTTCTCACTCGCGCCTTTTTTGATTTCGTTTCTGCATAGGCGGCGTTATAAATATTAGGGTGCGGGAATCTGGTACTACTATGTTTCGCGGCGCACCAAAACAAATTACTTATGTATAATGTAGAGCGAATATATGGTGTATTTATACAATTGAAATAAAAAACAAGAATACACGACATCTTATCCAATTTAAAAATACATTGTATTTACGTTTACTTCGACAGAAACAAATATGTGATGACAAATTACATTGCACATTTAGTCATAGATTTAATCATTTGAATTTTTGTTTTATGCATAATTTTCACCCTTATTTAGTTTTGTTTGCGACCTCAACAATTCACATTCAGGGCTCTGTCCCTTATGTAGTCATCATCAGGATACTATGTAATACCAATAGAATGCAGCAATATTTATCCTCTTCCGGATTTGTTGAAGGTATTTTCACACACCTGAGCTATACAGTGTAGTAAATCAGTTTTATAAATGAGTACGTTATAACTAGGAGTTTGTAGGGCAGTTTGTAGGACGTATTTGTTGGATATTTTCTTGGTGTAACAACTTTACATTATTTAGGTCCGACTCATGTTTTGATCTGATTCAAAATAAAGCCAGTGGTGTGTTGAACTCAATATTCGCGTTTTCAATTTGATTTTGTTTACCAACAAATACTTGTTTGCATATGTTGGATCCGTCACCTTTGAATTTGATTTGATAACCCACATTGTGTTTATTCAAAGTGTTAATTTTTGTTTTGGTGTTTGAGTATAGCGTCTACATTGTGCTTTATATCCTATATTTTGTTTTATAATGTTGTTTGTGACATATATTAGATGCTGAAATTTGATTTGAAAGTTCAGCGACGTATACAACAATTTTATAGGTTTGGATATTCTGGTTAATTTGTTAATTTCTTTTTTTTTCCAAGATTTTAGTGATCATTGGGTTAGGGAAATTATTTAAAAATCTTTCTAAGAGCATTAGAATTAAGTAAGGCAATTTTCTACAGGAAGGTTAGAAATAACATCAAAAGGGTTAGTTCAGTTCCGATATTTCGAGATCTATCAAATGTCAACTAAATGGCAAAGGAGTTGAACGTATCGCGAGAAAGGATACAAAACATTTTGAAAAATATGCTTGAACTAAAACAATTGAAGTAAAACAAAGTGCATGATCTCATTGATGAACAAAAAAAGTTAGAATCGAAAGAGTCAAAGGGTTAGTTCGTTTGGTCGAATGTAGTGGGTTGCCGAATTTGGTTTTTTCTGATGAGTCACCATTGAACACTACGTAAAAAAGCAAAATTATTGAGTTCACATGTCAGAGAGATCCATTGAAAACATACGATTGGCCACCAGAAAACAGGTGCCACCGATGGTGATGGTATCGGGAAATTATTTTAGAGGGAGTATTAAAGCTCTGGACAAATGAGCATTTTGGTGGCAGGCGTTGAACATTCCAACAGGACTCAGCACCATCGCACAAAACACGCGTCAACCAAAAAAAAAAATGCCTGAAAAACAGATGAGCATTTCGGTTGCAGGAGTGGCACATTCCAACAGGACTCAGCACCATCGCAGAAAGCACGCGTCCTCCAAGAATGGTTGAGAAATAACGTTCCGTGTTTTATTTCAACAACACAATGGCCACCGTGTTCATTTGATATAAACCCCTTAGATTTCTGGTATTTTACAAACTAAGGTAAGCTCTACCAAAATTCGTGTGGCGTGCGATAGCTTAATTTGCCATTTGAAGGCCATAATTCATGCTAGAGGTGGCCATATTGAACTAAAATAAAATTACAAAAATTTAAAGTTCTTTTCGCATTTTTTATTTATGTTTTATTAAATAAAACAAAAATTAACAAAATAAAGCGTTTTACTTTATTATAATTTTCATCAGCAACCTTGTATTTGTCAAGAGCATATGACAACTTGACAATTTATCAAGAGAAGTGCTTTTTTACAGCTTTTTTTTATATAAACCTGACAAGTGAATTTGTCAAGAACACCGAATAAGGGGGTTAGTGTTGGCATTTTCAATAGATAACTCTGAATTCAATTTAGATGTGTTAAATTTCGTTGACCAATTGAACATTTTTAGTGTAATCTAAAATTTTTGTAGTAGTGTTAGTAAATAAACAAATTGAATTGAACTGTTCACAGTAACTTATTTTGCTTTGTAGTTGTTCACAACATTTACCCAAAATCTTCTACTTTTTTCCGTTTTTGCAAATGTTTGAAAGTTGAAAAACATACCTTCATTTGCATATGCTCCCAAATGTATTATTATCTTGATTTTATATCTTTCTTCAAAATTATAGCCAAATACATAAACAAACAAATTGGGCACATTTGGAAACGAACCACACTTCTTTATTTGTCAAATCATATAAAATAGCAGTTAATTTTAAGGAAATCTTGTTACACTGGCTAAATATATAGAGTGTTATACATTAATCTCGAGTGTATATAGATTTGCCAATCGAAAATGGCACAAAAAACGAATCTCGATTAAAAAATTTACCCAGGGATTTACCTACCGAAAACGCCATATGTTTCTGTTACGATATAAAAAACAATAATCGTAACGAATATGGCATTACTGATGTGATCGGCTGTTTATTGTGATAAGAAGAAGCATGCAAGTGAAGTGAGGAGGTCGGCAGAAATATATAAAAAACGCGTGCGTGAGATATATATATATACATATTAGATTCATTTAATTATAATAATGCAATATATGATTTCTAATAAATAAATAAGAAAAAACAAGGAATCATAACATATAGCTCGAAAAATCAAATAACACTTTGGGAACACCAAATAGCTATAAAATTTCCACAATCATGATTGTAAGCATGATTACAAAAGTAAACACGACATAACTACCTTGCACTTCATTCAATGTTTGCTGTTGCAAATGATTATTTCGTTTTTAGTACAATACAATATATGAGACAAAGATAAAAATTAAATAAATTAGAATGTCGTCTAGAAAAGCAACTCATGCAGGAAGTTGGTATTCCAGCTCTGGTAAGTGTTATTAATAATGCAGCAGAATGTTCCTTAGGTTTAATCGATAACATCAAAATATTGAGTCCAAAATTATACCAGCAGTTTTGTGTAAAATATGTTTCTATATACAGATTTAAATTATATACAATTTGTTTTAATATATATACATTGAACGGATTTATCTTTTGTATAAATTTTATATAAATTTATAAATTTTTTTAATACTTAGAGTAAAATTTGTTAATCGAATATTCTTATTGGAGAAATATTTAGATTGATCAACGTAATTGATATGTACAAATCCATGCAACAATAGGGGTATTCAAACGTTTTTTGTAAAACGACAAAATTTAACAGTATTTGTTTTTTTATGAAATTACAATGCGTCCACAAGTTAATGAACTTGGGGGAAAACATCAGCTGATTCTTATTATTTTGCATTGTTGCACAGATATTAATTTTAATTTAGAATATTAAGTAGTCAATACAACAATAAATAAAAAATATTGAAGATATAAAAAATTATATAAAAGAACAAGTTTCACCCAATTTCTGAATTTTTTTTTTTAATTTTACTTTATAAAAATTAAAAGCTTTCTTAAGTTTCTCATATTATTATTGTACCAAGTTACCAAGCAAATTTCAAGTACGCCTAAAATTTATTGTTGATCATGACGAAGTCATCGTAAAAACTATGGACATTGTTTAAATTTATCTGGTGGTTTTTTGTTGTAGTTGAAGCGAGTTATATAAAATTCTTGAACTGTGTCATATCAATATGAGTGTGGGTTTTCTTTAAACAAATATTAAATTTGTTTAATAGAAAGTCATTTCCGAAGTTTCGTTAATTACTTAACAGTATATTTAACTTAAAATTTCTAATATTTATCGAATCCAATATAGAAGTTGTAGTTTCTAAGAGGTTTATGATTTATGATTTAAGAGATTTATGTTAGGAACAGGGTAAACAACATAGTAGGCAATATAATTTCTTGGAACTTTTTCTAATATATTACTTAAATTAATATATTATATATATAGGTGCTGAACTTTCTCAACAACTTGATGTGTGGTTGAATACGGCAGAATTACTTCATGGTCCTGCACGAGCAATAATTGCACCGTAAATATATTCAAACATTTGTTAATATTGTTTAAAAATATCTTTTTAATAGTCATGCGGGTTACGCGTATTGCGGTGAGTGTGGAGCATTTGCTTATCGACAAGTAAGTCCAGCTGTTGTGTAAGTATTATAATTAAAGACAATGAGTTATTTTCGAAAAATCTTTTATTTTACTTATAGGAAACGGATATTTATATTAGGCCCTTCCCATCACGTGCGATTACGTGGTTGTGCGTTAACTACAGCTAAAACATACACAACTCCTTTGTATGATCTCAATATTGATACTCAAAGTAAGTAATGTATACATACTAAAGTACTGCATGCACGCATTTGATTTCAGTTTTAAATCATTCTATTGTGTTGAGAATGGTAGCATACTCTCACTCTCAACGAACGAATACGAATGAATACGCGTAAAAACAAAATGGAATGAAATGAATATTAGTTTTGTTTTTTTGGAGTACTCTAACTCTAAACATTCTCAAAGTAGTTGAAGTATTTAAAGGTACTCTAAGCATTTGATTTTCAATTCATGCAAAATGAACTTATGTGTTTTTAAATAATAAGACACAAATTGATTTATTTAAGTTTTTTTATTAATTAAATATTATTTAAAATGTTGACAATACTAATTTGTTAATTTTATAATTAAGCTAATTACATATATAATATGACTTAATATATTTATGAAATATAAAAAAAATTTTGAACAAAAATTTATTTAAAAAATTATAATGGGTTTTTTTACAGTTTTGATACAACAAATAGGAGAAAAAATAGTACTCTATAGTAATTTTAGTTAGCTTTTTAACTTAATTTAATTTAATTTAATATACAAATGAAATGTTTAGCATCGCCTGACTTAATTTTTTTTTTTAAGATTGTTGTGTTATTGAAAATCCATATATTCATATTTATATAAAAATCTATACAATATATATAGAAATATATGAGTACACATAGTTTACCCTTTGCATTAGATCTACCTGTTTAAGCATTTTTGGATTATTGCGTGCCACCAGGGACCGTAACAGTTATCATAAAAAAAATAAAAATCATCTTATAACTGTTATCATATGCATTTTAAAATAAAACTCAAAAAATAATAATTAAATTTGATTTTTATTATATTCATCAAAAATAATAATTATTATATGCCTTTTATTTTTTTCGCGCAGAAATAACTCTTAAAATTTGCTTCTTATTTTAAAACGCACAAATAACTGGTATACTTGCGTTATATAATATAAAAAGCAAGAGTATCGCGCAAATTCTGCGCGATATTTTTAAAATGAAAATATAAAATGCAATTTTCATACAAGGTAGTTGTTTTTGTAATTCCATAGAAAATGTTTTAAAAGGTTGGTGCAGGTAAAGATTTAGTTCAGTTTTTTGTTTTTGTATTTTGCATACAAATTTGTACTCATAAAAATAAAATATAAAGAAAAAATATGAATCCAAAATACAAAAACAAAAAACTAAACTAAATCTTTACCTGCACCAACCTTTTAAAACATTTTCTATGGAATTACAAAAACAACTACCTTGTATGAAAATTGCATTTCATATTTTCATTTTAAAAATATCGCGCAGAATTTGCGCGATACTCTTGCTTTTTATATTATATAACGCAAGTATACCAGTTATTTGTGCGTTTTAAAATAAGAAGCAAATTTTAAGAGTTATTTCTGCGCGAAAAAAATAAAAGGCATATAATAATTATTATTTTTGATGAATATAATAAAAATCAAATTTAATTATTATTTTTTGAGTTTTATTTTAAAAAGCTCATATATAAAAAGCATGCATAATATTAAGGATAAAAGTTATTAGAATGATAACTATTTACTTAAATAAGAGTTTAGACAACTTTTTATTGCTGCTTTTTTTCATAAAAAATTTTAAAATAACTGTTATTTTCGGTCCCTGCGTGCCACTAATAAAAAATTAAACCTAATTTACATACTTTGTTGTTGCATTTATTGCAAATCTCTACGCACATCCACCTTTTTTTACTTTTGCCCAGGCAACCGAATGCACACAACATATATAAAATATTTCTTTGCAAAAATAGAATTATTTGAAATACTCTTAAAGTATTTGAAATACTCTCAATTATTTGTTTATTTGATTTTAAAATTCAAAACAAACGATTATGGAAAACAAATCAACCCTCACTCCATTGAAACGAATGCAGCACACATTCCATTCCATCGGACCGTTTACTCTCATTCATTCGTATTCGCTTTAGAAATAATTTGTGAATATGGTACACATTTGAGAATGTAACGAATGACCGCAAAAACGAATGTTTTGATGCAGAACTTTAATACATACCCGCACTTCCAGCAATTTCAAACTGTTCCTTTCAGCCAACACTGAATTAGAAAAGACTGGAGCTTTTTCCTGGATGGATGCCAAAACAGACGAAGATGAACACAGCATTGAAATGCATTTGCCATTTATCGCAAAAGTTATGGAAAAGTAAGACGTCTTCTATGTTGAAAAAACTATATAATTTAATGTACTATAAATTTAAGTTTTAAGGATCAATTTACTATTGTACCAATCCTAGTTGGATCATTGAATCCTGATCAAGAAGCGTTATATGGGAACTTATTAGCTGACTTTTTCACTGATCCGCAAAATCTGTTTATAATATCATCAGATTTTTGTCATTGGGGTAATCGTTTCAGTTACACGTATTATGATCGATCATGTGGACAAATTTATAAATCAATCGAAAACTTAGATAAAAAGGTATTTTATTTTATATGAGTTTTCTGCTTTTTTTTTCTTAATATAGATTAATTTTTCATTTTACAGGGGATGGATATAATAGAAACATTAAATGCTGATGCATTTACTGAGTACTTGCGAAAATATAATAACACTATATGTGGACGTCACCCAATTGGCGTGATGCTGAGTGCTATCAAAGTTTTGGAAAGAAAAGGTTATCTTATGCATTTCAAGTTTTTAAAATATGCACAAAGTAGTCGATGTAAGGAAATGCATGAATCAAGTGTTAGTTATGCGTCTGGTTCTTTAGTGTTTGAATGTTAATTTCTATACACTAAAACTTGTAGCAAATTTAAATATTTAATTGAAATTTTTGTAAAATAAAATAAGCTATACATCAGAGATAACAAATTATTTTAATTAAAAATGATAATGATAGTTACAATACTGATGATGATGATACTTACAAATTGAACTTTTTGTTAATATATTTCTCCATACAAAGAATTATGTTTATATTATTGATAAATTTACGAAATTTGAACGGATATTTATTTTCGTATATCCTCTTAAATAATTTCAATATATCAGAAATTATTCAGTATGTATCAGAATACAAATTGGCAAATAAAACTGTGCCAATTTGATAGTTTTGGTTTAAATAAAAACTATTTTTGTTTTAAAATATGTTTTTTAGACATACATATATAGTATGTATGTGGGCTTAAAAATGTATATAATCTGTAGGTTTCTTTCTCATAATTGAAACATCGGTTTGACGATAATCTGTCAGATAAAAATTGATTCGCTTCTTTACAGTGATCAACATGGAACTACATTTCATATTAATTGTATGTCGCTTATAGCGCGGTCAAGCTGCACTACTAATTACAATTAACAGGATTTATTTCAATATTCATTAAAAAAGGCATTTCACTTTCTCAATGGTATATTACGTTTTTAGAATAATTTGTGCAAATTGCAATACTTCTATTTATTTCCATAAAACAGTTTTAGCTTAAACAAGCTATTTATCGTCATCCTATCATAATGAGCAAGAATATATATAAATAAATTAAAATGCGCGGTTTGATTCGGTCTTCAAAACATAATAGAATAATAATATACTTAAAGTGAGAATAAATATAATAATTTGATATAGCAGAATTTAGTGGACAATGACTTCCCATCGAAACTGTCAACCTGTAGTTTATACTGTGAGAATGAATTGTAAGCAAATTCTGCTAATCAGTATTGCTAAGGTGCAGTATATGACCATAAGAGCTCTGATATCTCCTTAACCACATTGGAAGCATTTTGATGAAATTATATCCTTTTGATTCTGTTTGAACCTATAAATGATAAAATATTAATAAAAATAAATGTCCTTAAATTGTTTTTCTATGTCAAAAGAAAAAACGTCTCCATTTCTATTATAAGATTAGAATTAACAGATTTACTTTCCTCTTTGAGTATAACAAAGATACAGTTATCGAAAACAATATTTCTGGTTTCACCACTTTCATTAAGTATATATGAATTTCGGTAAAAAGATATATTGTTTTCTTTCAGGCGTATAGTATAATTCGCTGTTATTCCATATTATCATATGTTATATTCAGTGTCAGTAATGGAATATTGATTAGTGCATATGAATGTTTGCGCTTCACAACCCAGCAGTTCTTTAGGAGACAAATGTCACTAGGTACGCGAAGTAGTCCAAAGGAACTAGTGAAATGAGTAGTCCGTGGGGATGAGTTAAATCAGTTTTTTGTACACAATTTAATAGTGCATTCTATTATTACCAAAACAAATGAGAAAGAAAAAAAGAGTTATTAAAGTTATTTATTTTGGAACCAACCCCTGGTAATGCAACAATTCATCAGTTGAAACAAAAATCCACTGCTTAAGCTTGTTGTGTATAAACAAATTGAAAGCAATATGCTTCGTTCTCTTGTTTTTAATATTATGTCTCTTTCACAATAGAGTGTTGATTTGGCGAATATGTAAAAACATACAACAACATTAGAAATATGCTTAGGTGACTGTGAACCTATGAAGGAAGAAGATCAAGTAATTTTTTTTTTTTTTTTTTTTTTAAATTTATTTTGATTTTTATTGAATCTTCTAAAAATCAACTTAGAACTAACAATAAATTTTCGCTGCTAATTGCTGTATTAAAATATTTGAAAAAAAGAAAAATAGATAATTAATTGTCCTTAGCTTCGTCCAATTTCGTTACCATGTCGGGCGTTATTCTTGAATAGCTGGGTTTAAATAGTTTTTTTTGAGTCGCTGTGTACCAGCGCTTTGGGTAAGGTTGCTTGCAAGTGGATTTTGATGGTTCCTAAGTTTGATTTTGTACTTTTGTGTGTTGCTGGTAATTACATCTGTCACTGTGTCAATTCGAAGATCTCTATGAATATTTGCGTTTTTTATATACCAGGGGGCACCGACTATTTGCCGGAGGATTTTTGATTGAGTTCTTTGAAGTTTTTCAATGTTTGATGGAGAAGCAGAGCTCCAGAGTTCAATTCCGTAGGTCCATATGGGTTTCATCATTGTGTTGTTAAGTTGCACTTTATAGGTGAGATTAAGTTTAGAATTTTTATTTATCAGCCAGTTTAGTTCTTGTTGTTTGAGTTTAATTTGGGTTACTTTGGTTTCTATATGCTTTTTCCACGTAAGCCTTCGGTCGAGATGCATTCCTAAGTATTTTGTGTCATTGCATTGTGGTATTACTTTTCCATTAATACGAAGGGCAGGGCAGGTATCTCGTCGTAGAGTGAAGGTTATGTGTACACTTTTCGATTCGTTAACTTTTATTCTCCAGAAGAAGATCAAGTAATGTTAACATTTTTACTACTATTTTATTGCAAAAAATTTTAAAAATTTAATACAAAAATATGTGAAATAATTTATAATATCTAGAATTAATATAATTAATAACAAAACGTTATACATAAGTCATTAAAACACGCTACGATAAATACGAATGAATGTGACAAAACTCCTTATAAGTACCAAATTCAGTTAAAATAATAGCGCACAAATCAATTTTTTTTTTATTAAAGACAGCATCATCTGTAGATCATCAGTTAAATTCCTAGACGATCTGATTTAACTACAGCACAATCAGCTAAAAAGTAATTTATTAATATAAAAATATTCAATATATATATATATACATATATTAAAATAAATATATATAATAATAAATAAAATGCACATTTTATTCATTATTATCTAAATCAAGAACTATTGAAAAGACTAGTGTCGCGGTGTATGATACGGAGACAAATAACATCATTTTACCGCTTATGAACTAGTGAAAGTACTAGTAGGTGTATCGTACGGGTACAATTGGCATCGGCAATGACAACTCAATGTTAAAATTCGCCAGTTGGACCCACGTAAAGTGGATTATAAGCGACTAGTACTAGTACTATTCACTAGTTCAGAAAACTATTAAAGGTGTTAGTAAAAAATTCACTAACACTAGAGGAAATCATTGAAATTTTTCAACTTTTCTGATACTTTAAATAATTTTGAGAACGGAATTTTTCGAAAATTTTTATTATATTATAAAGAATACACTTTGTAAACAAAAAATAAATTTTCGTTCATTGAAAGGTATTCTTCGGTTTCGATGCATAGTAAAATAGATATATGCTAAGTTTGGTGTATTGATTTAGGTTTTATATATTACTGATAAAATAATTTCGACCAATAACTCAAAAAAAAACAGACCACAAATTATCAAAACTATAAATATAAATTCAAAAAAAAATATCTTTTTAAAAGCCTTTCACTGAACATGATTTTGATTTTATGTGGCATAATAAATTTGTAAATTTTTATTAAAATAGACAAAATATTTTATTTTTTTATGCTAAACGCGATAATAGTTTTCTATTCCCAAAAGCAACAGCATGCGATTATGCAAATGGGTTTAAAAGAAGCACGGAGAAAATGTGTTTGTTTAAAATAGAGTTCGGATAAGTAACGCTTCTGTGATACATATTGAATGGTCTGCTTAAAATTGAGCAAATGAAGTGTCAAAATGAAATGTCAATGTGATTCTTACTGCAGGAATTGTTATGATATATATTTATCAAAATATTTGTAACAGAAGTTTAAGTACTATAAGTAATAAAGTAAATGTATTTAATTGTTCGTATGAATTAGTGTTATCAATCACAGTTATAAAGCCACCGAATATCTTTTACTGTTTTCTAAGTAATAAGTTTTAAAAAAGTGAATAATGGAAAAAGTTCCAGGAAAACAGTACGAAACGTAAGTCAACAAAACGGTAATGCAATCCCTTATATTAAATAGCATGCCTTTGTCATAAATAGGTTTTATAACTTATTCTAATTCAATAAGTTAATTGTCATATAATAGTATTAAAAATAATAAAAGAATTGATATTAGGAATTATAATCTAATTTTTTTAATAACTACATTCTTTAACTATTTTACAGAAAAGTATGGCAAGATATAGTCGATAGTGATGACAGCGATGTTGAAAACATTGTTGATATCGAGAAACTTCCTCCATTAGAAATAGCACCAAATGATAATCGTTTGCAACACACATACTGTCTTTGGTTTTCCCGCAAAGGCCTGCAGCGCGCAACTAATTATAGTAAATCTCTGCATGTTGTTGGACGGTGCGCGAGTGTTCAGCAATGGTGGTCACTATATTCACATTTAATTCGCCCAACGGCATTAAAACCATTCCGGGAATTAAGTTTGTTTAAGCAAGGGATTAAACCGATGTGGGAAGATCCAGCTAATTCAAAGGGAGGACAGTGGGTTATTCGCTTGCCTAAAAATAAAATAGATCGTGCCTGGGAAAATGTTTGCATGGCTATGCTAGGTGAACAGTTTCTTGTAGGTGACGAAATATGTGGTATTGTTTTAATAACTAAACACCCGGTAAGTCAATTTATTTACTTTGTTGCTTTCTTTTTGAACTTTCCTTATGAAATTAAAAATATCAAAAGAATTTTTTAGGAAAAAAGTAAATAATCTCATGTATGATGTATAGGAAGGGTTAAAGTAAAAACGCAATTATTATATTGCGTTTATATATAAAGTATAAATTCATATAAACAAGCACAATAGAGATGTATAAGTCAAAATTGGTTGTTTTAGAGTTTATATGTTAAAACCGTGAATGCTTAATTATAAATAATTTTTTTTTATTTTAAAAATGTTTGCCTTTCATTATATACGACATTTGACGTGTATATATCTAAAAGTATATATATTAGAGCAGCGTGACATAGTCTTATTTAATGTGAACTATAATATGCACAACGCAGATTACAGTCCATTTCACTCATTTAGAAATATTTGCCAAGTTGTTATGGTTAATATTATATCTATATAAATCAAATGGATATATTGTAAACGTACGCAGCTGTTTTGTGAGGTGTAACAACTGGCTTTCATAGTCATATGGACTATACTAATAAGAAAATCTCTCTTTCAGTGTACCAGTGCTAGTTTTTCTCCAATTGATGTGCGCTACTCTCACTTGGCATCCCACGACCCAATTACGTAATCCTATTGAGCTATGCTTGTAATGTCTGCTTCATATTGAATTCGTTTTAAATCTTATTTGGACAACAGTTATCAATACCTAACCATATTTGCGCCTTAAAATTTAACAAATTGCCTTTCCTTTTAATGGAAAATTTAATCGACCTAGGTGTTTTCATTTCAATAGCCTAAACTTTTATCAAATTCTCACTCTCTACATCCTCAGGCCTGCCAAAGCGACATTAAAATTGCAGGAAGCTTCTTTATTCTGGGAATCGGTATCATGTAATAAGTTGATCACCCATTCATGTAATGAGATATATAGGAAGTTGTGAGAAACGGAAAGTCGAGTTGCCGTATCAGTTGTGGTAGGTAAGATTAAGGTATTAAATCCAAAATTTTCTAGTGAAAGTTTACTGTTCAACAATAATGCCTCAAATTTCAATGAAATCCAAAACGTTATGCAAACGAATTTACCAACTTTTCTCTAACTCTTGCTTTCCTGTTAAAGTTGAGTAATCCAACGTGAGAAAAGACTGTCTTGGAGTCTTAAACAAGGCTCCTCATCAATATGGTCTCAGAAAATGCGTGGAACTATCACTGTCCTTTGCAAAATTACGTCCTGAATTTCGTATAGCATTAAATAGAAGCATCCCTGTAATTGATTTCATCAAACTGTTGGGTAATGCTGGGTGTTCTCAATTATCTAATTCTATCGATATTAACACTTTCAGTTTTTTTATTATATATTACCTCATTAATTTATTAAATTTTTCTTTATATGTATATGTTTTCCTTAAGTTGTTTCAGCACTGCGTTAATATATTATGCCCTACAATGAATCTTTATTTTTCGTATTATTTTAAATTAAAGTTAAATATCTTTAATGAAAATTTATTTTATTATAATAAAAAATAATAATTAATATATTTGTTGCGTAAGCCTCAATCCAAACATAGCCCATTACCTTTCTATCTAGTATTCTGGTTTTTCTAGGTATACAGCTAATTAAATAAGCAAAATCTTATATATAGATATAGCTAGAATTATCTCTATAATTAAAGAAAAAATATTTTCTATTAATTATTACGAGAAATTTATTAATATTTTCCATTCAGAAAAATGTATTAATATTTTCCATTTGATTGCTTACTTTAATTTATATCAATTCAAAATTAAATAATCAAATCAAAAACATTTACATTTCAACGCTAATATTATCTGATTCGTTAATTATTATTCAATTTAATACCTACGGCACAACAAACAATTTTAGACAATTACAGACAAAAAACAAACCAATAACTATTTGAGCATGATAAGAATACAATAGAAAACATTTAAAAAAACTAGGGGTATTAACTCTTGCAGTCATTGCAATGTGCACGAAATGCAAGAATGCCATACTAGAATTACAAGAGTGCGAGTACCCCTCTATTAGAGAACTGCAACATCAAAATGAAACAGCTGTTTTTGCAGCATAACCCATCTCCATGAGAAGCAACAAATGTCAAAACAACTGTTTTTTCTTCTTTTTTGTTTCGTTGCAAGCATATATACATGGGTTTTGGTATAGCAAGATTGCAAGCAATAGCAAGAAACTTTTTGCGTGTATTTTGTTGTTATCCATTACCTGCATACCTCTACTGATTTACAATGTAAAAAATTTTTAATGATGAAACTGTTATACAGCAATTGTATAGAAATGTTTTTTTTTAATGGCACCTTTATTTTTTTCTGTTTTTTTTTTAAATTTGTTTGCAACTTTTGGTATTTATTGCTTCAGTTTTTAATTTTTATTTCATATATATTCTCACCTCTTATTTGATAACTGGCACTTTAGTTCTTGTTATTATTACACTTGTTATTGTTTCATGTGTTGTAAAGAGTAATATTTACTCAATGGAAATGGCTTATAGCTTGGTTGTGCATGCGCATAAAAGTTAAAATCAAAGTTAACTTATTTAATTAATTACAATTAACTTTTTTATTTAATTTAAAATTAAATTAAACTAGAATGGGATTTAAATGAAATACATTGTGTATTCTCATGAAAGGCAAGTGTAAGTGCGCATACATATGTACTTTTCTCATATGCTGCTTATATGCACCCATACTCACCACTCACAAATAAGTATTTCCGTTAGTAAGTACCAGTTTCGATGAATCAGCATCACTAGAGTGCGAATAATTTTTTAAGTAGTGTACAGTACAAGCAAAAGTACTCATCACATCATGAGTATACTCTACTAAAGGTTATGATTGTCGGATCTAGCATTTTTACAAATTTTGTACGAATTTTGCTTGAGCGTTGTTATGGGCATAAAATTTTTATTTTATTTTTTTTGTGTTATGCTTTTGGTGGTTGCTGTTTTTGGTAACCAAAGAAGATAAAGAAAAGAAACTGAGAGGAAATTTTGAATAATGGTGCCTCTTTGTGTAATATCGCAAAGAAAATCTCTTTTACTTATTTACCATACCAGAATTGTCAAATATTAAAAACGGTGTGGCTTATAACTTAAATATTTACTACATTTGTGGTTGCATATTAGCATGTAGCCATTTCTTCTAATTAGAAGAAATAGTATAAATTATTGTTTTTGGAAAATCCATTGTATATATTAATACGATTATAATGAGTAAATATAGGCATGATTTTTTATATCAGTTTTACTTCAATTTTCATAAAAGTTTTAAATGCGCTATATAAATCAAATATAAATGAAGAATTGGTAAACTAAAATCAATAGTAAATATAAAGTAGCTATTATTGATATATGTAAATATGTATATATAATTAGTCATGTAATTGTTTTAATAAAGTTAAAAAAATTGTATCGTATTTATTAAAATAAAAGTTCTTTTAGTCATGTTGCACATATACGTACTATATTTATATATATGCTGAGCATCTAATAGAAAAGTTAGTATGTGTTCATACATTTCGAGTATTAGGTTGCATTGTTTTAATATTTTGTTTTAAAAAGATTAATATTAATATAATTTTTTAAAATTCAAAAAAAGTTTGGTATATTGTAATACAATTTTTGCTTGTGCATCAAATTTTTTCAAAATAGAAAATCGTGAAAATGTATATACTGTTTACTACTACATATTTTTTGTAGTTTTAAGCAATCCTTTCAGTAAGGTGAAATGTATTTTGTATATGAAATTCAAGAAATTCTTAACTAGTTAATAACAACATTGTAAACAATAAGGATCAATTTCATCGCATAGTGTTAGAAGAAATATTAAATATATTAAATATTTTTAATGCTTTTATAATTGAAAACAAATTCCGCCTTATATTTCTTTTAGTAATGTGGTATTTGTGCACTTAATTGCAACTTTGGCGCATTTTCTTGTAACGGATTTTTAATGTCAAAAAACCAAAACAAACAACGAAATTTCTCAGAAACCTCTCTTACTTTAGCAAATATCGTGGTGAGTAGGGACCGGGTGGGCAAAGTAACAGGGTCCGGGTGGGGAAAATATTCACGCGCCATTATGTAGCATTAGGCTTTTTGTTATATTTTCACCTCATTACACAAAATTTTTGAATATTTTTTGAATAATCCAGAAAAATTTATACACAATTTTTCGAGTAACTCTCAGTTTCTTTTCTTTATCTTCTTTGTTGGTAACTATGATAACATGTTTATGCTATTAGATAAAGATATTACATATGCATTTGCTGAGAATAAATTAATGGTTATTTTAGTTCGAAATTATATATTATTTCTGAATTGGTAAATTGCAGTAGTTATATTAATTGTTATATTTATATTTATTAGCAAAAACATTTATTTCTCGAAACAGCGAATTGCATATGCACGCAAAATTTTATTTCATAATAAAACGTATATAATATATATCAAATAAAACCTGAAACCTATTGATATATTTTAAAATGTCCGTATGTGACTGGATTACTTGAGTTGCTATGACAGACCGTAACAGTTATAAAAATGTCTTTAAACATTTATACGCATTAATATTTGGTTTTTTATGAGTGTATTCTAAGATGGCAATATTATTGTATCATAAAGTTCTGTCAAATTTTTACCATCTGGGTCCGGACTATTAACAAAGCAGTGTAACAAAATGAGACGCCTAAGAAATCGTTCTCATGTCCTTATAAACACAAATTAGTTTTTATAGTTTATTTAGTTTATAATAAAGAAAAATTCAATGTTTGTCTTAATTACTTCATTAAATGATGTTGGTGATTCCGTTCTTGTCACAAATTGTTGCTAAATGTTCTCATGTATACTTGCAGTATGTGAACGAAACCAAAATCAAGTAGTGATCGAATTTGTAAGAACGAGTTGTCATTTCATACTATTCCAGTAATATCTAAAAACATCTGATTTGTATTATTAATATGAACATGACAATTTAATTACATTTTTATCGTCATGGCATCAAATTTATATGTTGAAATATATTTTAATTTAATTGAATCCAAAAGTGGAGATTATTTGAATTTAATTAACACAATAAATAAAGTATGATTTCTTACGTGATGGCCCATTAAAATTAAAATACAGACGTGTCACGGGCACGACAAAATTCGCACTTTTACACATGCCGTGCCCGAGACACTCTGCATAACATAGCACTAATATGTAATATATAAAATCTTCTCCACACATATTGTAATATAAAATAATAGGGGTATTCAGGCAACTGATCAAAAACTTCATATAAAAAAAATTTAGCATTTTGATGTTAATCAGTTACTTGAATGACCCAAAATGCGTAATCTGATTAGTTTGTTGTGTGTAAATGCCTTGGCAGTACTCGCATCAACAGCAAAAGTGAAACATACTTGTGTTTGCAAAATTGTTTACACACAATTCAAACAGCTGAGATAGACAGCTAACAAATTTCTATACTAAAGTTTATTTTAAGTACTGGTACTGGCAGCACTATTAATCAAATTTGTACTAATCTGAGAATCACCGAAATAGTTGATTCTCTGCTTAGTTTCATTTTTGTGTGCAAATTTTTGTTGTAATCAACAACTAAGCAACTAATCAGTTGCCTGAATACCCCTAATGTTTATATAAATAAAATAATTAACACATATTTCACATATTTATATTTGATAGATAAATAAAACTAATCTGTTGTCATAATTAAGATTGTAGTTAATAAAAAAATACATATTCAATTTTAAAAATAATATTTCTTTATTCAAAGAAATATGCCAATAGGTATAAAAAAATATGATTTACTTGTCTTGTAAGCGATCTCGTAATTTATGCGTAAACTGGTTTTTTCAAATAGGAAATACGATTTTATTGTCATTTTTAATTTTTAATATGATTTTTCTTAAAAACTACGGGAAAGATCTAATAGCTTTAAGTTAGATTGATGAATAAACAAAAGACATGACAGATGAATTTACACCATGCTTGCAAGCATGTTTGCGAATGAAAACGGTATAATATTGATACAGTGCATATCAAAAATTGTGTATTACTTTGTGTTTTATGTGTAATATATGTATAGGAAGCAAATAAATGTTTTTTATGTGAAGTGGCAACATTTGTCAGATATCAGACTTATCAATTTTAAGTAATCTTGTTACTATGATTTTAAATTGATCAAATTAAAGTAATAATTAAATATGGAATATAAATATTTTTGTTCGTAAATATATTATTGAATTAGATGTGACTTTCGCCCAACAGTCTAACAATCTTTATACTTTATGTAATAGTAAATATACATTACGCAGACTCTATCTTCGCATGCGAGAGCAAATAAAAATGGATTTTTATGAGTTTTACTCATTCAAACATTTCAATCTTGCTAAACAAATAGCATTCGAATGTTAAAATCGATTTTTAGCTTAATGTAAAAGTTTAAAAACTCAATTTAACAAATTAAAGTGCATTAAAACTCATGTAAATTACTATTATTAAATGTAACAAATAAGAAATAAGCGTATTACTATATAAAGAAAAGTTTGTTAAAATTTTAAACAGATTTGTTTTCTCGCCTTTTTAATATTAAAGTGAACAATTTAAATATTTTAAGTTAGAACATTATAAATGTCTGTGTAAATTAAGTGTTAATTGAAGTAAATACAAATAATATATGGGCGCTATTGGTGAACAATTGTCATACAAAATTATATGTGACGAAATTTATATAAATATAAATTATAAAAAAATAATTGTAAACTATGAGTCACCAATTTTTCGGTTTCACAAAATAAACATTACGCATAGAAAATATTAGCAGTTAAAAAAAAAATGCAGACATAGGTGTGTGATTTTGTTATGCATGAGCTAAAAGTCAAACTATTCTCAAAATTGTATGCCTAATTTGTGTTTAAAGTAAAATGTTTAAATCAATAAATATATTCAAATTGACATTTTTAAAATTGTAGAAATCATTGCGAAAAAAAACTTAAATATCCTTCGCAATCCCACATGTTTTTAACAAATAAATTTAACAATTGCAAGCAACTATATACCTTAAACTTTAATTACCATATGTAAATACATATTAATATGTATTTAAATAGTATTAATATATATTATTAATACTAGTATTAAACACATGTATTCATATATATATATATAAATACATATATGTGCATATATATTTTTATATATATATATATATATACATAAATTTATAAACTATAATTTTAATTATTTCAACTTACAGTTTCGATCGAACGGGTATTGAAAAGTTAATACTAAACAATAATAATTAAAAAAAATTTAATATCTGTGTAGTCATAGTCGTTCTATCATGACAAAGGATAGATTAGCTGCCCTTCACGCTGCGCAGTCAGACGATGAAGAGGCGGAAGATGTTGCTGTTAATGTTGATGGGCACGATTCCTATATGGATGATTTTTTTGCTCAAGTTGAAGAAATAAGAGGCATGATTGACAAAGTTCAAGATAATGTTGAAGAAGTAAAAAAAAAACATTCCGCCATTTTGTCCGCTCCGCAGTCTGATGAAAAGACAAAACAGGAACTTGAAGATTTAATGGCTGACATTAAAAAAAATGCAAATCGTGTCCGTGGTAAACTTAAAGGTATTGAACAAAATATTGAACAAGAGGAACAGCAAAACAAATCTTCTGCCGATTTACGTATACGTAAAACTCAACATTCCACACTTTCACGAAAATTTGTTGAAGTGATGACCGAGTATAATCGTACGCAAACGGATTATAGAGAACGTTGCAAGGGAAGAATACAACGACAATTAGAAATTACCGGACGTGCAACAACTAATGAAGAATTGGAAGATATGTTAGAACAAGGTAATCCAGCTGTTTTTACTCAAGGCATCATAATGGAAACTCAGCAAGCAAAACAAACTCTTGCCGATATTGAAGCAAGACATGCAGATATAATGAAATTGGAAACTTCAATTAAGGAGTTACACGATATGTTTATGGATATGGCAATGTTAGTAGAATCTCAAGGAGAAATGATCGATCGCATAGAGTATCATGTTGAGCATGCAATGGATTATGTACAAACTGCCACACAAGACACGAAGAAAGCGCTTAAATATCAAAGCAAAGCTCGACGAAAGAAAATTATGATTTTAATATGCTTGACAGTTTTGGGTATCATAGTCGCTGCATATGTTAGCAGTTATTTTATGTAAATGCAATTACTTACCATTTCATTATCAATCTCTTAATGTTATTGTTAAACTTTTGAATAATCACTTATAACTTAATATTTATATATCAGCAATTATCAATGAAAATGTTGTTTATATTATAGAAAAGTAAGTTTTAGGAGACAAATTAGACAATTAACAACTCATATTATTAAAAATGTATTAATTAAAATAATGAACTTACATAAAATATATAAGTTAAAAAGTTATAACTACAATATGCAATATGACTGTTCTTGTATCTATTCCCCTTTTATTACTGTTAAACATATAAATGCCATTGCTTTACTCTATACTAATTCAACTAACTAATTAAAATTTCATTATAAATTTATAATTCGATGTGATTATAATCACTAATCTATATAATTCAGAAAGAGATTACATTGTAAAAATTCAAGAATGTTTCATTTTCTATCCATATTTTCTTTTCTTTCTTTCTTTCAAGAAGTCAATTATTTCTGTATTTAAGCACTAAATTTCATTTATATAATTTTTAATTGAAGTAGAGTTGTTCGTAAATTAATAAAAGTATTGGTTGTATTAGAAAATAGTTATTTATTTTATAAAAAATTGACAGACCAAAATAATTTAAATTATTTTTGCATAGGAATTTGCTTCAAGCATATATGTTTCGTTGATATATTTTTTTTTACTTTTTGTTCCTTCATTATTTTGCTTATTATATATTAATTTATAAGTGAGTAAATATTACAAATATAATATTACTGGCATTTTTATAAAAATAAATATTTGAATATCAATAAGTATATATAATAAATATTTATTTAAAAAAATTGCTATTAATATTGTTTAGAAAATATAATAAAATTTCTTGTTTTATAGTCCATTTGTACCTACATTCATTTTTGTTTCATTTAGAAGTTATTATTTTTTATAAAACTTTCTTAATTTTTTTCCGTTTTATGTATTGCTTGGATTACTTACTGCATGATGTCTTATAATTTTATATCGAACTAACAAAAAATGGTGCTCATTGCGTAATTATAACAATTTCTATAAAATAATATATTAAATAAAACAAAAAACCGAAAGAATGAAAAAATAATAAGCTACAAAAATATATATATAAATTCAGTTGCTGCTTTGCGGCTTATAAAAAAAATTGCTTAAAAAATATATTGTTGAAATGTTATTTTATGTATGAATATTGCTTTGTTAACCGTAAAATTGCTTTCAAATACCTAAAAAATATAATTTTAATTTGTACCATTAAATTTGGTCACTATATAAAAATCCTCTAAATATCACTAACCAACAAATAAAATCATCGCCTTTCAACAAATGCAATAATATAAAATTCATCAAAAATTAATTGTAAAATCAATGGATAATTTTTGATGTCTTCTATCTACGCTACAATGTAAAAAATATTGTACAAAGTCCTAAAAGTTTTTGTGTACATTTCAATAAACATCGCGCGTTTTTTCTAATAACAGAAAAAAAATTCAAGGAACAATTAAAAAAATTTGAGGTAAGTAATATTATTATTTTAAATAATTTTTTGTTTTATATTTACACTAAGTGCAAACAACACAATTACATTTTATTACTTCAAACTATAACAGTTATTTTAAAATAAAAACTGTGATATATTATATATATTATTTTTTACTCCACACTAAAACATAATCTTTTCTCGCCTAGTAATTCTCATCTCACAACAATTAGACGTATAGTTACTATTTTCTTTTTTTTTTTGTTTTGATTGTTTATATTAGTTAAGATTCACAAGCTTAAAATTGCTTGATTAAATGACTCATTACTTTAGTGATTAATAAACTTGCAATAAAAATTACTCATTTCCCGGGGGTGGACACAAAATAATTTCATATTTAAAACTGATAATATTCAAAAATATTTTTCACGTTCTTGTGTATGGAGATATGGTAAAAAATAAATAGAAAGTAATCTTTAATTTTTTGTTTAGATAACTTAAAATCACAAAAAAATTTAAAATGCTCACTAATAAACTCTAACCCATTTTTAAAAATTAGTATCCCGCACTGGGTGTGATTTATTTTAAAACAGCGATAAAAAAAAATGATCCTGAAAATGAAATTTCGCTGTTTTTGCATTTTTTTATTTATTGTGTTAAATGTACCCAGTGGTTGAGTAAAAGTACTTTATTTTTGTCTATAACTCGACACTAAGAATGACATCTTTGAGATTTAAAATTAAATTTTTTAAATTTCTTTTAATTTATATTGAGGATAGTTGAGTCAGTGCACTTGAGCACTTTTAATGTATTAACTGCGAGGTTTTTTCATAACCTCTCTGTACGCCTTAACTGGATTATTGTTTATTACTTCATCAGACTAAGAAAAACTGACCTCTGATCTACATACCTTCCCGAGGAATAGAAGTAGTGTTTTATTGCTAACCGATCATTGCATATACAATTGTAAAAGCATTTACTAACATACACCACAACAATAGGCGAATATGTTTTTTTACGCTTTTACAACAATTAAAAAATCACCCTGATTATTGTAAAATATAATGGTTGGGGTCTTATCAACAAATTGTTAAAATAAATTTCCTACAGTAAACTTCGAGAAACGGACTCTTCTTCCGCCACACAACGCGATATATTTATATTGCATTTAAGCTTAGCGTAACTACATGTTGCTTTTTTGACTTTTAGACCATAGCACCTAATGAATGAACCAGATTAAGATTTCGGGTCTATAGCATCAGATCACCAGACAGTAACTGTAAAATATTCTCAATTTTCATGATCAAATTCAGATTTGATGGTACCCTTTAAGATATCACAGAACATGCTTAGTTGCTAATATGAGCGATGAATTAAGGCAATTACACTACAAATGCGTTATGTAAGCGACAGTAAGGTACATTAACACTATTATTAAATTCTGATTATAATTCTCAATAACTATAATTATTTTTATATTTTTTTATTTTCTTGGTTTTTATTCCCAAATAATGTTTCACTGGTTCGCGATTAAAACTTTAAAATAATATTTTAAAGCCTAAGTTATATGTAGATTCAGGGTAATTTTCATTTTCAACTTTCTTGATGTAGGACATAATTACCGATTTATCAATCCCATTTAATTGTTAAAATCCCATTTCGTTTAAAATGCATGGAAGCTCACCCTAGTTTTTCTGTATGTGCGTCGAATCAGATGTTTTTTTACGTAGTATATTGTAGCTTTAGTCAGTTACAGATCATTCTACACTTTTTTGTTTATCATTTACTTGATCTGTCTAACTCCAATAGTTTAGTGTGCTGAGAAATAGTGCCTTTTCGCAATAATACTTTTTAATAATGAATAAAAGAAAATGTTTTCTAGATTCAGAAACCATTTAATAATTTTGTTCGAACATCCTGAAGGACTGTCAATTCATTAACTTCACTTATATTTGTGGAAGAAGTGGAGAGTTCATAACGTCCAAATATATTAAATTATGACCTTATGAATAGATGACCTTTAAGATGGTATTAAATGAAATCATGAGCCTGCTGAAGTGAAACATCTTATATCCTTTTTTGGTAAAAACGAATTTATCTAGACATTTTGCATAGTGCACCGAAGATTTTGAACGACCCTTTCCGAATTAGACAACTAACAACACGCAATACCTAAGACCTTCACGCTTATATTCAAATCTTTATATAATAACATATTTTGCAAATATGATTGAACGAAACGCTCATAGTCAGAGTAAAAAATAGCCTTTTATATACTTTTATTTTGATATTTTTGTTGGTGACACCAGTTTAATTACATAATGCAGCTCATAGTCCCTTTACACTTGATCAAATTCGCATGTAACTTGCACTGCGTATTTATTTTTAAAAATAAAAATTGTGTTACTGCACGATATTCATATTCCTTTAAGACAATATTTGTCTTTATTTTCCCAAGCAGCAAGTCAGCCAATGTAAAACAATTATTAAAAATAATTTTGTCACTAACGACAGATGTCCTTCACATTTTAATAGAAGAGAGTTATTCAGTTATATTAAACTACTGAGTAATTAAAGAAGTATTCGCGATTCTGTCATTAGATGGTATTAGTACCCATATATTTGGGAACACTAATCTGCTGTGTAATTCGTTATTCGGCAACTAACAATGCCTTCCAAACACAGTGGTGTCTAGTTACTGGAAATATTCATCAAACTTTATAATTAGCACTACAGATCACATAAATAATGGAATAATTTATCCAGATATAATAGGATAAGTAACTCAAAAATTAACCAAGCCATATAAATAGATATATATATTAATGAATATTATATAAATCAGTAAAATAAAATAAGTGAATAAATTTGATAAAATTAATAGATAAATGAAAATAATATATAATTAAATAAGCATATAAATAAATATATTCTTAATTAAATAAAAAAATATATAAATATATAATATATAAAAATAAGCCAAACATTTGACTGCCCACTTCCTTTCTTGTTTTTCCATATTATAGAAATAGTGGAAATATCAATAGATATTTGAAGGCTGTACATACATGTATGTCCTCTTAGGGTTACCACTGACGCATCTCACCTAAAAACCACCGTAGGTTCTTCAGTGTGGCTCAATAAAAACATATATAAAAATCTGTAATTCAGTCTTTAAAATAATAAATAATAGAGAATACTACATAAGAATAAGTAATAAATAATAGTTTAAAGAAAAAGTAAGAAAATAAAAGTAATGGATGAAGTAACAAACAGAAAAGACAAAAAATAATAACAATAAAATAAAAAAAAAACAACGAATAATAGCAAAATAAAATATGATAAAGTAATAAGTAAATAAAAATGGATAAGGAAATAAGTATTAGACAATGAAATATAATAAAAATAAAAATAAAACTAATCGAGACATAAAATTGGTACTTAACATCAGTGGTGTCGTTTTTCCAAGGCCACTTTTACATACTAAAATACTTCACCATTGCGATAACGTACATGAATCATGCATATTGCAGTCTGTGGGTGGAGAAGGACTCCGTTTACAATACTTATGTGAAATTATAATATATGCTAGTACTATTTTAATAAAAATAGTATATAACAAATAATTTTTGTACATCATAGATTTCTACGAAGCATGATTCATAGCCCCTCCCCCTCGCATATATAAGTCATATATGCATGGGCATTGATTTAAAACCATGAAAATGGTTATGGAACTACGAATTTAACAAAACTCCAGTTAGCTCGATGACTGGAGGTTTGTACACCAAATAATAAATGATTGAATTAAATTAAATTCTTTGGTACCAAAAGTCCCTGTCAATTTTATAGATCGAATTTATTGTATACATACATCTAAATTTGATTAAATATTTCTCATTAATTCGTATTTAAATAATTCTAAAAAGCCTCAAAACAAAAGCTTTCTAAGAGAATTTAACTCACATTTTATAATTAATAAGCGGATTAATGAGCTTAATAACAAAGTAACAATGCGAAGTGGAAAGTTTTACTTGATATGTGTTTTCCGGAGTCGCGTAGCAAGGAATGTATCAAAGGTAGTTGATTTACTGGGGAATATTTTTGTCTCGTAGAAGAGTTGTCTCGTAGATAGTAAAATAAATTATACTAATAGTCAAGGCAATATCTTATAAAATCTTACAATAAGTTGCTGTAGGCCACTCTAGAACGTAAAGTTGAAAAATAATTTATTTGATATTTGTCTGTTCTTTTATTAACAAACATATTTTTAATATTTAATAAATGTATATACAGATATATATATAATATTAAGTTATATAAATATCTTATATAACTTAATATATTATAAGTTATATAAATATCTTATATAACTTAATATATTATAAGTTATATATGAGTTATATGGAGGCTTTCGACTCAGTGATAAGTTAATTATAGAAATTTATAAAAATCTCTAATATGTACTAAACATGTACAGTTGTATAGGATATCATTAACGTTTATAATCCTCACGTAACTTGTAAATAGGTAGTTCAGAACCAGATAGTAAATGTAGGTATGTTCAATTGTAATTCAAGCGAAGATGCCACTTAACAATATAATATATATTTCCCTTTTTTTATATATATTTTCACACATTTCATTATCCATATGCATATATTTTCATTGATTGTTTGCACAAACTAAAATATAAAAAATATTTTTTTTAATTTTAGCTTATATTTATTTGTCTTTTTTCATTTTTAAGATGCAATTTTTTTTTAAATATCCGAAGGAACTTGGATGGACTCACCAAAGTTAGCAATTTATCGAAAATGACGCAGAGAAAATCAAAATAATTGTCCAGTGTATACACATTTTTTTTCAATTTTATTAATTATATTTAATTAGCATTTAGAATATAATCAAATTGTTTTCTTTTAATTCAGGATATATATATATATCCTTTTGTGTGAAAAATAATAAACACATTTGAAATATTAAAATACCATTATATCATATTTAGTATGGTTCGCAATTGCTATAAAATATTTAACACTGTTAATATATATGTCATGTAAAAATAAATAAAATCAAACGCATTACACATTTCGAAGCAAAACAAAAATTCAAAAATTAAGTTTGTTTAAATAGAAATTTACAATTATAGTAGTGGGTTAAAATACTAAATTGCATTTGAAATATTTATATAAAAATTACATATAAATATCTAATAAATAGTCGAAAACTAATCTTATATAAATTTTCATATTGTATTTTAATATTTCATCTTTTTGTATAAATTTACTTAGTAGTTATGAAACCTATTGCTTCACTCTGCAGTATAATATATAATATATACATTTAATAATTTATTTAAACTTTAATATTTATAAAACTCCAAAATCAGAATAGTGATGTCATACTGCTTTTATTTTGTCAAATATCGCAGCGGCAGAATACACACAAGCGTGCATTTAGAAAACTGCAGTCGTCATATTGTAACCGACAAAAGTTAACTAATAAAAATTATGTATTATTATATGTATTGCGTTTTTTAAAATAATTGTATATGAAAAGTATCACAAAAGTCGATGTTATTGATTATTCAACTTTTAGCAAAAAAAACCCATCTACTTTACTAAAAATAATACAGTCAAACTTCCATAACTCGAAGTACCATTCTGCAAAGAAAAGGTTCGACTTATGGAGACTATGGAGTCTTTATTAATGTTATTCAAGATACCTAAAGGAATGTCGTCCTGTTCGTCCCATGTAGAAAACTGGCCAAATCCAGCTTTTTTAAAGCAGTGCGCTATTGTTTGACTACTTACATCAATATATCAAGTTTTTGTTACATGATTTATGCAATCCATAAGTGTAATATCCTACTTTTTGTTTGCTTCTATACGCTTTAGTGCCTCTTTTACGATTCTGTTGTGATAGTTAAACTCCCTGATGAAGCGGTTGCAATTTAGAGGTCATATTCGGCGGAAAAATACCAATTCTACACATTTGCACAAAGAAGCAATATAAGAAAGAAAAAATTAAACATTTGGTTTGGAAAAAGGGACTTCCCCGAACACCAAAATGGATTCATACTTAAAACAAAAAAATGTCGAATGCACTATCCCGTATTTCTATTAGCACGTGTCAATATTTTTAATCGAGTTATGGAGGAATTCGAGTTATAAAAGTTTGACTGTATTTGATTTATTTGAAACAATTATTGCAAATCTTTCAAAGCTGATGACAAATACTGTATCGCACTGAGAAACTATAAAACTCGGTTTCATTATAATTCAAAAACTATAAACCTGAGACCATTATAGAAAGTACTGTGTTACAACGTCAGCTCACATGTTGTTTCTTAGATTTTACATATTGTTAGCTTACATTAAATGAATTACAATTTCCCACATAACACTTGCGACGGATCTCAGTACAGATTATTGCAATACGTAAGAGAAGTGTATATACAATTAAATATATACTCGTGTACTTCGAGTATTAAATACAAATCCTTTCTTCATTTTTCAGATGTGTGTATGCTTTAGCTGCGAAAGCAGTGTGCACTGAAAAGGGTAGTAAAACGCAATGTACTGGTTGGTATCAGGACATGAAGTTTGTTGTACATTTCTTAATATAGCTTTTAAAATTTACTTAAAATTTAAAATTTATATAATATTTCTAATACTTATTATTATTATTCTACAACGTCAAAGTATTATATAATGTTATTTCTGTAAAATAAATTATCAACAAACTTAAAATTTTATTATTTACTCTAAATTAAAATATTAGCTGCCAGTGCTATCGGTTATCGATAATATATAGAAATTTTACTTTATGTGATTCAAATTTATATTTAAAAAATTATATATATATATAGTTCTTTAAAAAAATATTTTTTAAAATATAGTTAAATCAGAAAAATCAAAAACATAAAAAAAATTAAGTAGAAATAATTTTATTATTTTTTATAGAAATACAAAAAAAAAATAAATATAAAAGGCACAAAGCGAATCATTCCTTGGCTAATATTGTCTTAAGAGCCATTTAACATTTTGCACATATAAGAATAAAGTAGTTTAAAAATAATTATACGTTACAAATTTATAGTGATATATATATATATATATATTTATATATGTATATATAATATATAATCTATATACATATATAAATATATATATATCAAATATGCAATTTAATAAAGAATATATATGATGAAATAATAAATGTATACACTAATAAATATATGCAATTTTCAGCTTACAATACTTTTTTAGTTAATAAAATTTTTAATTTCAAATAAATTTAATAAAATTGAAACTTTGTTACTTATATATAACTTCCTTGATACATCTTCCATTCAAAAATAAAATGCACTATTCAGTACAATATGACCGTTGTTTTATATAGTCTCTTCACACGATATGAGTTAATCTTCATTAACTGCTGCCCTGAATTATTTAGTGTTGTTCATATGTTTATTATTTTCAAATCTATTTATCAAAAATAGGTTTTAGGAAATGATTTTTATTTTTCTTCTTTATATTTCTTCGCGATTACGCAGATCTGTGCAGAAAATTCTCTTACGCTCGATTTTCTACAACAAAAATAACTACTTTGTTCTTATATTACATTATTATATGTTTTTATTTTCGCTTGCTTCTCTCAAATAGTTGTATGCCGATTATATCTATAATAAATTCATGAGAATGTTTATTTAATTATAATTCCAGGACAACAATTAACTTTTGCTATGTGAATTGGCTATAATTTAGTTGTTACCATCTAAAGAATTCAGAGGGCAATTAATTAAAGAGAGGCACACACTAAAAAACTATAAATTCTGAGTTTGGTTTTTCTTGTACTTCAACATTAAAATAAAATTTTTAAACTGCTTTATTCTACTACTTATTTATAATATTATTATATCCCCAGTCTCTAAGTGCGAAACAATTATAAAATTTTAATTTAACATTTAAACTTCTTTGAGTAATATAAAAAATAAAGATTTATAGCGTTTATTGAAAATAAACTTTTTCTTAACTGTAAACTGTTTCTAAAATGATAAAACGAAATCACTCGATTTTCTATCTAATTCTGACTTGAACTACAAAAAGAGATTACTAAGAAAGAGATTTCTAATGTGATATAAATTGATTTTAGCTAGCCTGTTATAATATGTATATGTATTTATAATACATTATTTATTATAATTTTCCATAAATTCGGTAGTTTTATATAATAATAAACCCTATATAAGCAGTTCGATTATATTAATGATTATATAAACTTTCTATGTGGTGAAAAAAAATAAAAAAGATATTTTTAAAATAAAATAAATTAGCTGCTAAATTCTGTTCAACATATGTGTGCAAATTTTTAAATTACATATTATATACTATAATCCTTTTTTAAAGCGACAAACATTAATTATATTATATTATATTATATTATATTATATTATATTATATTATATTATATTATATTATATTATATTATATTATATTATATTATATTATATTATATTATATTATATATTATATTATTATTATATTATATTATATTATATTATATTATATTATATTATATTATATTATATTATATTATATTATAATTATATTATAATTATATTATATTATATTATAATTATATTATAATTATAATATATTATATTATATTATATTATATTGATTTTCGCTCTTTCAGGCTGGATTTCATAGTTTGTTGCTTAGATTGTCTCTATATAGTTTTTAAATTTTAGGTTATATGAGTTTCAATAACTAACATATTCGTGTTGAAAAGATGTCGCCTTTTTAAGCTCGTCTATCATTGATGAGCTTTAACTTAAATTTGTGTAACCAAGCCCTGTAAAACTGGATTGTACATTAATATAAATTAATAATATTTATTGCAAAATAATTAAACTAGTTCTTAAAATTTTGAAATTTAGAACGAAATTAATAATATACTCAAAATATTAATACTAAAAATTTTGTTTTTAATAGAAATAAAAAAAAATAATTAATCATATACAAATATTAATCTAAAGATATTCAATTATATAACTTTATTTAATTTATTTTATTAGTAAATTTCAAAAAAAAATTGTTTTTATATTATTTAAATAAACTTTTGCAACAAAATTACATTGTTATATTTAAATAAAATCAAATAGTTATTGTAATATTTAAAAAAACAGTACTTACTGTATTAAATTTCTCAAAATAATTGTTACAATTAAATTAATAAAGAGATATTGGCTATATATATAGCTTGATAAATAAAAAATGAATTCTTAATTATTTATAGTTGTTTTTGTGTAATAGGAGTTCACATATTTACACACAAGAACATATTCACCTTTATTTAAAAAAATATTATATTGCATTACTTTTGTTATTTTTTTTTTTTTTGCAATTTCTCATCCTGGTAAGAAACCGGATACATCATACATGTACTGCTACATAATTGTATATTCTTAAGTGAAAGTTCAGCAATAATTAAAATTTAATTATAAATACTTTTGTGTATTATTTTTAATTTTAGTTTATTAATAACTTTTAGGAAGATAGTTTATCAGTTTGGAACCGTTCAGCTTCGGATCACTCTAGCACAACTCGTATTCGTGATACTTTGAGAAGAATATTGAATATACCTCTTACAACTGCAATGGAATATAAGATACACTGTGAAAGTCTTAAATATGTAGCAATGTAAGAATACTAATTTATTTATTTTTAAATTCATTTTAAAATTCATTTAATTTTTTTATTACATCAGAAATTATTAAATATATATAATTTTTAAATAACATAACTAATTATTAAATTTCACTAATTGAATAAAAAAATTTAATTTTTTAGAAAAGGCCCATTGAAGAGCTGAAAAGTAATGAAAGGAAAAGTGGAATAATTTCTTAACTCAAAACAATTACAATAATTACAAGCAGCATTGAAAATTAACAAAAAATAAAAAAAATTCGTGAAGCAAATTCTGTTTGTTTTATTTATGAATTATTATATTGATCTATTTAAAATTTAAAATTAAATTTTCAAATAACAGTAATAAGTGTATAAAACTAGACTTTATTTAAATTTTTCTTACACTGGAAAACTCGTTTCACAGAAACCCCCATCACAAGGAGAGCAGTTATCTTAAAACGTGCCCAATGGGAAATCGACGTGATATGTTACCTTTCATCTCTAAAACTAAGCTAACTTAATCTTGGTTGTATACGTTCAAGTTGTTTTTACCGATATTTAAAGTGAGGATTTTCAAAAAATATTAATTCGTAAGCGTGGTGTTTTCGTTTAAATTTTTCTCTAAGATTCATGACATGTCAATTGAACTACAATTTAATGGGTTTAATTTACGCGAGAACTATACAACAACAATATAAATGTTTTCATTTTGAGCGGAATCTAAATAAATTTACAAAACTTAATTTATTACACAATCAATCAAAAATGAACAGAATCATAATGACTCCAGCTTTTTTTACCGGGTATTTAATTACATTCACAAAGATTTATCACTGTTCTCAGTATTGTAGACACCTTGTTCTGTTAAGTATTACTTGTGTTTAAATTTAATTAAATATACAGTCAAACCTCTCTATAGCGAACCTATAGAGTGTATTCAAAACGAAGTTTTGTTGAAGACACAGCGATTTTCATATATTTCAATCTCTCTATAGCGAATCTCTCTATAACGAACCTCTATAGCGAATTCCTCTCTATAACGAAGATTTTTGTAGTCACCAATGATTTCGTTATAGAGAGGTTTGACTGTATTTCTAGTTTGGCTAGCGATTGTAGCTCATGATAGCGTCCTTAAATTTGATTGACTATTTATTTCAAAAGTAGGTTTTGGAATCGTCCCTTTTTTTTATGTGATGGTTTTATACGTGAATCGCAAGAAATGATATTTTTGGAACTATATCGCTAAAATGCGATCCACAGTAAAATATTAGTCCAAAAACGTAGAGATAGTGAAATATACCAAAACGACTAAAATAAAAGGGGTAATAAATCAAAAATACTTCAAATAAAAATAATTGTGAAGATATGTTTTTTATATACAAATATATGTGAATATTATGGGTTACAGTTACAGGTGCCTACAGTAGTCGTAATATGATGAACTGAACTATTACTATAAGTAATAGTTTATTTTTTTATATTTAATTACAGTTTACGTAATGCCTGGCTGTTGACTTTCTCTACTATTTGTCTATCCTATTTGGTTGTCACCGAGTATCGAGTTAAATTGTTGCATACCGCAATATTTACAAATCTCTTTCCACGTCATTAATTCATTTTCTTTTAAAATGTCTAGATTGTTTTTTAGCTAATAAAGAAGACCTGACAATTAATTAAGTTACAACTAGATGTGTGCAAATTGATACCATATAATGTAGCTAATTTCAATAGTAAGCTAAATATACTTAATTTTTTTATACATATTAATAAATTTGATATATTTTTTCTCTTTGAGACTCCTTGTTAATCAAATAGAAGAGAACTATTTATAAGGTTTTTTAATAAATACAATATATTCTTTAAGACGCAACCAAAGTACACAACGGAGGACGTTCTGGTGACACAAGAAAATCTTGTGTTTGGAAATATTAGGCAGAATACAAAAATATTTCTAAACGCATTGCAATATACCTAAAATATCCTCACTTTTCAATATCCATACTTCCTCGTAATCCCAGAGTATCCCAGAGTTTGAAAAAATGAATCACTTTTATTGGAAGAAAATTTAACATACTTCGTTATTGTGGGTAAAATTAACACTGATAATAGTACTCAACTGCTATTGAGTACTGAATGTTTTCATTTAACCAATTACAATACATATATAGCTTCATTGTTTTCTCAAAACCGTTTTCTGATCAGACCGATCATTCGGTTTCCTTCTGCTTACAAACAAACATATAATACCCATGCAAATCTACATTAGTGATTACCCTCCGCAATAGATTTTTATCTGGACTCACCGTTTGATATGTATGTACTATAACTTATATTAAGAGACGCTTAAAACAATAAAGCACCTGGTCCATAACGCAGCTCTTATGAGTTCTATTTGAACGCTCCAGGATCATTTTATAAAATACTATTATCATCTGACAATATTTTTTTACAAAACGACGTATCAAAACGCAACCAAAACGATGCGTTTACATAACTTATCATCCAACTAGGAGGGATTAATGTGTAGTTAAACTGCAAAATCATAATTTCACAGTTCCAAACCGGCTTTAAATCGGGTTACTTTATGATAACATTTTCCATTTGTGCAGGATCATTAACAATAAATTTAGGTTAACAGTAGGAATGGGAATGATTGTAGATTTCTCAAGCGCATTCAATTGATCTGTCTACGAGAACCGTAGAAGCCCTTATAAACTTATATAAAGATAATTCCGCTCTAATTTTTGATGATACACTGCTATCAAACTCCAACAATCCAAGGCGTGAAATAAGGCTATTTATTGAGCTCCATTTTTATATTTATTTTTATACAATTTACTTGATTATATTAAAGTTAGGATAACAACGGGAAATAAAAATTTGCTGAAGTATGCGGATGACTTAGTGTTACTATTGGAATCGAACAATGGGGATTTAGAATCAATTTAGGGTGTTTAGAAAATCACCAACGATAGCAAATTAATAGTGGTTTTTTAACGATGAATGAATAGAAACCAGTGATGAAGCTAGACCCATTCTGGACGTCAACGACAACTTAATTGCGAGGCTCCTTTCATTACCAAGTTATAAAAGTAAAAAATTTACATTCCTGTATTAACATTTAGGATTCAGAAAATTGTCAAATTACCACTACTTACACTCGTCCAAGTGAGATTCCCGACGAGCTCTAAATGGCAATGAATGTTGCGCCTAATAAAACATTCACTGTTGCGCCTAACAATGAATATTTCCATTGTTAAAAGACTTTCTTATTCACGCAATAAGTGACAAAATCCATTTTGCTCTGGTAAGTGTAGTTAAGGTTTTAAGAAAAATATGTATATAATAATATCATATATATAATATATATATACTACAAGAAAGATTTAACAACATATACACGACATTGGTTAAAGTAGATATATATATATTTTGAAATACTGTATGAAAGTCTTAGACATCTACTTTCTTGTATTCAGAAAAGATATTCGACCTAGATAATCAATGTAGGGTAAGACCCACAGTCTTATAAATAAAAGTGTATTGTAGATAAAAATATAGTGTCCTATGTGGACGTTTTTTGCTGTGTGTCACTGTGTGCGGAATAATTCTTTTATACATCACACTCAATTTGATTCAATTTGACCACCTTTCAATCGTAGAGGATAAGATAGACCACAATCTACAATTTTGGGAAAAGTAATTGTTTATACGTTTTTCTATGATAGAAGGTAAGATTTAGCAATAGAAAAATAATATAGAAACACTTTTTGTAGATGATACATTTCATTATTCAGAGTCTGTGGTATCAGCCCGTTCCATCACCATTAGTTTTGCCTGCTTTCTACTGCTTATTTTAAAAATGGCAAAGTAAATACAATTTTTGGTTATTCAGTTTATGCAAAATTTTCCATATGCATTATATTATATTTGTATTAATATCAAAACATATTTAATATAATATACAAACAATAATTATATTTCTTAATACAATTATATGATATATAAAATGCGTGGATGTGTTCTATACTCTTTCCGAAAATATCATAAATTCGGGAAATTCAATATAAACCAAAATATAGTTTAAAAGCAGTCATAAAATCAATTTTTTTAAATATTACTTCCATAGGAAGCTTAAATTCTATATTAATTTTTAAATAGTACCTGCCTAATTATCTTTGCAAGATTTTCTGTGGATTAAGTTTATATTTTTTTTATCATTTTGTTGTAAATAATTTTAAAATAATATAAATTAAACACTGGCGTTTTCATATTTAATAGTTTAATAGTAATATGTTTATTAACAAATTAACTTTTTTATAATATTGAAACTTGACTGAATAATACGATATTTTACTTAGCATATCTTGATTAATATTGAAAATTAGCTCTTCCATAACATTTTTCTCCATTTCTTAGACTATTTTTGAATTTATGATATTTTGAAAGTGAACACTTAGTATTTGTGTATTATTGTATAATTGTGTATAATTAACACAATAATGTACTATATATTAATATTTAATTTTACTTTGGACAATTACTATAAAACTAAAGCTTTTATATATCATTTATGAATAACCTATTTGTCATCAAATTTTGTTAAATCGAAAATGTAAACATTTGATATTAAACAGTCACCTTCCTAAAATAAAAATTTTTTGGTTATTAATTTATAAATCGTAAAAAAGACTTACAGCCGGTGTTATCCCTACTAAACAATCGGCGTGACCATAAAACTCCTCTTTTAGAGATATTACAATCGTCTGCAAATTTGTTGTGTGGTCGCGGATATATGAAGCAACTTTTCCAATATTTGTATTGTCAAGAGCGGCATCAATTTCATCTAGCACAAAAAAAGGTGCTGGTTGATAACTATAGATTTGAACAATTTAGTAATGGGTAATACATATTTCTTTATACGGTCTTACTTATGAATAGAAAATAGTAACGCCAAAGCAGCAATTGTTTTTTCCCCACCACTTAAGTTACTCATGGGTTGAAAACGTTTGCCAGGTGCTACGCAGTTATAGTTTATACCATCCAAATAAGGCTCTTCAGGATTATCTGGACCTAAGTAGGCTTGTGCTGCTTCGTTGCGAGCAAGTTTTTTGTAAATTCCGTCTATTGCCTCAGATATATGTGTGCTGCATTGAATAAATTTTGATGCACGTTCGTTTTTAACTTTTTCAAATACTGCTTTTGCTTTCTTTGCTTTTCGGCGGGCATTTTCAAACTCTTCATTTGTCGACTGAACTTTCTCTGTTACACGATCGAGTTTTTGCATTGCTTTCATATTTGGTGTCTGAATACGATTAAGAGTATCTAGTTTATTCTGTATTTCTTTTTGTAGACTGTCATTCATTTTCTTGAATGAACTATCATCTTTTATGTTAAGAATTTCACGCGACAAACTTTGGTAATTGATCTCAATTCTATAGAAAAAACAAAAAAAATTTTATATTATGGATACATTTAATTTTTGAGATAAATTTACTGATTTTCCCGTTCTAAAATAAGTGAAGAGGAAGTCACATTCGTTGCGTCCGTATCATTATTTCTTACAGCGTCATCCAAAGACCCATTTAACAATGGTATCATTATACAGTCCATCTGAAAAATAAAAACGTTATAAGTCATTTAACAAAAAATGTTGTAGTTAAAATAAGTTAATATATCTGACACAATTTTCATATTTCTTTTGACAAAAAATTAGCCTAATCTTGCTATATGATGTATAGCTATAGTAACGAGTCGCAGGCACTTATAAATTTAAATTCATTCATAGGACTAAGCTGTGTATGTGTATGTGTGTGTATTACAGGGTCTCTTCGCATAATGCTGTAATGCTTCAAATGAAATATAAAAAAGAAATTTCTGTATTCTATATACAGTTTTCAAGATGAATTCTACATAATTTCACTTGATCTAGTTCAGTTCTTAATTTATTACAGTTATTTCGTAGTACGTATATTTTTCTAACGACTCTTCCCCTGGTTATAAAAATGTATGAAATTTACAGAGTAATCCAAAGCAAAACAAAAGTAATCGACATTACTTACCTTTGATTGCAATAGTATATTATGACGTTCATTCTTTTTAGTTTCAATTTTAGTTTCCATTGTTGAAACTTGGCTACATAAATTATGTATTTCTTTCGCCAAATTTGCAACATCACGACGTGCTTTTGATATCTCTTCCTCCATATCATCACCCATTAACTTTTTGGATTGTTTTTGTTGTTTCATTTTTTCCATTTTTTCTTTATCCTCCTCAATTTCGTTTATATAGCGTTTTTCAGCAGCTTTAACACTCTCCAAAGCAATTTCCTCATCTTTCACAGCTCGTTCCCATCTCTCTACGTTTTCTACGTTTTTATTACATAAATTAATTTATTATATTACTTTATTACCAACTGATAGTTAAATTAAATAACTAATAATATATATATTATATAATATATGTAGATATCTATATTAACATTTTTTTAACATTTATTTTTAGATGTATAAAAATACTTAGTTATTTAATTTTAAATACGTCATTTTAATAACAATATATTTGCCAATAGATTGCATTACTATATATATATAACTCTAAAAAGTTCTCTATTTGATAGCACCGTAAATAAAGACTGTACATTTATTACGTACGAAACTAGTTATATAAAGATACTAAAAAATGTTTTATAAATTTTCATAACCCTCTACTGAGGTTACGTTGAACCATTGTGATAGTCCAACCATTTTGTTACAAATGTAATAAATTATTTACAATACCATATCTTACTTTTTGTATCTTTTTGTTTCTCAAAATCCAGTTGTGTGTTAATGGCATCAATTTGCTGTTCAAATTCTGCACGTTTTCGCGCCCGCTCTTGTTGCATTATTAATTCTCGTTCCTCATACTGTCGAATATTTTTTACTCCTAATCGGTTGCAAAATGATGAAAAAACCTTATCCTCGACGTTGTTCATGTTTTCTGTGATTTCTTGTATTTGAAGATCACGTTTCAACATACGCCTTTCAATTTCAGTTATTTTTGGCTATTTATTGCAATTATAAATTTAGCATAAAAAAAAATGTAAAACAAATACATACATCAAACTCATTTAACTGGTATTGAACTTGTTGTAATTGAGCATCAAATTGATGTATTGATTTTTTCGATGATTCCAAATCGACTAGACTGTATTTTAGACGATTTTCTAAACCCTTCAATTATAAAAAAAAAAAAAATACGATATTAATTGTTTACATTGCAGTCATTCCATACAGTACCTTTATTTGTGATTCAACAGTAGCTAATTCACTTTGTTTACGTGACTTTTTAACAAGTTCTTTCAATTCCTCATTTATCTTTTCTTTAAGCATTTTTAATTGTGCCATATGCTTTTCATCCCATCGTTTTGCTTTACGAGCTAAATCATGACTACCTCCTGAAATTATACCAGATTTTTGATAAAATGTACCATCTAAAGCGAGAGCATCAAAGCGTGATCTATCAATTTCATAAGCCACTTTCATTGCATCTTCAGGAGTTTCACATACTAAGGCATTATTTGTAGCAAAAAGTACCGCACGTTCTATCTCTGCTGGTTCAAATTTCAAAACATCAAAAACTAGTTTCACGTTACGCGGTTCAGCAATAGTCCTAAATATATAAATATTGTTGATATAATGATAACAGATTACTGTAGTACTGAGAGTATTATATAGTAACATTACATGTAATTATATATTTAATAACATGTACAAATAATATATTGTTGACAAAACAAGTTCTTTACTTAGTTTTGTATTTATTTTATAAGCTAATTGTTCAATTTAGTGAAACACAAATTATTATTATTATTAAAATTGTTGATTTATTGCATCTCTGAAAATTATTTTGGTCAATATATTATCGATAGTCAAAATATTAAAATAAAAAAAAATTATTAATATTAAGATTAATTTGTTTTATTTATCTGGCCAATTCTAATTTATATTTGTTTTATAAATAAATATTTTTTTTTCACAATTTTAAAAGTTTTAAAATACTTATTTTTTCTTTTTATTTATTAATTTTATATACATAACTATTAGACTGACTGTATCAGACTGTATCAGAAGCTAGAGTTGTTTTATTGTATTTTTTAATCCTATATATTTTTAATATTTTCGGAAATACAATTACACATGATATAAATCTACGCAGATAAAGCAATAAATAAACTATGTTAATTATATCGTACAGTGGCCATAAAAATTAGCAGTCAAATATCAGCTTTTATTAAAAAAAAATTTAGATGGACAGATCAATAATATGAAATTTTGCAATTTAACAAAAATTGTTTCTTTTAAATATTGAAATATATACCATTTTTTATATTGAGAAGCACTTGATTTCTTTACATGGTCTTTAAAAATGTTCATTAAATCAAATTTTATATGAATAGACGGGAGTTTAACTTGGTTGGGTTCAATAACAACTTCCTTTATAATATTTTGACCTACTATTATGTGACCCATCAGCAAAATTCCGTAAAACCTTATTCGAACCTATTTATTATTGAAACAAACTTGAATGAAAAAAGTAAAAGAAGAGTATATGTGGGTACATTATTAAAGTTGGAATGTCGATGATTTATAACTTTATTCATTAAGGTTATTCAGTAAGTTTACATTTAATTAATGTTAACAAAACATTAACAGTAAAAGACCTTTAATAATAGGCAGATCGTTAAAATATTACATTAATCGAATTAAGCAGTTTCACTATGGAAAACATTTGGTTAATAATTCACAATGCGCTTATGAAAAATGTGTCTCTGATTAGGTCGCTTAATTTAATTTGAGATATGAAATATTTTGAGATTTCAAAAGCCTTAATATCTCAGACTTCATACTTGTTTTGTTGAATAATTTGTACAATTTGTGAATGAAACTCATAATTTTGTTAAAGATTAACAGATTTATTAATTAATAATATAGTTAATACAATATGTAATTTATTAGCCAATTATACCATAAACAAATCCTTCTTTTTGTAAAAAGTATGTCGGAAGCACACATATACCATGTAAAAGTTAAATATAAAAATATATAATATTGGGCATTGTTTTAATATACAATATTCATATCAATAATCTTTGAATTTTAATCTTTGTTATAAAAATGGAATTTTGATTGAAACCCATAATTTTATTTTAATTTTAATTTCATTAAAGATTGGCTAATTCGTAAAAACTCCTATTTTGAAAAATATAATATAATCCTCGAAATTGTTATTCAATTTTTATGGTAAGGCTTTTTAAATGTTCGTCTTTAAATCATCTTTATCAACATTGGATAAAAAAAAATTTTCAATATTTTTCTAGGCGTTCTATCATTTTGATAATCGAAAAAGTAGAAAAAAAACACAACAAAAAATGTTTTTTATCAGTATATTTTATATAATATCAGTCAAGGTATTTAAATCACCGCGACATTATGAAGCTTGTAATATTGGTACTAGTTTCAGCTTCAATATGATATATAATTTGGAGGCATATGTAAAGAGCTATTGCGAGAAAAACTGAAATAACAGATTTTCGCGAATATACAGAAAAAAAGTCGTCATAATTTTTGAATTCTATAGCAAATTTCACTATAGAAACAATCTGAATATATCTTCTTAGTATATAATAATTTTTGGTTAGAAATAAAAGAATAATATATTCTTACTATACTTAAAATAATACTTTATTAAATTTTTAATATTGTGTTTAATTTATGAGTATATTTTGAATTTATAATAGTATATACCTACCTAAGACGCTCTTTAAGTGGTTTAACTTGTAAGTAATCCAATGGTAAAAAAGTTTCTACCTCAAGCATTTGTTCCTTTAATATCTAATGAATATAAAACAAATAAAATATAAATGTAAAACAAATAAAATATAAATGTAAAATAAATAAACATTTGTACATACTTGAATGCAATGTCTCGCAGTTTTTTCAGTATCTACTATTATCGCTTCCATATATTTTCCAAGTACCTTAGTAACAGCAACATTGTACCTCTTATGTGTTGGCTGACACATATTGATCATACGATCGTACTATAATTCATCAAAATTTATGGTTGGTATTATTTTGCATAATGTAATTTAAATGAATGTAAAAGTAAAATTAGAAAACTTTACATCAAGTTCTCTTTTATTTATTTTGGTAATTTTTCTTCCTAAAATGAGTTTTAGATGTGTTATTTTATAAATTAAAGTTTAAATAATTATAGCAATTTCATCAAAAATTCTTGTAGAAAACCTTTGTAAATCACTTTCAATGTTACAATCTAAGTGGAACTTAGAAGTTGAATTGCAATTGTACCTAATTCACATCTTTACAGAGGGATTCTCTTATAATTATGAATAACCCAAAAAATATACTAACTGAATAATGTTTTGTCTAAAATTTAATATTTTAGATCAATAAAAGTCGTATCATATCCGTACATATTTGGATTGATGCATGTTTGATTAGTTTAATTTCAAATTTTATCACTAAAAATTTTCAAATTGTAATATTTTTAAGAACATTCTAGTTTATTTATTATAAAGTAACAATTTGCTTCTACTTACAACACCAGGAACTTGCTTTTTGAATAACTCTACTACTTCTTGCTTTTTCTTTCTTCTAGCATCTTCATGTTTATCACTCTTTGCATCACCAAGCTGATCACGAACATTTTCTAATTCACGTTGCTTCTCTGCAATTTTTTCTTTAGAGCTACCAACATCACGTCTCAGTTCTTCTTTAATACGATTTTGTTCCTCTAAAGCTGTTTGAGAAGATTTAATGTGATCCATAAGCTTATCTCGTCGTTTAACCGCTTCTTCTCGTTGAAGAGTAATTTTTTTGAGACTCTCTTCAACTGATGCTTTACGATTGGCTTCGCCATCATGCATATCCTGATCAGATTTTTGTTCTCGATTGACAGAATCTAATTGGGATCGATATTGTGTTGCAGTTGCTTCTGCCTCCTGTTTAAGCCGATCATATTCTTGAACTAATCCTTCTTCCATATGTACGCTTTTACCACGTCTCTGTGAGTCATTTCCAATTTCATCTTCATACCGCTTTTTCATTAACTCTGCATCCGCAAGCTGTTTTTCCAATTTCACTATATCTTGTTGATGAGAATGATCTGCTTCGCGTGAAGTTTCCAATGTTTTGTGCAAAGAATTTAGTTTCTTTTGACAATGAGCTACTTTTTCTTTGGCTTTGATAAATAAAGGCCGCTTTTTATTCGTTTGTGTTTCAAATTCACGAATTTCCTGGTCTATTTTTGCTAATTCGCGACTTATTTTGCCAGCTTCCTTTTTTTTATCACGAAGTATTTCATCAGCATGTTCTTTTCGTGATTCAACTATCTTAATTTCCTGTTGTTTTTCTACTAATTCATCTCTAAGTTTTTGTATTTCTTTTTCCACATAAAATAATTTAAAAAGTTGATATTCAACTTGTTTTTCATTCTGTAAATAAGCAATAAAAGAAGTCAATTTTATTATATATATTTATTAAAGATATTAGATATATTTGTATAAACGCAATCAAGAAAAAAAATTTTTAACTATTCCCCTTTATGAAAATATCATATTGAAAATATATTAAGTACTTCAATTATTAACTATTTGAACCGTGTAAAAATAATTATTTTAAAAAAATAAAAATATTTTTTAACTAATTAAATTATATATTGAAAATACCCAATATATATAAATTAATTAAGTTAATTCACTCAACCAGTTTGTTCAAAAGTAATCTCAAATATATTTATAATAAAATGAATCTAGCCAATAAAATAATAAATAAACATGCTCAAAAATATCTGACGAAAACCTCTGCATCATAATTTTAATGTTAAAATTTGTTTTTATGTCTTACATATTCATTTTTAAGACGTGTATATCTCTCTGCTTCCATTTTTTCATGTTTAGCTTCCTTTCTTTCTGCAGCAATTCCCTTTTTTTTTTGATAAGTAAATTGTGTTTCCTCTTCTGCACTGCACATTTCTTGTTTTAATCGGTTATAATCATCTTTTAGCAGACCAGATCTTTATTATAAAGTTTTATATATAAACAAATATATATATGAACATATTCATCTACTTCATCTTACCCACTAATTTCTTCGAATAAAGCAGTACGTTCTTTAGGAGTTTTCATTGCAATATTTTCTACTGCACCTTGAAAAACTAAAAAATTTTTTGCTTTAACATTTATTCCCATTTTTTCTAATTTTTCTAAATATACACTTGCGATGACATTCTAAGAAAAAAAATATTAGCAGGAACAATTATAACCACATATAATATTACTTCTCCATTTATTCTGTACTCGGAGGAACCATTTACAACAGCACGCTGGAAATTTAAATAGTTTTCATCATTAATAACAAATTTCGCAGTTACTGAACAGGTTCTTGACACTGGTTTTAATATTGATGAACCATGTATAAGATCAGTGAGACGTTTGACACGCAGACTAGAAGTTTTTTCTCCCATAACAAAACTAATAGCATCCATAAAATTAGACTTTCCTGTAAATGAAAAGTATTCTATTAAAATCTGTTTTAAAAGAAAATAGCAAGAGTTAAATTAGTTTAGGTCTTCGGTAGGGCCTTAAACAAAACAAAACAAAAAACCTTTTCCCCATGATTAGTATTAAAATAAATTAAATTGATATTTTGCATGTTTGCAATGATAATTGTGTATCAATTAAGGTACAATGGTATACAATTATTATATCATTTAAAAGTATATTAATTGTTATCAAACACGAAGAAAGTGTAAATGATTGGCATATAAATTTATATTAATGATTTATAACAAATAGTGCTTCACAACCAAATACTGAAACAGATGATTGGAAAAGATAGGATCGGAGAACCGTTTCCTATTCGAATTATTTGACTCTTAACGTGTGTTCCTATTCATTCCAAGTAATTACATAAGTAATTAATGAGTTTAATATTTTAGGGTTTTCCCTGTCAAGAGATCTTCAAGCTAAAGCATTAATATTTATGTTTCTATCATACCGGCTGACTAAAAAATATTATAAATTTGATTTTATACAGCGCTGGTACACTAATACATGAGTTCAGTTTGTAATAAAATTCCGTAATGGATTTCATTTCTTCGTTCCTGCAGAAAAATCGTGGCGAATAATTCCAATTTCAATTGATTATATTTTTCTCTTCTGTTAGAAACGCATCTATGCATCTACGTAGTTCTTTCATTTTACCAAGACAATAATCTTAACTTTTGAAATTGATTTCAGTACAACACTCTTTAACATACATGTATTTACCATCAAAAAATAAATAAGTTAAATTGTTTATTACTTCTATTAATGAGATAATCGTATTGATTGCGCCATATAAAAAAATTCTTTAAATTTATATATGAATTCAAATACATTTTTGATTCATTAAGCGGGCACAAAAATAATTTTACGATTATAAATAGAAAACTGTTTAAAAATTTTTATGTCACCTGATCCGTTTGGTCCTATTACAGCAGTAAACTGCTTTAATGGTCCCACCACAACAAGTCCACGATACGATTTAAAATTATTCATTTCAATATATTTAAGGAAAGCTACATCTTGATCAGGTTTTTTTGCAGATACAGGCTCTGTATCATCTGCAGCCATATTAAATGAATCTATTTTAAACTTAAAAAACTCGAAATCAATAATTGTACAAACAAAATTAGATTTATATCAAAATCATCATAATTGGAAGTAGGTGCACTGTTTCCCGAAACAACAAATCGCTACAATTTGACTGCTTACAATTGCAAACATGTTTCAATACACCTTCAAACATTTCGTCAAACATTTAAAGATGAAATAATTCATTCCATCGGCTACACGTGCAAGTTGTCCGAAAATAGTTGCATTATTGAAAATTTGCGAAAAAAGTTTTTGATTGCTTAAGGCCATGTTAGGCTTCGATATTTCCTTTATCTTTTTAAAAAATATTTGCTTTTAATCACTTAAATGATTAATATTGATGCTAGTTACTCTTTTATATTTGCGGGCTCAACCTGAAACAATAAAAACTTTTGTGATCCACAAAATCTATCTTTTTAATCTTTAAAACGGGATTAGAAATCGTTTATACCGTGTGTCGTTTATTATACATAAAGTGAATTCATGTATAAAAAAAGCACACCATTAGTAGCCGTAATTTTTTTCTTCAGAATTGTAAATAAACAGCCTTAAATTAAATGCTTATTTTTGACCTATGTCTTCTGTGTAAACAGCCTTAAGTTAAATGCTTATTTTTGAATTATGTCTTCTGTAGTGTTGTTTACAATAGGCGTTTTCGTTGGCTCGAAAGTGTGGCAAAAAATGTATGCTGGCCTATATTCACTAAGCGAGACATCGGCATCACTGTTGCAATCTGTCAAGTGCTATGTTTTGGCAAGTAGCATATCTTGCATATGTGCACATAATGTAAGCAAATTACATTTTATATAAAATGAATAATTAATATAAAATTGAAAATTAAAATGAATACAGAATTTAAAAGTATGAGGAGAATTTGTGAAATTTAAAAATAAAACACTGAAATTTTTATTTTTTATCAATTTTCATAATATTAAAATTTTTGAGTTTTGTTTGAGTTTTTGTTTACATATGATTTTTGACATAAGATTGTAATATTCATTTGAATTGCGTTTGTAACATTTTTGTTTTACTTGACGAAATGTTTGGCCAGTAATAGAGATAGAGAAAATAGGTCAGCAACTTGTTTTTTGTCACACTTGTGAGCCACCGAAAATGCCTAATGTGAGTTTGTTTGGATGTTTACAATTAAATTAAAAGGTAAAGACGAAGTTATAAAAAACTAACAGAATGGACAAATAGTTTCAGAGGTCCGGAACGAGTGATAAGCGACTAATATCTAACCTTTACGTCAGCTGCATTTATTGGCGTGACAGAGAGTGGTAACAACATGTCTTAATCACAACTGCCGTAACATGGGGTTATAAAGAAATCGAACGAGTTAACAGACCAATTACACTTATTTTGTCGAAACTTTTCGCAAATAACTTGGCAAAATGGTATAAATTTGAGCCAAGTATACAAAAAGTTTTGAACTCTTATATATACAGAACTTTAAAATTTTCGCCGTACGAAATTCTTTTTGGAACGAAAATAAGGTCGAATACTATTTATGATGATATCCTGAAAAATGTCGAAAGCAAAGTTAATACAAATTACGACAAAGATCGGCAAGAGTCGATTACAATAGTTAAATATCAAATAATCGCTGCACAAAACTGCCCATCATATTTTCTTTGTTCTGTACGTAAAACTCAACGTAATGATTGATTTGAAAACGTTTGCTATACTTTTCCACGACATTGTAGGTTGGGTTTAAAAAAGAAAAATAATAAATAGTCAGTCGTAAATAATATTCGTAGTTACACAGCGTATTTCATTTGGATAAAAAATTCTGACGTAATATATGTTTGCCAATTTGTAACTTTAATTATATTTCATACCACATTGATACAATAATTGTAATATTCAAATACTTGCCATCAAACTTTTAAAGAAATATATGATCTGTTTTGTTATTTTTTTAATAACTAATAATTTATTGTAGTGTATAAACTTAATGTTTTAACAATTTTCAACTTCAACAATATCCAACACCTTTCAACTCATACAAGAGTTCACACCCCACACAACCGTCGCTGCACTCTTTGTGGCATCTTTATAACGACACAGAGTTGCCAACCCTACATGTATATTACATTTGTTTTAAGAAAGAGCAATTCTAAAATATCAATTCACAATTTAAATTGTTAATTTGTGTTTTAACCAACTTAACTTTATTCTTATATATCTTATCGGAAGTCAAAACTTACTGATCAGTGTGTGTGAATCCATATCTGTCGTCGGTCTTCACTTTGTCGTCTTTCTCTCTTTGATTTTGTTCCGATTCAGATCCAGTAGTGGTTGTTGTTTCCTCAACCGTTGGTGTCCGATTAACGAGATCTAAATCAACATCAACATTATCTGCCCTAAGCTTAATTAAATGCGATGACGACAAATTTCGACGTATTTGATTTTGATGTCGTTTTATATAACCATTTACAGTTTGAATAGAATATATTTTATTTCCCAGCAATTTCTGTATATCGGCTCTGATCCATTTATTCGGTCCCAAATAATTACGAGTTTACACTTTCTCTCCAACTCCGAATTTGCTTCTGTGTTGAGTTTTCATTGTCTCCATAACTTTCGGGATCAACGCCGATAAAATGGTTCTTGGTCGACGCCCATGTAACAACTCTGCTGGCGATTTATCAGTTGTTAGGTTTGAAGTAGTTCTATACGTTGTAAGATATTTATACAACGCTTTGTCAATATGTTGTTTCTCTTTAATAATTTTAGTTACTGCTTCCTTAAAAGTTCTCACATGTCTTTCCGCTAACCCATTCGAAGCCGAATGAAAAGGAACAGACATGAGATGCTGAATTGCGTTCATTTCACAAAACTTTGGAAATTCATTGGACATGAATTGTGTTCCGTTGTTTGTCACGATAGTGCACGGAAGACCTACGATAGAAAACTTTTTTTGTAGAGCTCCAACTGTTGTTGTTGATAGTTCCACAATATATGGAAATTTTGAATGTGCATCCACAATTATGAGCCACATATGTTTAAAGAATGGACCCGCGAAATCCAAATGGTCTCTTTCCCACGACCTATTAGATTCTGGCCACACAGAAAATTCTCGCTTTGGTTAACTTGCACCTTGTTGACAAGATGAACAATCATCATGAATACGTTCTATAGCCTTATCAATAAAAGGAAACCACATATATCGTCTTGCCATCTGCTTCATACGACATTTACCCCAGTGACCCTCGTGTAACAAATTTAATACTTGGGGCTGCAGTGCTTTCGGAAGCACCACTTTAGTGTATTCAGCCTGAAGAAGTAACACTTCATTCTGAAATGATAAGCAAAACCTGCGATTTCAAGGACAAATGGTCACTTGCAAGGATGCGAGATCGGTTACCTTGTACAAGGCAGCCATCTTCAAAGTAGAGAGATCTGGCTAGGAGCCAGACTTGAAGCGGTGAATATTCCGTCTCATTCTATGGCCAGGGTTTGGATCCCAATCAAACAAACCGACCCTGAGCAGAATCTGAAAATCATCAGAATATGCAACCTCAACCTTCCGACTGTGAATTGGAGAGTAATAAACTTGGAGGAGCCTACTGGACCGACCACACAAGTTGGTCTCTTATTGAAAGTGAAACGCTGAAACCGTTGTCGGAGAAGTATGTAATCTCCTACGGCTTTGAGAAGGTGAGCCTTAGGATCTATCGTACCGATGCCACGGAAAAACCGAAGAAGATTACGTCTAACCAACCCTTACTAGAGAAACCACCTGAGCAATCAGTGCTGTCAAGGCAGCAGAATACTGAGGAAGATTAGTACAGGCAACAATGAGTTTGGAAATCGACGGTAAGACCGTATGGGTGGTGTAATCATACACGACATACAAGAAATCCACTACCGGAAATACTAAAGCGGCTCGTAACTACAGCAGCGGAAATGATGACGGGCGTGGTTATTGGAGCCGACTCAAACGCTCGTGACACGATCTGGGAAAGATCGGATATTAAAGAAAGAGGTCAGACATTATTCGATTTCATTGTAGATTGTAATCTTTGCATATGCAATACAGGAGTAGAACTTACATTTATAACTGCAGGCAGCAATGAAGTTTTGGACAGTAGAAGTAAAGACTTCTGAACCGCTAGATAACCTGGTAAAAACCCTCACAAAAGCCTGCATTACGAAAACTAGGAATTGACAATGGAGTAATTGAAGTCATTACACAACTGCTGGTTGACAGAACAATCGTAGCGCAGTGGGGTGAAACGCTAAAAACTAAGAAAGTTGATAGAGGGATTCCACAAGGAGGAGTACTTTCCCCCCTCTTATGGGTAGCTGCAGTTAACGGTCTCCTTATTGATCTGAACAATGCGGGTTGTCAGGTGGCCGCGTACGCGGATGATCTGGTCTTGATTACAAAAAGAAAATTTTGAATACAATAAGTGAGATAATGCAGAGTAATCTAATGTAGCAAAATGGACCCCTAATAGCGGATTGTCAATAAATTTAACCAAAATAGAGCTAGTGTTTTTTTCTAAGAAATGCAAGATTTCGGAATTCACACTACATATCCTGGGAGGTCAAATTCTAATTGTAAATGATAAAGTCAAATACTTAGGTCTTATAATTGATATTAATCTGAATTGGAGACCGAATGTTATTGGGCGGACTGAAAAGGCCATGGTTGACTCTTCGCGAAGTTCGTTCTATGGATATATAATGTGGTGGTAAGACCGACTCTTCTGTATGGAGTATTATTTTAGAGATACTCTGAATAGGTCAACATTACGCAAGAAACTGGAAAAGGTTCAAAGCGCTGCACTGATGTCATTATGTGAAGCGTTAAAATCAACGCCGTTACTTGTCCTAAATATCATCTTCAATGTTTTACCTATCGAAATCACTGCAAAAGGCGGGGTAGCCGGGGCAGCTTTACAAATTAGGGAACTAGCGATTGAAAGAAGGTGTGGACAGGAGCATGATTATATCCTCAGAGAAATTGAGTTCATTCCGGTTACAACAGATTATTGTGTTACGAACACAATCGTGGATAGAAATTTTGAACTATTCATTCCTTCTAGCCTTAACTTTTTCACAGAAGGCTCAAAGTTAGATGAACAAGTAGGAGAAGGAGTATACTGCCCTAAACCACATCTCAGTCAGAGTTTCCGGCTACCAGATCACTGCAGCGTTTCCCAAGCCAAAATATCTGGTATAGGGGAAGTTTCGGATTGGCTGAAACACAATATTATTTCCGTTAATTATATAAACATATTTACTGATAGTCAGGCAGCTATAAAATCTTTAAACTCATCATTTATAAACTCGAGGTTGGTACTGAATGTTCTTACATCACTTACGGTGATGGCTGACTATTTTCGGATGCGGTCAAGGGACATGTAAGGCAGTTGAACTATCAAGGCATAGTACGACTGACCAAATTCTTCTGGGAAAAGAACGTGTGGGATACCACTTGCTTCCTGTTGGCATCGAATAAATTTATGAGTACATCAGATGTTTAGAAGAAGATGGTCAACAGTGACCAACTACTTTAACCCAAGGAATTTTAGCCAGAAATTAATAAGAGAAGATTAGAGAAACTAATCAACCTATTCATTTACTAGTGATAGGTTCCCACTATCTGAAATAGTGGGAATTATTAGGAGACACTGCCCGTTAGGAGTACATGCCGTGAGTTTCAATATGAGGGGTTATTTACACTGTAGACATTGCATAAAGGATGACGAAGAGAAATCACCAATACACCTTTTGTTACAATGCCCTGCTTCCGTACTTTTTCAATTTGCTAAAAGAGATAAATTCTATTTCTC